TGGGTCCAGCCAAACTGGATTGGCCCAAAGTAGGGCCGTGGAAACCTGAAAGGCTGCCACAAGTCTAAGGCACCTTCTGGTGGGAAACAATAGGAGAGGGGTGTAAGGGGCCAAGCAAGTCTGGGATGAAATGAGCAAAATCAAAATACAAATAAAGGTAATGACTGCTATTGTCAGCCTCCCCAAGTATCTCTCACCCATGTCTCTTCCAAGTGTCTCTATATTTCTCCTCCATGTCCCTGCTCCAAGTCCCCCAAGTCCCTGGAGCAAGTCTAAAGTCGAGAAGTAAGTGCCCTTCTTGTCCACGTGTCTCTCCTGGAGCCCACCTGCCTTCTGTGTTGCACAGCTGCCCCTGGCTGCTCAGCTCCTCTCCTAGTTTCCAGTAGCTAGTCCAAGATGGCTGCATGTAAGTGGGGAACATGGCTGCCCTTCTGTGGAGATGTCTCTGTTACAATAATGTGTTCTTTAGGGGAGAAAACCAAACCCATGGAATCCATACCTGAACATGGGGAGTAGTTTATCAAGGACCTCAGTGCCCAAGGGAATAAGAAGTCTCCACTTGGCTCTCCAGTGGGACCTCTGGGATTGGTCGTGATACAGCCCAAAATAAGTTGCCTGCAAAAGTCAGTGAATCCCACATTTTTCCACATAAGATTCACGGCCCTGCCCCATGCTCATTAAAATGCAAGTTTTCAAGCCACACCCTAGGGAGGCTGTTCTTGAAGTTGTTCTTACAACCCTTAAGATGTAATTCTTAACATCTGGTATGTCCCCACGAGGAATCTGAGGCTGCTGTGATCTTCTGGGTTTTTTTGTTTTTTTTGTTTTTTTTTTTTAATATAAAAAGGAAACCTGGGGGAAGCTATTGAATAATAGCTTGGGAATAATAGCTTCATTCACAGTGAAAACAACTAATTAACTAAATTCTATAGCACCCTGCATATCAAAGTGTGTTGCACAGACTACCTGTATCAGAAGCATGGGGTGCTTATTAGAAATGTAGATTCCTGGCACCTCCCCCCTGACTTGAATCAGAATTTCCTAGGTCCAGGCCCAGGAATCTGTACAAGCTTTCCAGGGGATTTTGAGAGACTCTCTAGTTGGGAACTGTTTCTCTAGAATTTAAATATCCTCAGTAGACTGTTAAGGCAGGAAGGCACAGAGCAGGATCTCTATGATCCTATGCAGACGGGTAAAGAAGGAGAGTCCTGGAGCCCTCGGTGGCTTTTTCAGGCTTTTTCTGAGATTTTACCAGGTACACGGTGGGCAGGGGTGCTGGGTCCGGGGGAGGGGGCCAAGAGGCTGGCAGGCCTCCCAGCCCTCTGTGAGTCTTCACTCTTTCTGGGCTCTCTGGCTTTCTCTCGTGATCTCATTCTCTCTCTTCTGCTTTTCTTTTATTCTCTTGGTTCTCCGTGATGCTGCCCTTATAAGCCCAGTCTCAGCCCAGGTGTACCCACCTACATATGCCCACACCCCACTCCAGGTGCCCACCATCAGGCATGCATTCAGGACCACTGGGATCCATTATCAGTCCTAATGGCAGGAGGGCAGAAAAGCCTGATAATCACTTACCCTACTTAGACTGTTGGAGGTAGAGCCCTAGGCACACACGGGCCTGTAGTCTGCAGTTGCTGATGGAGGCCGTCCTGGGGGTGCTGGGGCCAGCCCTGGGTAAAGTCACTGATTCTCAGATGATGCTTTAGGAGCATTGGCGAGGAGCTGTGAGACACTGGCAGGTTTCTTAATATTTCTGAGTCTCAATTTCTTCATCTGTAAATGGAGAAAATAGTGGAGCTTATTTCCTAGAATTGTTACAAGGTTTAGCCGAGTAGTCACACTTTAGGCTCTTAGAAGGGTGCACAAGAAGAACTTTGTACATGTCAATTATTACTGCCACTTCTGTTAAAATTGTTATCATTATCTCAATCTCCACCCTCTAGAGAGTCAATTATCTAAAACCCAGGAGTTAACAAACTATAACCCTTTACCTGTTTTTGTAACAGTTTTATTGGAATGCAGCCACACTCACACCTTAAGTTATTGTTTTTGGCTGCTGTCCTATGATCAGCAGAGTTAAGTAGCTGCAAAAGGAACAATGTGGCCCACAAAGCCTGAAATACTTACTCTTTCACCCATTATTTTGTTTTTCCAATTATGTTCATTGAGGTAAAGTTAGGTTGCATCATTGTATTTGTTTTGGGGGTTATAGGTTAAAACCTCTACAAGTGTATGTTTTCACATCATGTGTACCACTAAAGCCCCAATAATCCTTGACTGTGCTCCACTGGGTATTCTCCCTCCCCAGCTCCTGTTTCCTATCCTCCCCTTCGGTTTGCCTCAGTGTTGCAGTCAGATGTCAAAGGTTTGTTTTTGGTTTGGTTTGGTTTGATCCTTTGTTTTGCTTCCCTTTCTTTCCACATCTGACTTATTTTTCTTTCTCCTTCTGACTTATTTGCTTAGCATTATCCTCTTAAGTTCCATCCACATTTTTGTGAATGGCAAGAGTTCATTTTTTATAGCTGAGTAGTATTCCATTGTGTGTGTGTGTGTGTGTGTGTGTGTGTGTGTGTATGTGTACCACATTTTTCTCCTCTGTCCTTGAGCACTTAGGTTGTTTCCATATGGGCTGTAATGAACAGAGGAGTACATATATCCTTTCAAATTAGTGTTTTTGCATTCTTTGGGAAGATACCTAGAAGTAGAATTCCTGGGTAGATAGATTTTTTATGTTTCGAGAAACCTCCATATTGTTTTCATAGGGGCTGGACAAATCAACATTCCCACCAAGAGTGTACAAGTTTCTTTTTTTCTCCACATCCTCACTGACACTTGTTTCTGTGATTTTGTTGATCTTGTTTTGTTTTGTTTTTTGATATGGGTTATCCTCACAAGTATGAGATTGTATCTCCTTGTGGTGTTGATTTTCATTTCCCTGATGATTAGTGATGACAAACATTTTTTCATAGGCCTATTGGCACTCCTCCTGGCTAATACAGTGGTCCTCATTTTCCCAGCTCCATTCTAGATGTGGCTCCTCCCTGGGCATGCTGTTCTTTGGAATCCCTGAAAGAAGTAGTAACAGTTTTATTGTTACTGTCTCCTGTCTGTCTGCTATCTTTTAGCATTTTCCTCTTTCCAAGGTTGTTTCATTTTGACCCTTTCTAGAAAAAGTTTGCCAACTCTTATTGTAAATACCTTTGAACTCCATGAATATGTTAATGGCCTGGAGAGTCAGCAAAGGCAGTTGTGTCAGACATTAACTGACAGGCAAATGGCAGAGCCTTGTGAATGAAGCAGAGGGGACTGCGGCCTCCAACAATGGTAGAAAGTGGAGAAAGTAGAGGGCAGGGAACATTCCTGAGAAGGACTTAGGACAAGAAGACATTGTCATCTTAGTTCAGTCCAGAGTAGGTCCTGGTTTGAGCAGAATGACACTGGTTAGAGAAAAGTTTCCCTTTCCCACCTATCAGTTGCCTCTTTCTTTACAAGGCTTCTGCAACGGGTCAGTTTATAAAAATTCTTACACAGACCAAACCAAGTTACCGGACCCAATACCTTTAAAGAAAATTATATTTTACTGTATTTCACCTAATATGATCATTAATTGCCTTGCTTACTATATTTTACACTGGGCAGAGACAGAAAAGTACTTTGCCCAGCAAAGTACATGGTCTATATTTTTAACTGCAAAGTCATAAAACCTTCAAACCTAGGACTTAAGGCTTTAACCTTGCTCACTTGACACTATGCGACATGAAGAAGTGTCTAGGGTTGCAAATAACTGATGACTGATTAACTGATTAACAACCCTAACCAAGATCATAAAGAAAGAACAATCAGGGCCAAGCTGTGTTTGTTAAAGACCTATGCTCCCTTCACGAAGGTGCTGCTGAGCAAGGAGAGTGCTGAGCTCTGTGTTCTTCCTGCCTGACATTTGCCAGAAGGCAGAGTGTTCGATAGAAGAGCTCTAGGTCATTGAGTGCTTTCTTATGTTTCTGGTGTTTGTGGTTTACAGAGACTATCTCAATGACTCCTTGCCCAAGCCCCACGAACAAGTTACCACCATCCATTTTGTTCATGGAAAGCAGATACCCAAAATGCCACAGCTCATCAAGGGCAAATCCCCGTCCATCTGACACCAAAGCCATCATGACAGCATGTTGTTCAGATCAGTTTAGGGAGGAAGAGAAAGATAAAAGTACATGTAGCAGGTGGCAGGACAAGATGGAGAGAATTAAACAACCCTATAACTGTCTCCTTGAAACCCTAATCACAAGGATTTAGTAGCGAGCAGTACCAAAGCAAGGCTATTGATCTTTTCTGAAAAACTAAAATAGAATACTAAAATCCTACTTCTGGACCTCCAGAAATCACAAATATTCACTTTATCATACTTGTTTCAGGATCTGATAAAAATTAAAAATACATTTAAGAAATAACTTTCCTCTGTCTTTTCCTCCAGCCGCTTCTTTTCATTAAAATGAAAATACCCATTTTTTAAATCACCCATTTTTAAAATTTTTAATCTTAATGACTTAAGCCATTTAGCCATTGAGTGAGTTGTTTTTTTTTTTTTTTTGAAGACACTTCCAGTGTTTAGGAGGGTGGGAATTGAGTCTTGGTCCTCTCTCTTTTACAGCCTCACCATCAATGGCTGCATATAAACAGCATCACTCACAAATCCACAGTCCTCCCTGACCCATCAGGCGCTGCCTCCACTTTTAATGGCTCTTTAGTTATAGCTCAGGAAGCCCCACTGTCTGTCTCCAGGTCTGTCCTTCCTGCCTGATCCATTTGAAGTGGAGACATGCAAGCCCCAAACCTAGAGGATTGCTCTAAAACTAAAGATTTGTATGTCTTGTGTGTGCAAAGATAGGAGGATGTGCAAATATATGCAGCACTATCTATACTAGGGTTAAAGTTTCTAATATGACAGCAGGGCAAGGTCCAAAAGGTTTTAATCACAAGGTGTCTCTGCTAACATCTGTTCATTTGCAACAATGGTTTCGGCTCGATCCACTTGCATTCTCTCGTTCATCTTATTTTTTGCCCATATTGCAGCCGTATCGGTAAGTATAGTTCTGCTTTTCTGGGTTTTTAGAAAAATTAATTCTATGTAGTATAAGTTATCCATTTTTCTGTTTATTTATTTCCTTTCAGATTAAGTACTTTTCTGAAGAAAATGGTAAGAATTAATGGGATTACACAAAAGGTGTTTCTGAGCTTTCTCTCTTTTATTCAGCAAGACTAATATTTTCCTCCTACTTTTAACAGTACGCGAGGCAAATCTTTATGAACAGAAGGATATTTCAGAAATCAATTTAGGTGAGTTCAACTTTTGCTTTATTGATGCCTTGAAATAATTTAAAATATAATTTCTGAAAAGTTCCTACCTTCATAGTATGGTACTGGGTAACTTTTGGGGAGAAATACTTACTGATGCACCAATAGAATTTGCAGAGTTTATAAAAAAATGCAAATATGGAAAATGGGAAATTTTCATTTTTCTAGTTTCTATTTTGAAAAAAAATGAAGAGGATGATTATTCTGCCTGCTAAAGAAAAACATACAAAGTAACATGGCTGCATTTAGTGTGGGAAAAATAGCCAGCCCTTCCACTGGCCTGTGTATTCAGTAAAAATTGTTTGCTCAGGACTTAGAGGTAAAGAGATTTCCATTTTGATATCTTGTCTGCAAATGCATTTCTTGAAGATATCCATCAGCCTCATGTGTTAAAAGGAGAAACAAGCTGAATTATCATCTCTTTCACTTATCCTGCTTTTGAAACAAGGGAGAAGCCTATACATTGTGGTTAGAATTTTGATTCAAGAATTTTGTTTGGTTAGAATTTTGTTTCAAGATTATAAACAACTTCTAATTTTAAAAAGCTTTCATGTCCAATTGCTTATTTGTCTGTCAAGTCCCGTTGTGAGGTAAGTACTGTTTCCATTTTGCAGGAAGGGCAGATTACCTGTGAGTAAGGGGCTTCTGCAGATCACTGTGGTGGGGTTCACCTCCAGGTGTTCTGAAGGAGGGCTCAAAAGCTCAGTGCCATCTAGAGAACGCAAAATTTAACAAACCCACAGCAAAAGGTTAAATTTCTCTGACCTTGTTCCATTTACAGGGAAGGCAGGCTAATTGATATTTAATTGGAAAATCTTGCAAATCACTGCTTGGCAATGTAGAAATATTTTAGAAAAGTAAGTGGGTGAATGGGTTCAAAGCCCTCAGGTTCCCACCCAAGGCATCACATTCTTTCTTTCAGAATGAGACAACCAAGGTGTATACAATTCTGAGTATTTTAAGACAGGGTTGTGGTTAGAATTAGAGTTTTCCTAATCTCCTATGTATTTATCTAATAAAGATAATTCTTTTTTTAATTTTATTTTTATATTTCCCATACAATTGCAACCCCCTTATTTTGACCCCAATCCCGCCTTTCCCCACCCCTCCATAGTGTGTCTCTGCTTCATAGTTGTTTGTTGATTTTGATTTTTTCTTTCTTATAGCTATTCTTTTTCCTGATCCCTTATTTAGGTTTTCTAGATTCCTGTTATGAGTGAGACCATCCGGTATTTTTCTTTTTCTTTCTGGCTTATTTCGCTGAGCATGATCCCTTCCGGCTCCATCCATGTTGCTGCAAACTGCATGTGTTTATCTTTTTTGAATGCTGAGTAATATTCCATGGTGTATATGTACCACATCTTCTTGATCCAGTCATCTATTTTTGGGCATTTAGTTTGTTTCTAAAGCTTAGCTATTGTAAATGGTGCTGCTGTAAACATAGGGGTGCAGGTGCTTTTTGGAATTAATGTTTCTGTGTCCTTAATAAAGATAATTCTTTTATCATAGAGCCATTTCTTACTCTCCAGCTCCACCACCACCTCTGAACTGTGACCCCAATGAAGAATTTATATCATGTGGGTCTTATCTCTTTTGGGGTAATTCCTACCAACCAGCAGGATTGAATAGGTTAGCCACTTCATCGGATTTTAATCACAAAGGGATTGGAAAAACTTTACAGAGAAAGTGGCCATCTTTTTTCTCCTCTGTTCATGCCTCACAATGCTGATTTAATCTTCTTGATTTTCAACCCCAAGACCTGCTACTTTTAATCATTTTCATGCCAGCAAGTGAAGGTCCATCCTTCTAGGTCTTTAAGCTCAGAACTTCAAAGTTGCCCTGAACTCTGGCCTTTCTCATACCTCACACAAAACCTGTCAGCAAATGCTATCTGTGCTGCTAATCAGATTATATCACAAGCTACAACCTTTTAGAGCTTTCTCTTCTCCTAACCTGGTACAACTCCTTGTCCCTGGCCTGACCCTTGTAGGGGCTCATAACTGCTCTTCCTTTTCCACCCTCACCCCCTTTAGGCTGTTCACAAAGTAGGTGGAGCTCTCTTTCCAATACCAATCAGCCCCTTCTCTGATCCTGTATTTTAATATCTCATCCAACAGATAATAAAGGGCCTTGATTCTCAAAATATGGTTCATGGGCTAATAATATCACTTGTACAACCTAACATTTATGTTAGAAAGGCAGCTTGTTGGCCACCATCCCACATCTATAGAATCTCATCTGCACTTTGACACCCCAGATGATTCCTATGTGCATTAAAGTTTGAAAAGTGCCATGTTTTTCAATACTTTCCCCCTTACTTGAGCTCTTCAGGCACCCTGATGTCATTAACTATTCCTCTACAAAAGTGGGTCTCAATGTGTGGTCCCCCACTTAGCAGCATCAGCAGCATCAGGGAGGTTGCGAGAGATGAAAATTCTCAGACCCCACCCCAGACTTACTGAACCAGAAACCCTGGGGGTGGGGCTCAGCAGTATGTTTAAAAAGCCCTCCCAGAGATTCTGATGCCCAAGCTTGGGAAGCACCGTTCGAAGACATCAAAACTTTCCTGCTCAGAAACTTTCTATTTGCTGCCGTTTCTGTCTTCCATACTCTTTTTTTTTTAATTTTATATATTTTTTACATCATTCTTCATTTTTGTACAATGTATGCTTTCTCATCTTGCTTATAATTCCTGCAAAATTCCCACCACCAATTCACCCATGTACAATCACCATTGTCCCTTGTGCTCTTCTCTCCCCTGTTTTGATTCTACTCCCCTCTACCCCCCCACCCTGTAGAATGTCTCTGGTTTATAGTTGCCTGTTGATTTTGATATTTACTTTACTATAATTACTTTTCTTTTGTCTTCCATACTCTTCTTTATACACTCACCTCATCAGATGTCTGCTTAAATCTCACCTCCTCAAAGATGCCTTCCCTGACCACACTTTGTAAAACAGCAACACTCCCATCTCAGAACTATTTTCTCCCACACTATTTTTTTTTATTGTGCTTTTCACCATTTGCCATACTCTGCATTTATTTGTTTATTTTTTTGTTTCCCCTCTCTCACCATTCAAGATTGACATCTCCTAAAGGCATTGTTTTATTCTCTACTATATCCTCAGAATCTAAAACAATGCCTTGGACATATTAGGTACTTATTAAGAATATACTACAAGAATAACTGGGCAGTGACTAGACTAGGTCAACACTTGCTTTAAATGGATATGCATTTCTTTGGGAAGCATTCTTCTTAGGGCATTCCTTTACCTCTCATGATTCCATTCATGGTGAGCTGACATTGAGGTCAAGGTCCAAGTGAGTTTGTTTCACATCACTTTGAAGAATCCTCCTTCTATCATCAATCACTAATCCAGTCCAGGTGCCAAGAAGTGCATGCATTTGCTCTGGTCAAGCCTAGGCAAGTGTGTGAACAGACAGACTATTGATGCCCTACTAAAAGGCAACTCAAAACTTGGGTTCTATTAATAGTGGGGCAGTGTTATCATTGCTGCTTGCTGTTGAATTGTGCCCTTACCATATATTAGTTTAGGGTTATCCAAGTTAACCAATCTGGGAAATTTGTGCATTCAGAAAGGAATGATGCAGGGACAGCTTTAGTTTGTCATTAGCAGGTAAAACCATAAATCTTGTTACCTAACATCTCCTGACATCATGCAAAGTCCAAATCTTTTCTCGAATGAACCATAGGTTTTGTCAAATGGGACGTTGGCTGCTGTATGAGGTTGAGGTAATTATTCAGTGGCTTGATTTCCCACTTAGAATTCAGAGGCTATCCTCAGAATAAAGTACAATCCAATGAGCTTGTCTGAAATAGTTGTGTTTTATGAAGGAGGTTTCTTGTCACATGAGGGTCATGATAAGAAATGACATTCTTTTACATGTTTGTAAGGGCATTCCTACAAGTACCTATTTTAAACAGATCTTATTTTCAGAAAGTGTATGAGGCCAGAATTATGGAATACCATAGTGGAGAAAGTTTATTCTGCTACGATCCTGACAGCAGATATTTCAAGATAAAATTTGAATGCATCTTTTCATATTTGCCTGATCTTAATTACAAGGGAACCAACATGAACTTAACTTTGCCAACTACCATTGGTTTATCATAAGAAAGAGCAAAATCTATCCATTTACCCAGGATCAGGAGGCAAGATGTTGTAACAGCAGAATGGATCCTGGGTGGGAAATCAGGAGTTCTGAGGATCATTCAGTCCCTGACTGATACATCACTTCCTGTCTCAGGACTCCATCTTCTCCCCCAGAAGCATTAGTGGTTTGGAGCTTCTGATCAATGAGCTCTCTTCTAACTTTTCCTTATCCTAAATCCTTGAACAAAGCTTCTTGTTCCAAAAATGAAAACAAATTCCATGACAATATATTAAACTTATTGGCTATTTACATTTGCTCAATTACAGGGAATTTTTGCATTGTTTCAAAAACTTCACTGCATAAAGATAAGCAATTAAAGCTTTATAATAGAAAATGTCAATTTCATTATGAGAAATGTCAATTTCATTATGAGTAATGGACATTCAAATATTTCTTTTTCTTTTTTTGTGAGTTGAGTATTTTTAAAATTTATTTATTTTTATATATTGTACAATGTTTGCTTTCTCCTCTCAGGTATAGCCCCCATAAAATTCCCCCCAGTTCACCTGTGCACCATCACCATATTTCTTTTTCTTCAATCCACTTCTAGCTGCGGGTTTGAACCTTTTTCAAGGGGACATCCTCTTGAAGGTGAGTACCTGCCAGTGACACAAGTGTTCCTCCAGAGGCTGTGCCCTGGGATTGTGGGTTTCTGCTCAGTGTCTAGCCCTGGGTAGACACCATGGAGATGAACCTAATCCATAACCCACAAGCACATCCACTGTGGTTGGTGATAGCAAGAACAGATGAAAAAAATTAGCAAACAGTACAAAGTCTATAATTATTATGTTGCTTGCCCACCCAATTTTCCTAGTAAATGAAGAATGAGTAAGAAGGAAATGAATCAGAAGTAGCAATTGCAGGTTTCCTTATTTTGTTTTTATTTTCTCTAATTTTCCAAATCATTTATAATGAATTTCTACAACTTGTATAATCAGAAGATAATTGTAACTGAATTGTTTTAATTGCCTGCCAGATTGTGGTGTGAGAGTTTAGTGAAGGAGGAGGTCAAAGTGGGCAAGGATTAGCCTCCCCAGTCACCTTCCCCTCTGTTTTCACAGAACTCCAGAAATGGCCTGAGGGACCCTGGCACCAGATGGAAGTTCCCCATTCCTTACATTCTGGCTGACAATCTGGGTAATGTTCATTGTTCTTTTTTTTTTTTTTTAAGATTTATTTATTTATTTTTTTTTTATTTATACAAGCACTGGGCACAGTCAGAAGCGCGGGAGGGTGAGAGAATTCACCAGAGCCAGAGCGGGGAGCAGAACAGGCAGATTGACAAAGTACACTGCTGAGGGGAGCAGCGGGTGGCAGGAGAGGTCTGCGCGCCATGTGGGACCCTCCTCTGGTGGCCGGGGAGCAGCCGGGGATGGAACCAGAATTGCAGAGGCCTTGGGCAGCTTCGCAACCCAGCACTCAACCACTGAGCCACTGGGGAGGCCATTGTTCTTAATTAGGGGCTTGGGTTTACCCCTGCTCCATCCCTCCTCCTCCTGTCCATCAGCTTCGGGGTGGGAGTAACCACCAAGGCAGAAGAGGGCGTTCACCCCTGACCATTCTTAATCACACAACAGGAAAGGTTTGACTTCACATGGAAACCAGTGCTGCTTAACTACTCTGAGATCATAGAGTACCAAAAAAATAATTTAAAAAGCATAGACACATGTTGATAAAATCAGTAGCACCATAAAAGACAAAAACACAGTAAAATGTAATTTGGCATCATAATAATGAAAAATTTCTACGTTAAACAACAGTTTGTTTCAGTTAATCTGACTATGACCCAGGGATAGAATTCCCAGTATATTACTCGAGCTCTCCTGCTGCCCTAAAGTGATGGCTATTCCTTGACGAAAGTGGGTCTCAGTGGGAGACTCCTGGCTGGCGGCATAGCCAGGAAGTTTGTGGGAAATGAAATTCTCAGACATGTGGGCATTTTGGGCAAATGGAAAGGTCTATCTTTCACATGTTCACAGTCCTTGTTCCTTAGAATTAATAATTTCATACTTATCTCTCTTATGATGTAAGACTACATGAGTTTTACTTTGCTTATTATTAGAAATAATAATTGATGGAAATAAAGAAATAATAGAAGTCACATGTGGACACTGGCTGACTTCAGGCAACTGACTGAGGACTGAGGAGCTTGGTGATGCAATGCTCAGGGGGCCAACCTTCAGAGGGGAGAGGGAGCCTGGAGGGCAAAGGGAGAGACTAGGGGAAAAGGGGGGGGGAGACTAGGGGGCAAAGGAGACTGGGAGTGAGGGGGAGACAGGGAAGGGGAAGACTGGAGGGGGGACTTGGGGGAGAAGGGAAGGCTAGGGAGGAGAGGAAGAGATTGGGGGGAGGGGGCAGCCAAGATAAGGTTGCTGCCTCTTGCTCTGCTGCTGGGCTGCTCCCACTCTCAGGAGAGGGCTATTTCCATCACTGTCATCAGTGCTACGGCCCATCATTTTTCCAGAGAAGAACTAGAGATCAACACATGTTATTCTCAGTTATTTTTTAGAAAACTGAGTTGAATTATTTTCCTTCAGTGTTTGCCATCTCACTTACAAATTTATAAGCATCCACATTTACAGGAACCTGATTTAAGAAACACCAATGTTTTAAAGGTTTGTTTTTCCATTACAATATTCTCCCTGTTCGTCACCCTGTGCCACTCCCTGCCTATCTTGACACAGACACACTTTTTGAATCTTTGTGTGCCAGGCAGGTGTATTCACTTTATATTTTATTTAACCTTCACCATGCCTCTGCGAGGTGTAAGTCAGTACTTTCAGATTTTAATGTGTATAAGAATCCCCTCAGGAACTTGTCAAAATGCAAAGTACTTCAAGGTGGGGACCTAAGATTGTGTATTTTGTCTGAATAATGCCAATTTTTGTTAAAGCGGTTAGATTATTGGCTGCTTATCTAGCACTCCTAGAGGTTTTATTTAGGTTTTGTTTTAGTTCAAAGCAAACCCTTTAATGCTGGGACATGTCTTTACTTTTAAACTGTTGTCTCTGGAATTTCAATGGAATGCCTGAGATTTCCACTGTTCCTTTAACAGACTCAACTCTAAGTTTATTTTCCACTATAGTGCACAACAATTGAGATACCTGTTAAAAATTCAGTTTAACCTTTTACCTGCTACTTTTCATTAAGAGCCTTCAGTTTTTCCCATTTATGCAAAGTTCCTAGTCAGACAAATCTTGGAGAGGCGTTTATACACAGATTTTGAAACCACCAGTTCTTCCCCGATCAATCTTGACTCTTTGCTTTCAGGATTCCCTCCCTTGATTTTAAGTCACTCAAGTAATCCCAAATACTTCTGATGTGTCAAGAAAACACAATTGCGCTGAAAGAATTTGGAGAACCCTCATGGAAGAGGTTTTATAAATGTAAACTTTAATCAGTGAAATTTCCTTTTTCCTAGGATAAATGATCCCCTAGTTTCTACCCATTTTAGTCATTTTTTCAGCAACTGAAAGAGTTTGTTTTCTTATTTTTTCCCAAAGTTTATTATTGCTATCTGTGGAAGGATTAGTAAGATTGAAGCTCTCGCACCATTATCAGAATCAAAACTCTCTCAAAGTTTCTTAAACTGAATATAGTTAGCTCTGCTATGCTCATCCACTAGGCAGAGTTATTGTGCATGACTCTTATTATTTTGCCCAGGACCAAGGAGGGCTAATGGTTTTCAAAACTAGTGTGATTGTTCAAGACACAACTAAGTAGTACTTACTATGTCAGGACATAGGAAAGACCTAGGAACTAAGCGTACAATGAGGCAAAAGAGATTCTTCCTCTCAAGGACCTAATGGTGTCCTGGGTGGAAACCACTTGCATAAACATAAAGGAATCCAACACAGCTCACACATACATAGGACACACACTGAGGGGTTGCTTAATGGTGAAGAAGGAGACTAAAGAATGCATCATTTCCTTTTTCCTTTTTAAATGAGACTGGTAGTCTTAAATTATTAGAGTTGTTTAGCTCTATTTTCACAAATTATTCAGCTGTGAGAGAGGCAGCAGAGATGTGATTTTAAAATTACCCACTCTTATAACTCCTACTATTTGGCTTGAAAGAGACCAAAAGCAACATAAACTTATAGACAGTTTGATGTTAGTATAATTTTCCTTACACTTTTGTGACAACCAAGCTGTGTTGGGAGCATGTCTCCATGCTAGAGATGTCACTCGGTAAGAATAGGTAAAAGTCCATGAAAATCCTCTAGCCAGCTTAATGTGCACTCTTGTCATTGTCATTTGTGTTGTTTCTACATTTAATTTGCTGATCTTCTGACATCTGAACTGTGGAATCTCCAACTAGGAAGTTTATTAAATAAAAACAAGGGCCAGAAAAATATGAGATAAGTACTTGGCAAACTGTCAAGAATTATGAACTCTTTGAGAGAATGCACAAAAGCAAATATGCTAGAAATATAATTTAATGTTTTATGACAGCTTAATTTTTAACTTAAAGCTCTGCACATGCGTCCATGAGCACCCACAAACATACATGTGAGCACACACCCACACCCACAGTAAAACATAATCTCCATTCCTCTGGTGTATCTTTTCTCCCTGCCCCTACTTATCTTAAGCAATGCCAAGGTGTGTGCATGTTGAGTGGAAGGAAAGACATTTAATCTTTGGCCCCTGGCCCCCTTAGTAGGCATCTGTTTTTCTTGCTCCTTCAGATTCATTAGGCTTCTGCTGCATTGGTTCCAAAGTTGGGTTACAGAAATCTATTCCAAAGCTGTCTGCAGAGCTAGCTGTCTAACTTACCCAAGGGTTTTACAGGGAAGAGAATAAAATGTCATATGCACTTCTTATGTCTTCAGAACCAACAGGGCTCCCTAAACTCCGCTCTCTTCCTCCAATGAGTGGGGGTGTCTGTTTAGATGGGGTAAGGGACATCATTTTCACTACTTCTCTCCAAGTTGCTTTATTCATGGTTTTCTCATTCACAGAAGACAGCCATGACTTGCTGTCACTTCTGTCTTTTGCTTCGCTGTGTGACTCTCCCTAGACAATCAGTCTCCGTTTGAATGGGAGAAAGGGGAAGTTAGAAATTGAGGGGGTTATGATTTTGTCGAACCACACAGGTATATTCTCATTATGTTGTTATATTTATATTATGTATTTAAAGTATGCACTTAGTATTTATATCAACAACTATTTTTTTTTTTACTTTTAGTTTTCAAGGAATCTACTTACTACCAAAAAAATCTATAATGGACCCCTGAGGATTTCTCTAATCTTTAAGTCATGTATCATACGCAAGATCTAAGTAATGCTCATTGATATTTTTACTGATTTCTGCAGAACTAAATGCTAAAGGAGCCATTCTCTATGCCTTTGAAATGTTCCGCCTTAAGTCCTGTGTGGATTTCAAGCCCTATGAAGGAGAGCGCACATATATCATCTTTCAGCAGTTTGATGGGTTAGTATGGAAATTTTCAGTGTGAAAATCATGCATCCTTTGGTTTATAAAAAGTAGCATCTATTTCAAAGGCTTAAAGAAAAAATTGGAATGAAATTAAAGGAAAAATCAAATCTTTCACTGTGAATTTTTAAGTCACATAACATTTTTAACAAGTTATGTAGAGAATGAGCTGTTTTGGTACCTCTGCGCCCCAAGGAGATTTATCTCATTTCTTTTCCTCAGTATTGGATGCTTTCAATTAGATTCCTTTTTTTTTTTTAATAAGCTCAGATTTGTTAAAGTTTAAATTGCAACCTGTTTTCTGGTGCTGTTTTCAATTGTAGTACTCTGTTGACTAGATTTCTTTGAAAAGCTCTAGATATAGATTTGCTCTTTTATAGCTAATCCAAAGAAGAAACATATGGTATATCAAAAAAGAAGGATTTTTTTCTTCAGGGATGTTTATGTTAACTAAGTTGGTTAGAAGAGCCTGGAAACTAAAGCTACCACCTGGCTTGACTATGTTTGTGACTCCAGTTCTGGCTCTGCCTGAAGGTTTTCGCCTTATGAGTTCCCCGTCCCACTTCAAGTGGTACCTATTGAATAGATTGAGTCCTTGAGTTCTGATAGTCCTCAAGTTCAGCCAGAAATAAAAAGGATTAGCCACATGATTAAGTCTCTTAAGAAAAAGCGCACAAAAAATAGTGAAAAGAAAAAAAAAATGCTGATGGCTATTTAAATAAACATTAAGTAACTTACTTTGTGTTCTAGAATTTTATGAATTACAGTCATTTCAGAGTTCTCTCGGAGAAAATTTCCCTCTTTCCCTCTTTAAAGGTGCTGGTCTGAGGTTGGTGACCAACATGTAGGACAGAACCTGTCCATTGGCCAGCGGTGTGACTATAAGGCCATTATAGAACATGAGCTCCTGCATGCCTTGGGATTTTACCATGAGCAGTCAAGGACTGACCGGGACGACTATGTGAACATTTGGTGGAATGAAGTTCTTCCAGGTGTGTATGTCCCCAAGGGGGATTGGGTGGAATATCCTATTATCTTTATCATTTGCTGAGACCAGCTCTGGACTGAGCAGGACAAATCTATGTGTTCACTTCAGCCACTCCCATGGAAACACAAAACATGTAGAGGGTAGGATTTGCTGGCCTCTCCTGTGGCCAACCATGGATTTTGCTGATGTGATCATAATCTAGTCCAGAAAAAGGTTGTAGGGGTGATATAAGTGGAGTGGCTCAACATGGGGTTAACTGAAAATTAATTAGAAGTTTTTGCTTTATCTCAGTGCTTTTGTTCAAAACCTTCTAAAATGCTATTTTCCTATCTTAGTGAGTAAATTGAAATAGTCTCTGAAGATATTAGAGTTATTTTTCTTGATGTGCTATTTCATGTCATCCGAGGAGAGTACATGAAGTTTAATTGACTATATGATAACTCTAAAATACACTCAAGAATTTTTTTGTACTTGACCAAATTAATAATGGTTGTTTTAAGAATAAAACAGCAAGAAAACTGAAAATGTGTTCTTTAGTCTGAAATTGTACTCTCTCTTGTATTAGTTCTACCTAATTGTCTGAGTTCTGTTTAATCAAAATGTACTGGTCTTTTTCCTTTCTAAGTACCTCTCCTTTTCTGCATCAGTTCATCCTCTACAAAGGACACCACAGTTTTGTTTCACATGTTATGATGCAGTCTGTTATCTTCACAAATTTGATGGTTTTTATTTTTGTTAAACTTCCATCCAAATAGAAAATGATTTTACCATCCTTAATGTTTGGGACACTTAAGTAAAGTGCTTATACATATACTAAAATATTATTTATCAAACTGTTTCCTGATGTGCAAAAAAAAAAAAAAAAGCTATGTTTCTGGAATACCTAGTTTTTAATTAGGAATTAGTTCAAGGAGTAGAAAAGTAGTTTTTCAGCAGAATCATCAATTGTTGGAAATACCTTGGCTTTTACTATTCATGGGTTTCATGAAGCAAATAATTGCCTATAATGATCTGTTTTAGTTTGAACCCAATTTTATATTTCGTTCATATAATGCAGTCCATCGATAATAATTTTGCTTTGGGGGGCACTTAAAAGAGCTAACCATCTTTTGACATTAATCATGAATTCCCAAAAGACTTCTCACTCAACTTGCTCATTTTGGAGTAAGCTACATCAGTGGTACTCATGTGAGGTAGGGTTAGGAATGGCTAATCACATCGAAGTCACTGTGGGGTTCACAATCTCTGTTCCTCCCAGTACCTCATATTCTGACATATCTATGGAGGTGGAGGTGCTAAGAAAAGAAGGTTAATTATGTTTTGTAAAAGTCTAATACTTTACCATGATTGGACACCCCTCCACACACTGTCACCCATCCTACCATCCAACCACTGAGCTAGAAGCCAGATAATATTCTTCTTTGCTTCCTGGTCCCATCTAGACAAGTGTTGGAGAGTATTCCCCCAGAGATGAAATAATAAGGATCAAATTTATGATACTTGTCTTTCAGGGGTAATTACATTCGAAGTGGGTCTGTGTAGAGGGGTCATAGGTCAAAGAAATGTATCTCTGGTTGTGAGACTTGTATACTATTAGACTTTGTCTATCTTTGCCCAGAGGTCTTCATCTTTTGCCTTCCTGGACATGTATTTAATTCTGCTGAAAAGGAAGTGAGGAAGTGGAAAACATTCACATATTTAAGTATCTTTTTTAATATCCAAAAGGGTAGATTTATTAGGAAAAGGAAGGGAAAAAAAGGCACAGATGGGCAGGAGAGCTGCCTCTGAAAGGGATATGTTTGTTAAAAGAGATGCCCATGTAGAGACGTGAGCAGTCCTGAGAGGAGAGAAGTCCACATTTTTAAGTCTTAAACAACAGAATGCTTAGTGTCTTGAGCACTTTTTTAGGTCCATTGAGGTCCCCTTTCTTTGAGGGAGTCAACACATTTGCCAGGGTAATTTGCAAACTTGCTCAGCTCTTGCTCAAATACAGATTATTCAGTATGTTTGTCCATCTACTATCTTTGTTTTCTTTTCTTTTTCCTTTCATTCTCTCTCTCTCTCTCTCTCTTCGTTAACCTGGTACTAGCTCTACTTTCATCTGCTATAACTCACATATCTAACTTGCCTGCTATAAAACATCAAATCCAGTGGATTGTAAAGAAGGGCATTTATGACTTTTATTGCATCTCTTCTTCAGTTGATAACAATTTATTGTATAACCTAAGAATATATTGTACCATTAGTACAGTTCTCTCCTCAAATCCATCTCTATATCTTAAGTGTTATGTGTTCTGGATCTGTTCTCTAAATTCAAATTTAGAGGCCTAGCAGGAGTCTGAAAACTGCAGCCAGTGGTCATAGCCATTTGCTTTTGTAAATAAAGTATTATGGGAATACAGCCATGACCATCGGTTTCCATATTGTCTGTGGCTGCTTTTGTGCTACAGCAGGAGAGTTGAGTGATTGAGACAGGGACCATGTGGCTTGCAAACTCAAAAATATTTTCCATCTCATCCTTTACACAAAAGGGGATAACACATTGAATTTATCCAAAGTTAAGGCAAACACATCCAGTAAGTTGCAGGTGGCTTGTTTAAAATGCCACCAAGAATCTCCAGGAGAGGACCTGCCTGGTGGCGCAAGGGGTTAAGCACCACACTATGAAGCAATGCGCAGCCTCTGCAGCCGAGTTTGATCCCTGGCCGGCCCACTCTGGTGAATCCCCTCACCCTCCTGCACCTCTGGCCTGTACCCTAGCTCTTATATGCATAAATAAATAAATCTTTAAAAAAAAAAAAAAACTCCAGGAGATCCCAGGGTCAAGCCCTAGTCTTCACATGCTCTTTACAATTCCACTCTATCAAATGCCATCATAGACCCAAGTGTTCTGGAAGGAGTTACTTTCCCTCGTCCCAGTTTAGGTCATTATTTCTTACAGTCCTGTCCTACCTTTGAAAATGCTTTGATCTCTCTCTCAAGTCCTTAAAATCTTTGTGAGTTGGGAAGATAAAACATCTGCATGCTCATTTTATAGCTAAAACAAGGTCTTGCTCCAAGGGGTTCACTGGCTTTTCCAAAGGCATTTGGAAACTCCCCCAACACCTGCTGGACCACCATGTTGCCATGTCGATGTCTCTGAATGGCAGTTATACTTTCTTTTCTCTAACTGTTAAAAACAACTGGATGGGGAGCTAGAGACAGAGGAAAACAAAAGGATGGGTACTGGGGATTAGGAGACTGAGGAGTATTCTCATTCAGCTTTCCTACCATTCCTGCCACCTTCTCATTACTGTCATGGAAACAGAAAATTGCTGAGACCTAGTGGATTGAAAGAACATTTGATTGATTTCTCAAGATTTCCCTTTGTAGTATATATTATCTCATTTGCACTAACCTCATAAAAATATTTTCTTTTCTATTTTGATGGAAAAATAAATTTTCTGCTGTGATTTATTTTTATGTTTCTATGTGAGCCTTAGTTGGCAGGCCCCCTTGTCAACTGCTTACTTTTCTTTCTGAGACTCAGATTTCTGCTCCCTAATCTGTGTAAGAGCTGGTCAGGTCATCTCTTGATGGCTGACATACTTGACTACTAGCAAGATGAATCAACACTGAATACTTTCCTGATTTCAAAAATCCTGTTCTGCCATTTGGAATACCGGCCTCCATTTTGATAGTTATTTATTTTAATATTTTTAAATATTTTGCATAGAAGAACTGGGGTGTGGGCCAGAGGTACAGGGAGGTGAGAGGATTCACCAGAGACAGAATCTACTATCTTTGTTTAGAACAGGAGGATCTGCTGAAATACACTGCTGAGGGGAGCAACGGGTAAAACAGGAGAGGTCTGCTGTGCCATATGTGAGTTAGCTCCCTGGCCAGGGATTGAACTCAAGCAGTAGCAGTGATAGCTCTGAGACTTACCCTTACGCCACTAGGGAGGCTCCATCTACTTTCATACTTAATCTTTTTTTTCTTAAAGCCTCATACATATACATTCAAACTAATGTATAATGAATCTTTCATTCAATAAATTATAATTTGTGCTATGTATATCTTTACATATTATATGTATATGTATTGAACATGTTTTTTATATTCCTTATAATAAGTTTATACAGAATTATTCGTTATATTAATGTCATATTGATAATGAAATATTAGTATTCATGATATGTTAATCTTACATATAGTCTACTAATTATATATACACACATAATTCTCTCCCCTTTTTTGGTTTCTGCTTGAGTAGCTAATCAAAGAGGGTAGGAGAGGAGAAAAATATATGATTGAACAGGGTCTGTGATTCTCTCCCTGACAGGTTTCGAACACAATTTTAACGTCTATGATGACAACTTCATCACCGACCTCAACACACCCTATGATTATGAGTCTGTAATGCACTATGCTCCTTTCTCATTTAATAAGAATGACAGTGCCCCTACCATCACGACCAAGATCCCTGAGTTTAACTCCATCATTGGGCAGCGTCTGGACTTCAGTGCTATTGACTTGGAGAGACTGAACCGAATGTACAATTGCAGTGAGTACCTCTGGGGCTGAGGTTTGGGTGAAAGAGTCCTAGGGGACATTTTCTCACCCTGTAAATGTCCTGCTTATTTTCCTTTACTCTTTCATGTTCTAGTCCACAGAAATGCACAAACTATCTTAGTTTCTCTATTTCTAGAAAAAAATATAGTTCTGTCTCACAGGATGGTTATGAAAATCAATGATGTGGTTGTGTTTGTAAAGTCAAAGTATTGGACCAATGTAAGGAGCTGTATTTGTCTAACTTCTGCTTTTTTTGAAAGGTGCATCACTGTAAAACTCAAGATAGATGATAGGCTTGAAAGTATTTTGTACCCTGCAAAATTATTTACCCAAGTTAACTGTTCCTAGAATAATCTAATGCTCTGGGAGGATGGGGTGTTTTCTATGATGACCCCACTAATCTTCAGAGACTCTTGCTTTCACTCTCTTCAAGGGCATGTACAGAAGACAAACTAAGTACAAAGTCCAGTATTATAAGTATATTGTTCTTTTTTTTAATTCATTTTATATAAGAACCGGGGTACAGGCCAGATGCGCGGGAGGGTGAGGGGACTCACCAGAGACAGAGAGGGGAATAGAACAGGCAGACTGATGAAATACACTGCTGAGGGGAGCAGCAGGCGTGACAGGAGAGGTCTGCTGCACCATGTGGGACCCTCGCTGTCCAGCTGGCATCGAACTGGTACTGCAGAGGCTGCAGACAGCTTCACAGCACGGTGCTCAACTGCCTGCGCCACTAGGGGAGGCCCAGTATGTTGTTCTTAATCAAAAGGAGTTGATGACTGCATTTACATAGCACAATATGGTGATAGAACTTTCTATCATTTGACTCTGTGAAGTGGATAGGGCTGCATTTATGTTGGCAAATTCTAAGATCTAAGAGATGACAGTAGGATTTGTATTTGAGAAAAAGTCAAGGAAATGAAACATCCATCGTCCTGCTATCTCTGAACAATAAAGTTTTAGTAGCCTAAGACATTTGGTATTTGAAATGAAATGACTTAAAATTTTACCCAGATGGCAAAAATATTTTTTGCAGCATCAACTCATACCTTTTTGGACCACTGTGCTTTTGAGAAGACAAACATCTGTGGAATGATTCAGGGTATGAGAGATGATGCTGACTGGGTCCATAAGGACAGCACCGTTCCGGGACAGGAGGATCACACCTTATCCGGAAAGTGCACAGGTTGGTGAAGTAGAAAGTCAACATGTTGAGGTAATTTACCGGGTTCAATTAGAAATGAGAGTCAGCATGTTCTGCTTTGATCAGAATGTTAGGGATCAAATGTGCCAATCTGAACAAGGGCAAAGGTCATCTCTCATATCTTATTTATGAACACAATAAATAACATCCAAATTCCAGGCATGCAAAAGAAAGTTTCGCTTAAGCTACAACAAGAGTTATATGGACATATGGTTGATAGGACATAAGGTTGATAAGATATGACTTTGTAAATAAGGTAAAGTCTCAACAGTGGTGTCCTCCAATAGAACTAGAATGCAAGCCATATATGTAGTATAAAATTTTTCATCGTTACATAGAAAAGGAAACAAGGGATATTCTCCTTAATAATTTAACCCAACATGTCTAAAATATTAGCATTTTAAGATGTAATCAATACAAAAATGATCACTGAAATATGCCACACTTTTGCAAACTACATATTTGAAATCCAGTGTATATATTACCCTTAAAGCATGTCGTGGTTTGGACCAGTCACAAGTGAAGTCACTTGCATTTGGTAGCTGCCATATTGATTATAGCGCAACTTCAGATAGTTCCTATATATGGAGCTGTAATCCACTAAATTCTGCATTTTTTTGAAATGTGAATCACTGTAAAACTGAAGATAGATCATAAGTTTGAAAGTATTTTGTACCCTGCAAAAAGCTATGAAGTCAAAGAGAACTAGGTTTGAAGCATGCTTCTACCACTTGCTAAGTCTGGCCATGGGAAGTTGTCTTTATGGTTGCTTTTTAAGTTTATGCTTTTGTAAGCCTTTCTGACCATCAAAATATTGATACGTCATAGTGGAGATGAAACAAGGTAGTAAATTCAGAGTTTCTACTTCAAATAAGCAGCTTTATTTCCGATTTATCTTTCTTTTCTGGCCAGAGGTTTCCTTTATTCTCTATTTATGCTTCAGCAAACTTTTATAATGTGCCTGTCATGGCAATCATCTCAACACTACTTAGAAGAAATGGAATTATAGATTTTAATAGTTTTTTTAGAGACTGGACTATTGTGAAGTTCCTCAGTCCAAGGCTGTGTGGGAGTTGGTTAAATTTCCTTCCCAGAAGGAACCAGGCTCCAGGCTGCCAGGTAGAATGTTGGAGGTCATCAACCTCTTCCTCCAGCCTTGGCAAAATGTGAAAGTCACATAATAGACTAATAAACATATAATCTCAAGTGTCCAAAGGATGATCTAAGTCTGAAGTTCTCAGTAAATTTCTGTCATAACCTCTTATCCAAACTCTCTTGTGAGATTGTTGGTAGCTAGGCTAAGATATAATTTTCAGCTAAATAGAAAGCTGTACGTCATGTGAGAGGCGCCTACTGCAAGAATGTCCTGGCACTTCAATAAGAAAGGAAACGACCACACCCCAGAAGAAATTTCTAGAAAATCTTTATTGGACAGCTATTTTTCTTTTTTGAAGAGCCACTATGCTTCTATTATAGGGAGCATAGAGTGGAGGTGTGTTTCCTCTGCTCAAGAGCAAGGCAGTGTTGGGGAGATGCATAGGCTTTACGAGCTCAAAGCATGCCCTGGACGCAGAAGCCACCTCCCATTTAAAATCCAGAGAAGTGAATGAACACCCAGTGGTGAATCAGGGACAAAAAAGCTAGATTTTCTAACTCCCCAGCCTGAGTTATTTATTGGACTTTCATTTCTCACTTCTTGGTATACCTACGTGGGAATTCCTGAGTAAGGACCACCTGGAGATCGTAAGCTCTTTTTTTCTTTAACTCAAGCACTCAGTAATTCATCATGTAAAAAGCTCAGGCTACTAGTTCAAGTGCTGAGAAAAATATGCAAGAAAATATATGTTTCCCTGATGTGATATTAGATCCATTGCAATATTATTAAGCTTTGTGGGAAGCTTACTTAAATATTATTGTTTGCTGCCAATACAGAGGGAACACGCTCCATGTGTAAGGCAGAATGAAGCAAAACAGAATCAATGCCAAAGCACCTAGAACAAAACTAGCTGCTGTTTTGGTAGAGCATTTGGTGAGAGGCTGAATACCTGAGTTAGCTTCAATTATGCATGTTAGGCAAATTGTTCATTGTGCTTGACTTTGAAAAATGCACTGATTTTCTAAGGGATTTGGTCAGTCACCTGCTTGTTTGGGGAAGTGTTTTGAGATACCTGCTTTGAGCAACCTCTAGCTCTCACATAAATGGAGAGACTCTCTGGTCCTCTTTTTCTTTCAAAACTTTCCTTTATTCCAGAGAAACCCTTAATTAGTCCCTCCTATGGCTTGAATGCCCCTTCTCATAACACAATAAAGACTATTGTTACCCCTGAAAAACACCCAGTTGTCAGGCTAGAAGCAGGTGAAACTGAATCTTATTATCACGAATATTTATTTATTTATTTTAAAGATTTATTTATTTATTTATATAAGCAATGGGTACAGTCAGAAGTGCAGGAGGGTGAGAGAATTCACCAGAACCAGAGCTGGGAGCAGAGCAGGCAGACTGATGAAATACACTGCTGAGGGGAGCAGCGGGCGGCAGGAGAGGCCTGCGCGACATATGGGACCCTCACTGGCGGCTGGGGATCGAACTGGCGCTGCAGAGGCTGCGGGCAGCCTCGTAGCCCAGCGCTCAACCGCTTCGCCACTGGGGAGGCCCTATCATGAATATTTAAATCCAACTCCTGGACCTTTGAACTTGACAATTTCTTATACAACTAGCTGTTCAACGCTTGTCCTGGGAATGAGCTCTAACTTAAAACAGTAAAGTCAATGAGGAAGAGAATTCCTGTCAGAGACACTAACTTCCCTTCAACTTGACTTAAAGCCTATATTTCTTTAAGTCTTTGGAATCGTGGTCACTCAAAAAAGGCAATGACAAACTGTGGCTTTAGCCAGTGGGCTTCACATTGACACAAATAGAAAATCACTGGGAACCTCCTTTTTCTTTTCCCCAGACGAGTTCTAGCTCTTGTTGCCTGGATGATGACTATTCACTGTTTCACTTTGCCTGGGCTGAGGGGGGCCTGGGGTGTGGGCTGCTGGAGATGGGATGTTGGGACCCTCTCTTCCTAGGATCCGGCTACTCCATGTACTTCGGCACCAGGACAGGGAACAAGGAAGAGGCAGCCCTGCTGGAGTCTCGGATTCTGTACCCAAAGCGGAAGCAGCAGTGCCTGCAGTTTTTCTATAAAATGACGGGAGATCCTGCAGATAGACTCGTCGTCTGGGTCAGGAGGGATGACGGCACAGGCAATGTTCGCAAGCTGTTCAAGGTCCAGACATTTCAAGGTACAGAGAGGCAAGGCCTGATTTGGCTTAAAATCTGGGATCCAATTTCATTCCTCTTCCCTAGTCTCCCTTTCACACTCCCTTCCCTCTCTTCATTCTTCTTCTCCTTTTTATCCTCCTCCATTCTCCTCCCTCTTTCTCCACTTCCTCGCCTTCTTCTAAAAGCCTCACACAAGGCTTGGCTTTTTTTTTTTTTTTTTTGCCTTTTTAAAAATTTTTTATTTATTTTTATTTTTTTATTTTATATATTTTTACATCATTTTTCATTTTTGCACAATGTATGCATTTTCGTCTTGGGTATCATCCCCATACAATTCCCACCCCTCTTGTTTTGATCCTACTCCCTCCTCCCCCCACCCTGCAGTGTGTCTCTGGTTTATAGTTGCTTGTTGATTTTGATTTTTACTTTATTATAATTAGTCCAAGATGTGGTACATATACACAATGGAATATTACTCAGCATTCAAAAAAGATAAAGACATGCAATTTGCAGCAACATGGATGGAGCTGGAAGGGATCATGCTCAGCGAAATAAGCCAGAAAGAAAAAGAAAAATACCTGATGGTCTCACTCATAGCAGGAATCTAGAAAACCTAAATAAGGGACCAGGAAAAAGACTAATTTTAATAAAGGCTTGGCTTATTTTAACCACTCAATGAGTGGTTTAATGAATCAGATATTAGAAGCAGCCTCAAGGATTTAGGTGAAACTGAAATGTAATTTTGTCAGATTCCAATCAAAGTGCTTAAATCCAATTATCACTAGAACTTTGGAGAAAACAAGGACAGAAAATTAGCGATTCAGGGATGGAAATAAGGAGAGAAAAAGAAATCAGGAATTGATGCTGCAGGAGAATGAGTGGTTAATAATTGACCTCAAGTGTTTTTTTTTAAGATTTTATTTATTCATTCATTCATTCATTCATTCAAGCACTGGGTACAGTCAGAAGCGCGGGAGGGTGAGAGAATTCACCAGAGCCAGAGCAGGGAGCAGAGCAGGCAGAAGGACCGAAGTACACTGCTGAGGGGAGCAGCGGGCGGCAGGAGAGGTCTGCGCGCCATGTGGGACCCTCCTCTGGTGGCCGGGGAGCAGCCGGGGATCGAACTGGCGCTGCAGAGGCTGCGGGCAGCTTTGCAACCCAGCGCTCCACTGCTGCGCCACTGGGGAGGCCCTGACCTTAAGTGTTTTTGCAGCTATTTCAGTAAACTTCTCCATTATTCAATATGGGGAAGTAATTGAAGACTACATTTGAAGTTAATGGGAAATAGTCATTTGCATATAGTAACACCATTATAATAATTTACATATTTTAAGATTTGCTTTATGTATTTCTGTGAAAGTCAACATTGACTTTAGAACCTTAAAATTCTAAGGTAGGCAGTTGGATATGAGGGTAACTGGGTGGTAAATCAAGATACAGTGTTTTTGTTGTGGTGATGGTCCATTCATAATTAGGAAAAAAGGTAAGTTTTCCTATTTTCCATTCAACAAAAGTATCTCAATTAAAATGGGTCAAGATGTGGAGGTATTCTCTGTGTACTTCTAGAAGAAGCTGCTGTTTTGAGAGTAGGAGCTTCCTTAGAAGTTTTTAGCTCCCCTAGAACCTTATAGTTCTCTGAAATCAGAGGTTGAATCATATTAAATTGATATTATTTGACTTTTGGTTTCTAAATTAGCTGTTAGCTATTCACTGCTAACATTAGGCTTGGGGTACAGTTGTACCACCAAACCCAGGGGAAACCCAGAACCTGTGGAGCTGAATAATAAGAATAATGAAAAACAAATTTATTATTAAGATTTGAATGTGAATTTTTTAAAGATTTATTTTATTTATGCATACAAGAACTGGGGTACAGGTCAGAAATGTGGGGGTGTGAGAGGATTCACCAGAGACAGAGTGGGGAACAGAACAGACAGATCTATTGAAATACACTGCTGAGGGGAGCAGCAGGTGAGACAGGAGAGGTCTGCCATGTCGTGTGATTAGCCCCCTGGCTGCCTGGAATGGAACTCGTGCTGCAGTGGGGGCCAATAGCTTGATAGCTCTGTCTTTAACCCCTGTGCCACCAGGGAGGTCCTGAATGTAAATTTTTAAAATAAATCATAGTATGTATTTTATTTGTTAAGTAGTTTCCCTTATTAGATATGTGACTTTGGAAAAGTCTCTTAACCCTTTTATGACAGTGCCTAAGTTGTAGGGTTGTGGTAGGATTACCTGAGATAATTCATGGAAAGCACATGGCGCAGTCAGGCTCATCACAAGTGCTCAATATATGTTGGCCACAGTTGTCACCAACCTTATTCTCTGTCCTCAGGAGACGGGGTCAAAGACTGGAAAATTGCCCATGTGACACTCAGAGAGGAAAAGAAGTTTCGCTACCTTTTCCAGGGCACGAAAGGTGACCCACAAAACTCAGATGGAGGAATTTACCTAGATGACATCACACTAACAGAAACCCCATGTCCCACAGGGGTTTGGACAATACGAAATTTTTCCCAGATCCTTCAGGTCACGAATAAAGGGGACAGCCTCCTGAGCCCTCGATTCTACAATTCCGAGGGATATGCTTTTGGTTTGACGTTGTACCCCCACGGCAGAGCCAGCTTTGCTGGCTCTGGCTATGTAGGAGTTGCTTTTCACCTGTGCAGTGGGGAGAATGACGCGATCCTGGAGTGGCCAGTGCAACACAGGCAGGTGATCATGACAATGCTGGACCAGGAGCCCAATGTCATGAACAGAATGTCCCCAAGCATGGTGTTCACTACTTCTAACTCCCAGACAGGTAGGTGGTTATGAGAACTTCCCTGAGCCTGGAAGGGCCACAGATATTATTCTCAACTTATGGACAAGACGAACTCATTGGAGTGCTATGTTGAAATTGCAATCCTCTTATCTTTCTTCTCTTTTCTAAAGCCATTCATCAAGATTCTATTGAGGGCTTTCAAAGTGCCAAACTCTGTGCTGGATTCTTTTGGTTTCTTTTTAAGATTTATTTTATTTATTTATGCATACAAGAACTGGGGTGTAGGCCAGAGGTGCGGGGAGTGAGAGGATTTACCAGAGACAGAGTGGGGAGAACAGGTAGAGCTACTGAAATACATTGCTGAGGGGAGCAGTGGGTGAGACAGGAGAGGTCTGCTGAGCCATGGTTAGCTCCCTGGCCAGGGATCGAACTCATGCTGCAGTGGTGATAGCTTGATAGTGCTGGGACTTTAACCCCTGTGCCACCAGGGAAAACCTCTGTACTAGATCCTTAGAACACTAGCAAATCAGGCAGATCCTGCCTCCTTGAGCTCAGTCTAATTGAGAAAACTAAGACTATCAATTATTAGTCAAGCAGAATTTGCTATGCTCTGTATAGAGCTAATGCACTGACTCCTAAGATATTACTAATGTCATCGTGTTCATGAAACAAACTTGCAGCAGTAATTAGCGAACTATTTGTTCAAAAGATGAGCCTTCAGTCATTAAAGGAAGAAGCTGTCCCTCCATCCTCACTGAGGAAGTCATTCAATAGTAGACAGTCAACCATTCAGCGCTGGGGCTTCCCACCACCCTCTCTCCCCAGTTCTGAGTTTTAATTCTCCTGGAAGGAACAGATAATGAAAAAATAGTTAATTTTTCAGCAAATTCTTTTTCAGGTTAATAAACTCTTTATAATCATTTAAGACAAATTGGAACTAGAAGTATAACAAGGCAATGTAATTTTTTGTGCTACCTTTAACTTTGCAGCTTCAGATGGTTCCTTCCTCTGGGATAGGCCGTCCATTAAGGGAACCTTTGATCAGAACTGTAGTTGTTTTAGAAGCATCGACTGGGGCTGGAGTAATTTCATCTCCCACGAAATGTTGAAAAGGAGAAGTTTCCTTAAAAATGATGACCTCATCCTTTTTGTGGACATGGAAGGTATTTTTTGCTGATTTCCTGAATAAATAACCCTATGTTCTGGTTACTCTACTAATTTTTTCAAATAAATTTATCTTCTTACCTCCTTGTTAATTTTTGGACAGTATTTGATTGCTCCCCTCAGGTGTAGTTCCTATAGTTCTCGCACCACCACTGTGATCCATCTCCCCTATCCATTGTGCTCTTCCTTCTCTTGTTTTGACCACTCTCTCTCCCCCTCTTTTAGCGATTCATAGAGGATGGTGAATCTTTTTTGAAGACTAGGTTTTTTTAAAAAAGTGTGTTCTAATAGAAACATGCTTTACAACTCAAGGATTCACATTTTTGTTATAACTATCCTTAGGAAAATCTAATATTTTTGCATTTTTTTAAAATAATTTATCAAATATGGCTGTTTACTGACTTCAATTTAGTTTTAACTGGTTTGCCCATGCTAACTTTATACTTATTTTTTTAAGTTCAATAAATAAAAATGAACTAAAAATAGCTTATTCTCTCTACATAGTTATATTGAAGTCAAAATAGCCATTTTTTGTAGTCATTTTTATTTTGTAGTTATTTTATTTTTTGTAGCCATTGTTGTAGTTAAAATGGCTATTTTAACTACTATAAAATGGCCAGCATTGTAGATGCTTTATTCTAAGCCACTTTTTTAAGTGACTAAAGGTGAAGTCCATGAAGGATAGTGGTCATTTAGGTAACGTTCTCTGGGAATGGAAGTTAATTGCAGTCAAACATTCATTGTAGATTTTCCTCACCACCTTTTGTCTATTTCCTCAAGATATCACCCACCTTAACAAGACTGAAGTTCCTGTTAAAAACACAAGGTTGACCCCACAAGGCCTCATTCTCCAAGACCAAGAGCAAGAGACCTCTGAATATCCAGAAAATGCTGTGTTAGGGAAAGCCCTGCCAGGAAGCCTGGACCAACAGCAGCCCAGCCGAAAGAAGCGGTCAGTGGAGAACACAGGCCCCATGGAAGACCACAACTGGCCACAGTATTTCAGAGACCCGTGTGACCCGAATCCTTGTCAAAATGAAGGCCTCTGTGTGAATGTGAAGGGGATGGCGAGTTGCAGGTAGGCTCTGCGGCCAGAGGGAGGCAGTGGTGGGTCAAAGGGAGGCAACGGTTTGTGTCACCCTGTTCTCAGGGCAATGGCGGCGGCAGACTCTCAGCTGGACCTTCCTGTCTTGACCCTACAAAGCTGTGCCCTGAATTGGTGGGCTTATGCTGTCATGGTTGAGCAGGAGTCCTAGTACCTATATCCAGATTTGCCCACCTGCATAGTTCATTATATTTAATTGTTCCTTTTTTAGAATGTTTGTTATTTGCATAAATATTTTGTTAAAGGATGTATGAGAGAACAGAGACTTCCGTTTATTTGCCAGAATAATAGCAGATGTATGAAGCAGTCTACTTGACTCAAAGTATTTATTATTTTGTTTCCTCTGAGTCCCCTCCCATTTCCACTTTTTTTCCTTTCTAGCTTTCATTGTAAAATAATTTTGCATTTTCCGATCCATTGCAAAAATACTACTCTGTAGTATTAGGGTATGGAATACTCTGTAATCTTAGATAACTATCATATAATTAGGGAAGCCAAGAAATAAACATAAGGAAAGTCAATGCTATTTAAATTTTTATTGAAATATATATTTATATAGTTTTTATATATAAATGTATATATAGTTTTAAAAGATTATATTATATGGGTTTCGGATGTGTAGCATTATAATTCAATAAGTGTCTATATTACATTATGATCACCCCCGAAAGTCTAGTTTCTATCTATCACTATACAATTGGTCCCCTTCCCCCTTTGGTAACCACCATTTTGTTAGTGTTAATTAAAAGCAGACCTTGTTCATATTTTCCAGTTTTGCCCAATGTCTTTTTCCTGCCCCGAGACGCAATTCAGGACCTCACAGTAATACTTAGCTTTTATGTCTTCTTAGCTGCTTTCCATCTGGGACAATTTCTCAGTCTTTTCTTGCCTTTTATTACCTATATGCTTTTGAAGAGTCAGTTATTTTGTAAATTGTTCCTCAATTTGGGTTTATCTGATGTTTTCTCATGATTATGTCAAGGTTGTGCATTTTTTGGTAAGACTAGCAAAGGAGGGACAGGCCCTTGTCAGAGTAGCATGAAGGGGGAGCTGGTGTCAGTGTGTTATTGCCAGTGACGCTAGCCCTGATGTCCTGGACAAGGCAGTGTCCACCGGCCCTTTTTAGTGAAGAGCTGCTGGGACTTCCGGCTTGCCTCAAATCCTTACCCACCGATCACAGCACCCAGCAGTGGGTCCTGTAGCAGCAACCACAGCTAATCTAATTCCTAGGCTAGAGATGTGGCCCTACAGGTAAAATTGTTCCAGGATTAATCAAAGGAGGCCTTGATTTCTCATCACCTTGTTCTGCTCTGTGAGTAGACTTTGTGACAGCAATGTTCTCTGAAATAAAGAGTAGGATTGTAGGATTGTTATTGATAGAAGGGACTAAACACTGCTTTTAAGGCTCTGGTTCTGAGATTAGTTGATCTTTATACCAAATAGCATTAAAAGGAACAAGAACTGGGCCTCCCCTGGTGGCGCAGCGGTTGAGCGCTGGGCTGCGAAGATGCCCGCAGCCTTTGCAGCGCTGGTTATATCCCCGGCCCCCGAAGAGGGTCCCAGAAGAGACCTCTCCTGCCATGCCCGCTGCTCTCCTCAACAGTGTATTTCGTCAGTCTGCCTGTTCTGTTCCCTGCTCTGGCTCTGGTGAATTCTCTCACCCTCCCGCGCTTCTGACTGTACCCAGTGCTTGTATAAATAAATAAAGAAATCTCTAAAAAAGAAAAGGAACAAGAACAAGGTGTGGCCATGATGTGCCTGCTGTGTGCTTACCCTAGAGTGATAGACACAAGTGCTTGCTACCTTATGTGAACTTCAGGGCAACCTTAGAGCTAGGTGGTGCTATATGTGCCCTACAGAAACATTTGAATTGACATTGTCTAGAAACTTTTAAGCCAGACTCTATCTGGCTTACATTCTCAGCAACATATTCCTTAATTGTTCCCATACCTTCCCCCCCACCCCCGAACTTTGCTTATGGTGATCAAGAGACCCGGGTTTGGAGAGAGAGCACCCAGTGTTAGACCTCAAGTGTGAAACACTATCCATGTGACCTTGAGCAAGGTAGTTATTCAGCCTTCCAGTAAAGTGAGGATGATGAGAATGAGCACCAGCTCATGGGTTGTTACAGGATTATTAAATGAATGGACTCATACAAAGCACTTCCCATGGGGCCAGGCACGTGGACCTGCTCAGGAAGTATCAGCTGCCATTACTGCCATGTGGGTATTTGTCATTAGAAACTCCTCCAGGCTCAGGTGACTTCCACCTCCCCCTGTGTCTTTCCCCAGGTGTGTCTCCAGCCATGCCTTCTTCTACACGGGCGAGCGCTGCCAGGCCGTGCAAGTGCACGGCAGCATCCTGGGCCTGGTGATCGGAGGCACTGCCGGCGTGATCTTCTTGACCTTCGCCATCATCTCCATGATCTCAAAGTCAAGGCAGTGACGTGCCTGCTGACCACACAGATGCTTCCTCCACTCACCCCTTTCTGTCCCATGCCCGGTGCAGTTTGGGTGGTTTTATCCACCTTGCTTTGAGGAAACCTCCAAGTTCCAAGGATTCCAGTCTCCTGTTTCTCATTATGGCTTTTCTGCCCCTCACCCCCATGTGGTTCTGTTACCCTGCTACGTGCTCTAAATTTATCTAGTGTGACTTTGACAGCCTCTAACACTTCACTGTCAATTTCCTGTTTCAGTGACTGTCTTTCCCATAGACTGGAAGCCCCACAGGGCAGGTCCTCATTTCCCACGGGGTCCCATTGCTTACATGTACACCAGGTTGGCACATTGACCTCAGTAAACATGAATAAAGGAACCAATAACTGAATAAATAACCATGATATAAAAATTCTTATTTCTCTGGCAGGTAAGAGCTCTCCAATGAAACTCATACATCATGTATTTTAGAAACATATACTCAAAGATCCATTTTCATCAGATACAATAGTGTTGTCACTCTTTTAAAGCCTTGTGTGTTAAAGGGTTTCAAATTCAGTTTCCTTCTGGCAATAGGGCATCAAGACTTTTGCTTTTCTCCTCCTCTGATTCTAAGGAAAGAGCCTTAATAAATTTGATGAATATTTAGCCAGTATCTTCCATGTGTCCAGCTTTGTATGTACATCTGTGGGTTGGGTGAGGAGCCTTGCTCCAAAGCTTTCTCAGATCCTTCCAAGTTTGAAAGTATAGTTGTCATGCTATTTATATACAACATCATTATATCAACAAAGTATCAGATAGAAAAGAATTTTTAAGAAGTGTTTGGAACAAAAGAATTTTAAGGAAATGTTTTGAGAGGTACTCTCTTTCCAAAATTTCTAAGAAGAGAAAACCCAGCCAGGCAAGAAAATTCTATGTTAAATCAAGACAAAGGAAAACTGAGTTCCCAACCCCAGTCAACACCAGTCCCACAGAGCCCACTATACTGGTTACTAAAAACATGTTTCAAGTCTTCTGAACAGTGTGGGCTTTATGTTCCAAGGCTTCCTGGTACATGTTCGATGGCCATGTTGTTAAAACACATTGTTAAAGACAAGGTGTAAAGAAGAGACCTTTAATGTAAAGTTGTGGGGAGAGTTTGTGGCAGGTGCTAATGCTGTGTACAGATGATTTTTGTTGCTTGGTTTTCTTTACTATGAATATCATTTTGTGACATCTCACATTTTCGTGTGTTTCTGGATATGGGTAAAACAAATTTCCTGGGTTAGTTTTAATGTAAACGTATTTTTCTGAAATCTTCGAACAAATTTAATTCTTATCTTCAAGTTATGAATACCATTTAACAAAACCACTGCAAATCCTAGGGGTGGGGGATGCGCAATAGTGGGACAGGGTGGTAGTGACCTCTAATGATTATTCATAGGAAAGAAAAGGACAGAAAAGATCTGACATGGTGGCGGGGGGCGTGGACAGCCCAACAAACCATGTGCGTGTGTGTACACATGTGAGTAAAAGGGAGGCTAAAAGTAAGATGGACAAGACAATGAAGACAAGACCCATCTCTCCTCATCTTTATAATTTTACTAAGGGCTGGCCTGGAATCCCAAAATAAATTGAGACATGCCCTCATCTGGATCACAGCTTCCCTCAGGGCCTAGACAAATTTAGGACAATTTGACCCATGTGTGACTCAACAGCTCAATGGAAACCATCAGTAAGACTAAAAGATTTTTATCTAGTCAGGAGCATAAAGGGAGAACAGAGAAGTACAATCATGAGAAAGGTATGAGAAAGTGGGAGGCGGGCAACATTCAGATGATCAACCCCAAGCAAAAATGGTCCTCAATATCCAGGCTCCCTCGGTCTATTCTCAATAACAACATCTCCAAATCTTGGCTGGTCAAAAGAGTGCACAGAAAATAGCTTACAGTCTCCTGCTTCCCTTGCAGGTAATGGGATTGTGTGACCAAGTTCTAGTCAGTGGGGTGGAAGTAGAAATGTTGCATGACAGTTTAAAGAGCCTTGCTGCACTCACGGTTAGTCCTTTCTGTTTTAAAGGGGACAGGACTGATAAGGGGACTAGATGACCAGAAGGGGAGCTACTATGTGGGGCTCTGCAGTGACACAGGGAAGAGCAGAACACAAAGATGAAAGGTTCTGGGTCCTTGAGAATTATGTGGAGTCAAGCTCACCATACCACCAGTTATGAATACCATTTAGCAAAACCACTGCAAATCCTAGGGGTGGGGGACGTGCAATGGTGGATGGGGGGTGGTAGTGACCTCTAATGAGGTCACTATTTTATACTAGACTACCTATTTATACACTTTTATGTTCTAGAGAAATAAACATATGTTTTGTGACTGCTGTTTTAAATCTTTGTAGCTCAGGAAAACATCATCCTCCCTGATAGTTTTGCAAGGCTGGCAGATGACTCGGATTAAGGCAATCCTGACTCTGTGCACCACAATAAACACATGTTCTGATGGAGAAGAAGTTCTCAGTTTGGGGGGTGGGGATGGGAGGAAATAGCCTAGATTCGTACCTTCAGGCATGACTGGCATCAGTTTTCATGGAGAAGAAATAGGGTGCAGTTATCACCCATGTTCTAAGTCAGGCCTCTGCACCGGCACCTGGCCCTCTCAGTCTTCGGCTGTGTGACACTGTGCAAGTTATTAACCTCTCTGTTCTTATTTTACTCATCTATAAAACAAAGAGAAGGAAAATACTTCCTCTATCCAAAGGAGACAAAAGGCTCAAATGATGATGTAAGAATAAACAGATTAGGAGACACCAGCCACACAGTAAGAGCTCAACAGATGTCAGTACCCATAGTAATAAAGTGACCATCTTCATCAGAAGGTAACTTTCATTCCCTTTGTGGTATACCTCTCTGGGATTTTGTATGTTCAGGGTCCTCTCCCCTTGAGATTTTTGTTCTCTGTGACAGGGATGTCTAACATAAGGCAGAAGGTGTGAGAGAGATTCTGAGGGGCTATGAACACTATCCCCAGGCCTGTGACATTCTCCTTGCTGGGAAGTTGTCTTCCTCCTCATGCAAGGCCCGATCAGCCTGTCTCTCTGCCCCCAGGACAGCACGCTGGGCAGCTGGTGCTGTTTGCTTTCCTGGGGTCCTCTCTGCTCACACTTTGGGGGGCAGAGCCAGAAGCCTCCTCTCCCATGCATGTCCGGAGGCTAGACCAGAACCACACAGCAGCTGGCTGGCGTGTCAGGCAGCCCGGGACAGCTGCAGAAGCAATCTGGATAGAAAACGAGAATCCCAAAGTTTGTGAAGAGACCAAATGTACACGTCCATGAATAAGACCAATTAGTGGTTACCAGAGGCAAGGGGAAAGAGATAGCAGCAAATGAGGAGAAAAGGAGCAAGGGTCAGTTTTGGCCTCTTCTCCATGACTTTAATGTAATATATACTTGTTGATTCTTAATGATAAGCACCAGGAAATTATATACTGGTATATGTATTGTTTCAATAAAAATATAAAATTAAATTAAAAATAAAACAAACAAACAAACAACAACAAAAAAAAAAAACGAGAATCCCACCCCGTGGTGGTTTTCTACGGATGAGTCAGAAAAGGAAACAGGACCATCTGCTTCAGCCTTTTGAAACCTCGTTGATGGAATAAGTGTTTACATCCCATGAAACATGGAAGGTTCCCATTTTGCTTCCTCGAACAACCTCATTGGATCCCTGTTTGGAATGGGGGGAGTGAGGAGGGTGCAACCCTTTCATTTCTGGGACTGCTTTAATTTTGCACTTGATTCCACAAGTAAGATTCAGTCAGTGAGGGAAGAAAAAAAACTGAGGAGGGTGCAACCTGGGTTAGCATAGCTCCAAGATGTATCCTGCCTGCAACCCATCATGCACACAGAAACCACCTTCTAGAATGTTCGCTGTCCCCATTCCTGACGTCCATCCTTTCCCAACTTCCTTTTTCCCTGCAAGGATCCTAACATAAAGGTGTTAGGAGGTAGAGAGTGTTAGTGACTCTTTCATTCCTGCTTTTTCTCATTTGTAGACCTTCATTTCACCTTCACCTGATGTTCATGTGTCCTAAACTCTTGCACTTCTGCACACGTTGTCCTAAAGCTGTGCTCGCGCCGCCTTTGAGGTCCCACGGGAGAGACCCGGAGTAGACGCTTCCTGTCCTGACCACGAGGTGGCGATCAAGCCTCAGGAGAGCCGGGGCGCCGGGGCCCCGCGCCGAGGGCGGCTGTCACTCCCGAGCCGAGCCTCGGGCATTGCGTGGACAGAGGATGGTACCAATCAAAAGGGGTTCCCAAAAAGTCAGGGCCCAAAGCCATTCTTGGAGCCTGTTCCTGCACATGTTGCCTGTTGCTGTGACAGCAGCTTCCCGTGACTTGCCCAATCAGTTCCTGTTGATTTTCATGCTGAGAAAAAGCCTTTTTTTTTTTTTTCCTGGGGTCCTGGTTTTGTCCTGTTTTGTTCTTTTTTTTTTTCCTTTCCTTTTTTAAAATAGTCACCAGCATTTGGGACTTGGCTCTACATTAAAGAGTAAAAATCCTGAGGTGCAAAACGGATCTCGTACCCCTGCCCAGGGCCATTTGTGCAGAGGAAACATTGGTGAACTTTCAACTGTTATCTCAGGTTTACAGGTAAAAGGGAAAGAATGAATGTCTACAAATTCATAATAAGAAAAAATTTAGGGCCTTCCTGGTGGTGCAAGGGTTTAAGACGCAACCTATGAAGCTAACCGCAGCCACTGCAGCACGAGTTCGATCCCCGACTAAGGAGTTTCCCACATGACCCAGCAGACCTCTCCTGACTCGCCCGCTGTTCCCCTCAGCAGTGTATTTCAGTCAATCTGCCTGTTCTGCTCCCCACTCTCTCTCTGGTGAATCCTGTCACACACTTTCCCCCTCTCCCCGCACCTCTGGCCTGTACCCCAGCTCTTGTATATATAAAAATAAAATAAATCTTAAAAAAATAATTTTTTTTTAAGGTAAGATGACTGTGTTTAAATGTAGGATACCCACAGCAATAGTTTCTGGAGATAAATAACAGATAAATAACAGATAAATAACAGATAAATAACAGGGTTCTGACCCACGGTGGCCTTCATAATTGTGATAACAACACAGCAAGCTCATCCTCCAAGGAAGAAGGCTGACAGGGTTCCTAGACACTTCCTCTTCCTGGGGAAGACGGGAAGCAGGTTTTCTGGGACCAATACTCCATGCTTGCCAGCAGTCTCCAAGGAGAGTGCCCAACTGGAGGCTCTCTGTGCAGCTTGGAGGGGCAGTTTTATGGGAGAGAGGTATTTGGGGACTTAGGGATTTCTGTGCACCCCCACCACTGCCCCATATAGGCCAGTTCAGATTTTTCTACCCTGACAGGAGTGTTTGTCCATGGCTCATGTTCTGTAGTCCTGGGGTCCACTGCTGTAGCTTCTACATACAAGATACTGTTGAGTGGAGAATGGCCAAGGTCACCCAGCTGTGCTGCCAGAGTAAAATACACATTGGATTTTGAGCGCATAGTACAAAAAATTTAAAATGTACCACTCGTAACTTCCATCAGGCACATCTTCAAATGATAATGTGTTGCATGTATTGGGTTCAATAAAAGGTATTATTGAAATTAACTTTACCTGATTACTCCTTTTCCTATGGCTCCTAAAAAATTGAAAATAGATGTAATGTACATTTAGTTCTACTTGACAGTGCAGCTCTCAGGTTAAATTGTTCAAAGAAAGATGCATTCATTTGCATATAAAATGTTCATAGATAGCATGCTTTTCTTCCTATTTATATGAATAAAGAATAAAGTTCTTAAATCCAGGGGAGGGGAAAATCTTCAAAATATAATTTTACTATATTTTGTATATAGTACTATACTTTGTATATTTACTATAATTTGTATATTATTTTTTTTTTTTATAGAGGCATGCTTTATTTATTTGTTTGCTGGTTTTTGTTTGTTTGTTTGTTTATACATGCACTGGGTACAGTCAGAAGCGCGGGAGGGTGAGAGAATTCACCAGAGCCAGAGCGGGGAGCAGAGCAGGCAGAAGGTCCGAAGTACACTGCTGAGGGGAGCAGCGGGCGGCAGGAGAGGTCTGCACGCCATGTGGGACCCTCTCCGGTGGCCGGGGAGCAGCCGGGGATCGAACCGGCGCCACAGAGGCCGCGGGCAGCTTCGCAACCCAGCGCTCAACCGCTGCGCCACCGGGGAGGCCCTGTATATTATTTTAAAAAATCAATCTAAATAAACAGAAGGTTCCAGAAAAGCTTCTGTGACCCATGCCCACATATGCCAGCAGGGGACTAGTCCCATGAAATATCCATGGGTCTTCTGCTCTATGAAAACTTTCCTATCCTGGGCATGAATTACAGGCTGTCAGGGATGTGCCCAGCACAGGACAGATATTTTCACTTTATGTTTAAGGGGTTGGAGGTCAGATGGATAAAAGCTCAGAAGCCTGGCTGGCACCTGTGTTATTAGAGCTCTGATCTGTTAACCTAAATGTCAAGGGTTTTCTTAGCTTCTGGGGCCCACATCAGCCTGGGGAAGGTGGTCAGTTCCTGAGTAGGTGTGTCTGTCTCTTTTCATCTGGACCTTTCAGATATTTCCTAACAGTTCTCATTCCCTAAATTTCCACCCAGTTGGATGCCATTCCCTTGGGAAGGGTAACTTCTCTCATATTTGCTTATTCTGAATACAGAATAATACTGGATTTTTGCAGCACATGAGCTTTATTATCGATATGCTAGGGAGACCCTGCTAAGTGCAATTACCATATGGATAAAGAAACACTTATAGCTCACATATCTATAGCTAATGCCTGGTGCAGACTCTGCAAAGGTGTGTGGAACCTTAACTTTGTTTACTGTTTTTTTTTAATTTTTTTTTTATTTTAACATTTATCATTTTTTTACTTTGTTTAACTTTGTTTGTTTAAACAATCTGACAAAATATCTCATATAAAGCTCTTCCCTTGAGTGTGGGCTGAACTGTGGATATGATATCATTCTCATGAGTAAATTACATAATATGTCAAGGATAAAAGATTTTGCAAATGTCGTTAAGGTCCCCTATTATCTGACTTGGAGATTCCTGGGTGGGCCTCATCTAATCAGGTGAGTCCTTAAGAAGGGTAGAAGGTCGGAAAGCGAAGTGAGAGATTCAAGTCATCATAGAAGCACTTTGACCTTAAAGAAGCAAATGCCAGGCCTCTCTGGTGGCATAGCAGGTTGAGCGAGGCGCTGTGAAGCTGTCCGCAGCCTCTGCAGTGCAGGTTTGATTCCCCGCCAGCCAGGGAGATTCCCGCATGGTGCACCAGACCTCTCCTGTCACGCCTCTCCGCTGCTGCTCCCCTCAGCAGTGTATTTCGGCAGCCTGTTCTGCTCCCTGCTCTGTTTCTGGTGGATCCTCTCATCCTCCCAAGCCTCTGACCTGTACCCCAGCTCTTGTGTCAAAATAAATCCTTAAAAAAGAAAAAAGAAGCAAATACCCACTTTGTGGGGACCCCCGGGTGAAGGAGATAGCAGGACACACTTACAAGCTCAAAGTCTCGGACCTATAACTCCAGAGAATGGAATTGCCAACAACCAGTGGCCTTGGAGAAGGACCCAGCCTTTAGATGAGACCAAGACCCCAGGTGACAGTTTGAGTCCAGCCTATTGAGACCTGAGGAGAGGAGTACATGATGCTTGAGCTTCTGACCTACAGAAACAGCCACAGCAAGTAGATAACATGACTTGAAGCCTCTAAGTTACTCAGCAATAGAACATTAACCCAGGGATATGGAGCCACGTTGCGGAAGTATCCATCACAAACAGAACTCATGGGGCTCTGTTTTCAGCTGTTCATGAAAATCCCCACCAAGCCACATGCTAATATTAGAAGAGGCATTTGTTTGTTTCCCAGACAGTTAGATCTTGAAAGCTTTACTTCAAGGATGGCTGTTTAAACCTTCTGTAAGCTTCTGGGCTCCACATGTTGAGTGGGCGTGTGGGTTGTGTGAGAAAATTCATGAGTCTTCTCAGCCAACTGGGCTGAGCTGTGAGGTTCTGGCAGCTACCCCGCCACCACCACCACCACGATTCCTGGAGAATGGATGGGATCATCACTGTTTGGAGAATAGAGTTACATTCTTGTTGACAAGGGGATCCTGAAACAGCAGCAATAGCCTGTTGCAAAAGAGCGGACAATTTATGTAAAGACAGCTCTGGGTAGTCCCACTTCTAGCTTTCTCTTAAATAAGAAAACACCAGTTCTAAAAGCTATATGCACCTCTGTCCATTGCAGCATTATTCACAATAGCCAAGACAGGGATCCCACCTACGTGTCCATCAACCGATGACTGGACAAGGAAGTTGTGATTTCTGTACTCAGTGGACTACTACAGTTAGGACAACAAAAAGATGAAATCTTGGGCCTCCCTGGTGGCACAGGTGGTTGAGCGCTGCTCTGTGAAGCTGTCTGCAGCCTCTGCAGCGCTGGTTCGATCCTGGCCGGCCTGCAAGAATCCCACACGGTGCAGCAGACCTCTCCTGTCTCGCCCGCTGCTCCCCTCAGCAGTGTATTTCGTCAGTCTGCCTGTTCTGTTCCCCTCTCTGTCTTTGGTGAATCTTCTCACCCTCCTGCGCATCTGGCCTGTACCCTGGTTTTTGTATAATAAATAAATCTTTAAAAAAAAATTAAATCTTGCCATCTGCAGAAACATAGATGGAGCTTGGGATGATTATGCTGAGTGAAATAAGTCAGAAAGAAAGACAAATATAGGATGATTTCTCTCGTATGTGGAACATAAAGAAAGCAAATGATCAAACAAAACAAAAATTATTCTCTGACCACAAAATGGTGGCCACTGGTGGGGCAGGGAGGGGTGTGGAGGAACAGGTACTATGATCCGATGTTAGGTGAAGGGTTCTTAGAATTTTGGTGATGGAGGTGGTGTGGTATCACACATTTGAAAAGGTTACCAATGTTACCTTTATTAAAAAAAAAAAAAGAGCACGTCCTGAAATCTTTTTAAGTATTTTATTGTCATAAGCATGGAAAGGCAACATACTGCATGCTGGCATACTGCTGAGACACGATTTAAAATCCCAAGTGATCATTTTAGAAACCGATAGCACCTAATTTCAAAGCTAACATCTTTGAAATGACAAGACTATTTTCATTTACTCACAAAAATACATAAGAAAGATATATCCACTTTGTTTTGAATACTCTGGAAATCAGACTTCTGTTGGCCTGGGTCACCGTTTTCTCTTTGGAATGCAAAGCTGAGTTGGTGTCGCCATCCCATGCCACAAATAAAAGGCATCCCGCCGACGGGGTATTTCTGTGATCACTCTCATTTTCTTTCATCTTCGCAAAGGACTGTGACTTTCTGTTCACTCACCTCAAAATCAGTGCCCATCCCACCTGGCCTTCTGTGTCTTCTCATTTCTATACTCTTCTTCATATTCATGAAGCATTTTTTTTTTTTTAAACCTTCTAACACAAAGCTCTCTGAGATTTTCTACATAAACCAATTTAGGCTAGTGTTTAACTTTTGGCCTGAACAACCTACATCTTGCAAAGTTCACTGGACATTAGTGACCTCTTTTTGCAGATAAACAAAAAGCAACAGGGAGGGAGGTGGCAGACATTGGGCTCATTCAGGACCTGATATGTTTCACCAGACTTACAATATTTTCAGAGAATATTTCTGTAATGTATTTTAATTGCTCATTCATGAGTGGTTCAACCTCATCAACTCTGAAGCACTAAAACAGATCCTTTTGCAAGAAATGGATTTAATAGAAGGGCATGCATGCAAGACAGTGTTGGTTCAGAAAACTGAGTTTTACAATGAGAGCTTTCCGGAACCCGGAGCTTTCCGGAAGCATGAGGCACTTTACAAGTGAAGCAGACCACACCGCGGAGCCATGTTTTTTCCTGCCTCCTCTCCCCTTAGGAATGTACTACCAGATGCCTGGTAATCACTGCTGATTGCAAACTGAGGGCCTCAGGGCCAAGCAGGCCCACGGTATAATTTATGGATTCGTGGACTGTCCTTTTTAACAGTTTTGAATCCTACTGCTTATTTTAGGATATACTCAGCAAAGAGCAGGGGCTGAATTGTGTGTCACACAGTTGGGCAGAAAACCAGTATTTTTCATTTTCTAGAATTTGGACACAGCACTGTGGCATGAAAGGTGGGACATATGTTCATGTCTCTGTGTGTGTGTGTGTGTTATGTAAGGGTTTATGCCTCAGTTAATGCGTGTGACAGAGGGACAGATCCACCTCCTGTGGCCCTCTGGTGAAGCTTCCTGCATTATAGCAACCAACACAATGACTCCTAAGGGATCCCTAGGGAAGTGGGTGGAAGTTCGTGGTTTCTTGTCCCATTGTAATTGTGAATATGAGAACCACACCTTCTCCTGAGTGCCTTGCTTTCCTTGGCAGATGGTGTCAAGAGGACCAAGTTAAAATTCTGCCACAATACCCTGATTTAACTACAGGAACCAAATCAGTCAAAGCCATTTTTTTTCTCTGACACTTAATTTTTCTCTCCCCCACCGCCTTCCCATATCTACTCCTGATTCAACAAATCCTCCAACCTAGTCTCTGGCTCTGTCTTCTCAGTACTGAACTCCACCCAAAGTCCTTCAGACCTAGAGGATTTTATAACCTAGCAATGATTTCTTTTAGGAACTTTATGAGCTATCCATTTGGGATAACAATGTGTGTTTTCAGGCAAACATAGGCTCTCTCCATCATTTGAGAATAGGAAGAAATAAAGTTCATTTACTTGAAACATCATTAGGGCTTCCATCTGCCTCACCTCCCCTTCCCCGTGAAGAAAAGAGAGGCAGAAGGACAGCTCAAAATTACAAATAAAAGGAAGGGATTTTAGAAAGTTAATATATTAGAAGGACACTTTTGAATCTTAATAAGTGGTTGAGTTTCAGCCGCTCTTGTCCAGTCTTCCTGGTGACTGGGCCCCATTTGTGTTCTCACCCCTTAAAGAGACCATAGAGCCCGCATTTCCAGAGTAACCCTATATTTTTATTCTGTCTTATTTTCTCCTTGGGATCAGACATTGATTTGGAATCTGTGATTGCTGCAGCTACAGCACATGATTAGCTTTAATATGGATGCAATTTTAATAAATATTTGTATTTTCATGAAATGTACACACACACACACACACACACAATTCACAACCAATTCAAATCCTTGGGGAAAAAGCTGCACCCTCCGTTCATCAAGGTAATATCATTCGGTGCATAGACTAGCCAGCTGTAAAACGTTTTTCTGGAAGATTCCCAAATGGTTGGAATAAACACCGATTCGATCACACAAAATTCTTAATGCATGTCGGTCTGGGGAATTGAGGACTGAAAGAACTAACACAAAGAGAGCCACACAACACACCAAGTCCTCCATGCCTACACTAACAACAATGATAATATACAATGCTATGAGATTATTAAAATCTATTCTATAATGCACAGAGAAGTACCTGGTTAAAGTTGTTAAATAACAATATAAGACAGTTGGAGTCTGTTTTCAGTGCAAAATATCAATTTGGCAATTCATGGATATAAAAATAGATACTTTTTGCTTTCAAATTGTGGAGCAAACTGAAATGTGAATCTTTTCTGATCAATGATAAAAATGAATCCAGCTGCTTGATGTAGTGGACAGGATAGAGTTATCACACTTCCTTTGCACGCTCACTCACTTAGCTCAGACCTCAGCATACCAAGGTAAATGCGTGTGTCCTGTCTCAGGAGAGCCGTGTCTCTGCCCGGCGTCTGTCGTACATATTGTTACCCACTTGAAAGCATCCTGAGGATGTAACTTCCTTTCTATTTCCCCTGTTGCTTTCCCCCACTTCTCACGTAGTGAAGACCAGGATGACACAAATCTTTCCCTGAAGCTCACTTTCAGGTTTCATTCTTGAGCCACTTTTTAATCCTCAGTATTGCAGGGTCTCTGCAATTAGATTAGATCATTAACATGGAAACCCTAAAATGGGGCCCTTAAAGCTGTTGATCTCTACTTTTTCCTTTTTCTTCATGTTTTCTTCCTTCCCCCATCCCTCTCTTCATTTTTTCCTTCCTTCCCTCCCTCTATCCGTTTAGGCTTTCTAGACTTTACTGAAGCATTTCTAGGTTCTAGCCTTTTATTTATTATTTTAATCAAAGCTTATCTTTGTGCCCAACATGTGAAAAATGAAAGTGTCACTTTGAAATTGTATTTTACAATATAGACAGAGAAGTTGGGCCTTGGAGTACATGAGCGTCATTTAAATACTATACACATTTGCTGTCACACAAGGATGGAGGTGGGACAGCAAAATAAAAGAAACAATTACTCTTAGTCTGTCTTTACAAAAGGAAGCCTCTTCCCTCACGAAAAGTCTTTTCAGCATCTGCTCCCAGGAGCCTGCAGAGAAAACATTTTGCCCATGGCTTTGAAAGGATCTCTTTTTCAGAACATCCATCGTTCCCAAGAAGTCACGTGGGTTGGGCCTTCCTGTTCTTAGTTGAGCAAGGAGTAAGCACTGGATGTGTTTTCCAGGGATGAGCTGGTGGTTTCAGGGGTGGAAACATTGTATGTTCCTGAAAAACAGGGCAGCAGCTTAGCCTAAAAGATACTCTTGGGGATGTAAACCTCTTGACAGGTGGGATGGGGAAGGTTCAGTCCAGGAGTCAGGTAGCTCGGCCATGCCTGCCCTCCCCCCGGACGCGGAAGCGCCGACAAGCACTAGCTTTTCACATAATCATCCCAGCAGCCAAACTTCTACTATGGCCACGGAGGCCACTGCTGGCCACATGCCAACATGCCTGTGCCTCTCCACATGCCGCCGCATGCATGCACGTGCCTGGAACATCACACGAAGGAACTTGCCTAGACCCTTAGCTTGGGGTGATGGGGAAACTCTTGAGAGGAACTGGAAGGTAATGAGGGGAGGGGGAAGAGGAAAAAAAAAAGAGAAAATTATGGGAGAAGAGAAGGCAGGTCCAAAAGAGAAGCAGAAATCTTGGAGTGCCAACAAGCACTAGCTGGAGAGCAGCAGGAGGTGCAGCTGGAGTAACCACAGGGCTGGGGCGGGGGTGGGGAGGGAGGGCTGTGTCAGCAGGAGGCAGGGACTGAGCCAGAGGTGGGGGTGCGGACTGTGAGTTTGGCAGAAGAAGGGACTCAGTGCCCACCCTACCATCAGATTGACGAACTGCTACAGCTAACAAGGTTGCCATCATTGCCCAGGGGGCCCTTTGGGGCTGCTGACAACATAAACCAAAGTTACAGTGACCATGGAACCCTCCAGTAGGCCAATGTGCAGCTGTATTAATGACCCGGAAAGGCTATTGAGTGGCAACGACCAGGCTCTGGGGTGCTGCTACCTTGGGAACAGAGCTCTAACTCCTCGACCAGGGCAACATTTTGTTGGCCTAACACATCACCCAATTCTGACTCTAGAAAATCACTCATAGACTTCTCACTTGGATAAAAATGGCCTACAGGCTCCTGTGACTGAGTAAGTGTTCTAATGCCTCTTGAAAATGTGCTCATTTCACAACAGATCCAGTCAGTGGCTTTCAAAATCAAAGTGTTTTTCCAGTTTCATGAGTAGTGCATTAAACTGAAGCTGAAAACATTAAGTGCTCTGAAGTTTTATCAGTTAATGGGCATTCTCAAAATTTTCTTTTGTAGGGAAAACCTTAGTCTGAGCTATGGACACATTTCTAGATACTTCATTTATGAAATCTTTTAGTTTCAAGAAGCTGGAAGGAATTCTGGTATCTGTTTTCCTGGAGCGCTGGTGACATGAAACAGGGGTTTCAATTTCTGAAACAAGGGTTTCAGAATAGCTGAGACCCATTGTCCAAAGCCAGTAATATTATTCATTTTAATACGTTCAAGGTGGAAATTTGAATTGTGCATGCTCCTAATAGAAATGTTAACTTGGGTGGTCTCTCATATATGTATGGAGTTTGATGATAAAAATCAACGTGAAAAACAAGCTCACTCCAAAAAAATGAAAGAAAATAAAAGGTTGGGGGAGGGAGACCCATGGCATGGGATCCTATTGTGGCATTTTCTAAATATATTCCTTGTTGGTGGTGATGGCGGATTCACTGGAGTAATAACACCTGAAGAGAGGAAAATCCTGTACTTCTAAAATACAAGCAAGGATGTAAACCAACATTATCTCAATAAAATATTAAATGTGTGTGTGTGTGTATTCTTTGTTGCACCTGACTGAAGAACACGATCTTATTCCTGCTTAACATGACTAGAAAAACTCTATTTGACAAGGTCGGCAATTTACATTTTTATAGCTGATACACCATGACAGACAGTTCTCTAAAGTTTGTCTCGATTTCCCAATCTTATTTTTCACGTTGAATATATTATGATCAGTTAAGCCGCCCACTGAAGGCAAATGACCTCTCTAACAGCTTCCTGGTGGTTTGGGAAAAGACAAATTCTTATATTTAACCTCTGGACCAAATGAGGCTGCCACAGGTAAATGACAAGAGGTGAGGAGTGGGAAATATAGGTGTGAGACACTCCCTCTGGGCAAATGTGTTGGGGGTTAACATGGGAGCATCTAAAGGTCGTTACATACCTGTTTTACCAAACAAATTGTTAAATCTTCTTGATATTGGGGAACTCATAGAAAATACAGGTGTAGATGAACCTAGGGATGTTGACTAGAAAAGAGACAAAAAGAAAATTATGTGTAAATGTGTTTGACCTTGGTCTTGTTTTCATCTCTAGAAGGATTAGTTTGCTGCCCTCTAGTGGTCACTGCCTGCATGTCTCCTCCCACCTCTTCAAAGAGAGAGCCAGGGTAAAGGAACATGAATTCACTTCAAGCAAAGCCATCAGGAGAGCCACCTTGAAACACTGTAATCTCATCATCAGTTTTAGGAAAATAACTATCAACTTTATGTTCCACTGTTAAATAGGGTTCTAGTATCTTCATAAATGTGCAAACAGACAAAGAAATTTGAGACAATAATCTCTTTGCAAATCACAGAATTTACTGTTGTTCAAATTGTGTTCTTTATTGACGAGTTTCTCTAGAGGATGTTTCTCTTTGAAATTTGAATTTAACTTCCAATTGATTTTTTCTGTTCTATTTGAATGCCTATCAAAGCTCTGGGGACAGACTCTTCTCCTCCCTAGCTGTGCTTAATAGGCTAGAATGAGATAGGAGCAAAATAGAATGAGATTAGGAGCAAAAAACAGTGGAATAATCTATGCTATAACTAGCTATAGACAGAGGGGCTTGTGAAAGTCTCCATAAAGGAAATACTTACCTTTGAGTGCTGTGAAGACCATCTTGACCGTGAAAACTTATTCAGCAAAGCTTCTTGCACCTGTAATGTTTAAAAGAAGCCAGGGTCAATTCAACAAACCACACACACTTTAGACTTTTCTAAGAGTGTGAAACTATCACTGTTCTTACCTTCTGATCCCAGAGGCATCCAAAGAGTAAAATGAATAATCCCTGAAGAAAAATTTGGGAAGAAGTTCATTTTAATCATATTCTATCATCCAAGAAAAGCACTTTTATTAACCTGACATTGAATTGTACTATCTTTTTTTTACATCAGAGTTTATAGAATGAGTCCAGTAGATGATCGTATTAACAGGGATGCAATAGATCCATACCAAGGGATGTTATATGTAGTAAAGATAATTTTCATATCGTCAACTAGAGGTCCTGCTGGTTATGTTATTAAATACACCTCACACAGTTCTGATGTGGACCTGGGGCAGGGGGTGGAATAACCAATCCTAAGTAATCAAGGCCTATTGTAAAGACATTAGAAATGAGCCTTATAGCCTGGGGCCATGGACCCAGTAGAGGAGCTAGGATTTGCACAATCTTGGCATAACATCGAGGGGGCACATAACATCCAGATTCCTTGCCTCTTCACCAGCGCATGGGAGGCCCATTTTACTACCTCTCCACTGGGCGAGTCAGAATTAAACATTCCCTTCCTTGTGCTCCAAAGGCTTACAGCTATTCTAATAAATTGACTTGCATTGTAATTATTTATGTGTTTTAGGAGAGCAAAGGTGTCTTTTTCATTTTACTAAATCAGAGCAGATTGTCTACATTATAGAGAGCATTCATTTTATTATTACTCTGGAAATGGTTTTAGAAAATATGCCATGTACATAGCCTTTGTTTCATTCACCAAATGATCATGGAGTATCTACTCTGTGCCAAGTCTTTTTTAGACACTAGAGATATAGTAATGAATAAAACAAACACAATCCCTAGTCTCACAAAGGCAGAGCTCATACAGTGCTGGTAGAAACCAACTGGAGAGATTATTTGGTTTAACAGTATTTGTACTTAGAGGACATAATAGACTGGATGAAGATAATGTTGGATAACAGCAAAATCCAGTAGTAAAGGGACTTTCCTCCTACTTGTATTAAAAGACAGTCACATATGTGACTGAATTATAATGCAAGTGATTAGAGACATGAAGTTCCATGGAATCAGAGGAATGTGTCCTTTCTATCTCATAGAGTTCTTGCAATTACCACTCTTTAGGGTTAATACTTCCTCTGGACTAAATCCTCCCCATTCCTACTCCTGTTTGTGTTTCTATCATTAGTTTGTCCCACCAGTGTGGATACTTCCTGAGAGTACTGCACCACATAGCTTACCTGGAAGGCATTGAGGAGAGTAAATACAATATGGAACACAGCATTGCTCCCCTGGAACACAGTGGCAAGACCAAAACCCCAGGTGAGCCCCAAGAGTGGTGTGAGGACCCCAATGCTCTTGCTGATCTGGAAGAGACTGCTTTTCTCCTGCTTGCTTGGCTTGTCCCCAACGGAAGGTCTCAGGATCTTCATGATGACCACGACAGTGATGGTCATGTTCACCACCACAATGATCAGTGCCGGGATGACGAAAGCCAGCAGGGCCTTCGTATCCTCCCAGTTGAGCCAACAGGCATTCTTCCTCGTGTAGACTTCCTGTGGCTGTGTGGCTCCCACGGTGATGACTGAGATGACGAGAGGGCAGCCATAGCCAAGAGAAAATGCAATTGCCTTCTGAATGGACTTGCTGGTGTCATGTAAGATGAAAACCAGGCGGTAGAAGAGCATGAGGCCCAGAGTCAGCATCCAGAAGAAGACACTGAGGTAGAAAAAATGGATGAAGAAGGTGGCGGCCACGCAGGCTGTCTCATTGAGTGGGTAGTGGTTGTCATGGATGGCAGCAGCCACTATGAACCAGGTGTCAGCCACCAGCAGGGAAGCAGCAATGTTCACTATGCAGATGTGGCGCATGTAGGAAGTCCGGTTCTTGGTCACTGATTTCCACACCACAGCTTCCACAATGAGACAGGCTGCTAAACTCAGGATGGAAAAGCACAACCCAATGTAGGAAATGATATCCAGCAGTATTTTCAGGAGCGAATCGGGGTCTGGGGAGTCAGGGGACATGAGGATGGAGAATGATGTTAAGTGGTCACAGCTGCAGGAGATGCTATCCCCATGGACTTCGTTAACATAGCAGCCACTGCTGTCCCAGCCCCCTGTATAATTGGCAAGGTGAAAGTTCCAGAAGACACACTGTGGTGCCCCGCCTGAAGGGTTGTTGATTTTAAAAGTCATTGAAATCCTGAATGGCATGGTTATATTGTGGCTGACAGTGGTTGTCATCACTAAGCTGTTTGCAAAACTCTGTCCTTGAGCATCCCGGCCAAGGATGGTTTTGAGAGTTGGGAAAGCCACAGTGACAATAGATGAATCTGGCTGCAGATTTCCCAGCTGGCACTCATCAATTGCCACGTTGCCCCAGAGGTCAGAGTCTGAGAAAACAAATCTCTGTGTGTAGATTTTGGGGCCAGATTTTATCACCATGCCTCTCATCTGCACATTGGTTTGAGAGATGGACAGGATGGTGCTGTCCTCTGTCCATAGTGCTCTGGAAAATCTTTCCACTGAATCCAGTAACAGTGAGCTCTGGTTGTTCTGTTGCTGTTGTAACTCCTTCCAGGTACTTAACATGGGCTTGTTGAGTATGACGTTAACCGTGGACAGAACATCCTGAAATTGACATGGCATGGGATCAAACCAAGCAAATTCTTTTCATTATAAAAGAAAAAATAACATCTCCATAGAAACACATTGAGTGGATACAAGTAAGAGAAAAAGAGAAGAGAACAATGAGGCATCACAGGTTGTGGGGATCTGTGGCTGACCTTCTTACAGCAGGCAGTAAGCAGAGGTCCCCAAGACTCCATGCCTAATTCAAACAACTAGCAATAGTGACAATGGGAACCAAACCCCAACACTCAGGAAGCCCATACAGCAGGTGGTAGTGATATTTATTAATTATTTTTAATGTATCTTTAAAAGTATAGGCTTTTTAGTGGGTAATATTTTACCAGCAAGGGTGGTCTCAGAAGACCCTCTCAAATTCAGAACATTAAATGGGCAGTGCCAGTGTTATCAAGCACATCTTACTTTGTTAAACAATCCGATTCTCCCACAAACTTGGGCTTGTCATTTTCCATTTCTGTCTTCCCCCAATATATTTTCTGTGCTCTTCTTTGTCTTGTTTTGGTCTCTGGACTACCATCCCTGTAGTTAATAGAATGTTGTCATTCCCCCCATGGCTGTCATCATACCCAGACTCATGAATGTGATCTTACTTGGAGATAGGGTGTTTGTGGATACAATTAAATTAAGGATCTTGAGAAGAAATCATCCTGGAGTACCTAGAGGGACTGTAAACCCAATGAGAAGGAGAAGATAAATGGAAAAAAAGAGAAGGCCATTTGAACACAAAATCAGAGAGAATGGAATGATATAGTCACAAGTCAAATCTTGGAACCAACTGAAGCGGGAAGAGACAAGGACAAGGTCCTCTCCTGGAAACTTCAGAGGGAATATATTCCTGCAGATATCTTACTTTTAGGCTTCCAACCTCAAGAGCCATAAGAGAGGAAATTTCCATCATTGGAAACTGCCCAATGGGTGCTACTTTGTTACAGCAGCCCCAAGAAACATATATAACCTCCTTGCACTCTTATGATCCAAGCTGGGTTTGGCCATTGGAAATACTGGCAAGAGTTCAGAGGGTGGGGCAAGAGTTCAGAGGGTGGGGAAAGAAAGAAGTTGAAATACATTTTTCCTGCTACCCATCACATTCCTCTTACCCACTCTACTCCCTTCAGCATATCTTGTGCTAAGTCTTTCCAAGACCATAGCTCCTGGGATTACTTGGAGGCTTCTGCTCTCCTGCGACTATGAATAACTACTGCGTTGCCTTTCTCCTTTAGTTCTTAGACAACGATGGCTCCCAAATCTTGCTGATTTCTGGGTGCTTCACCACATTTACTTCTTTATCTTTTAATGCTAGCTTTACCTCTATAGGCATCCCTTCATTAATATCTCTTCATCTGAACTCCTGTGGGTGAATAATCTTTCTTTCTAGAACCCTGATTCCTTCAAAGCTTATGTTTAGTACAAGATCATTGAGAATATACCTTGTATATCATCTGAAAAACTTTTCTAGTTTTCCTAGAAAACAGGTAAGAGTTTGTTCTATTTTTTAAATGATTGATTGATTGATTGATTAATTGATTGATGCAAGAACCTGGGTACAGTCCAGATGCACGGGAGGGTGAGAGGATTCACCAGAGACAGAATGGGGAGCAGAACAGGCAGACTGACAAAATACACTGCTAAGGGGAGCAGTGGGTGCGACAGGAGAGGTCTTCAGCGCCATGTGGGATTCTTTCAGGCTGGCCAGGATCGAACCAGCTCTGCAGAGGCTGCAGACAGCTTCACAGTGCGGGGCTCAACCTCCTGCACCACCAGGGGAGGCCCAAATTTGTTCTATTTTAATGAAGAAACTAAAGCAGAGATTCACTAATATATTTTTAGGGTCCCCACATGAATACTGAGAACTCTCCCTAACACCCTAAAAGCTAAAGCTGGCAGTGAATTTTGTGTGACAATAATGTCTCAGAGTGTTGCTCTGGAAAAGAGAGGGAGGAAGGTGCAATAGTTTGGAGTTAGGTTTCTGGATCACAAGCTCTGAGGGGTGCAAGGACAAGACCCTTAAACTCCCGTGAGGCTTAAACAAACTCACCGTCATCATTTCTGTTGTCACTTGGGTTGGAACAGTTGAGAGCAAATCAAGGATGTCGATAAGAGCTCCCAAGCTCCCAGGCGAAGAACTGACTTCATCTTCCATCTTGCTTGTGCTAGTGGAAAGCTCCTTTAGGTATGTAGGGAGCTGTTCATCCTGAGAGGGGCTCTTAACCAAAGCCTAGTAAGTCAAAAGGTGACATAGACAAGCAGAAAAGTGCCAATTGGTCAGTCATCAAATTCGAGGGACCCATCCATGACAAAAATCTGTCACATCTATCTATACTTTCACTTTTTCTCTATGCCTATAAGTATATCCCATAAGGTAACTTGCTTATCTCCTAAACTATCCATGTGTGCTCCCCAGAATGAAGTTAGACCTTATACACAGAAGGGTAACTCTCTACCAATATCATCTTGCATTTTAATTTTAATACCTTTCCAATTAAATTATAAACTTCTCATCAACATGAACCATGTGTTATACTAATTTATCTCTCTTTTAATGCCTAACATAGTACATGTCATAAACTCAGCATAATAGTAGGTATCCAATAAATACAAGCTGAATAGGTCAAACTGATGACCAGTTAAACAAAAAAAGGAATGTAGATGTAATTGTTAGAAAACTAGATTAAAGTTGAGTGAAATTGAAGGAAGACTTGGACAGTCTGTGTGGAAACATATTTACCACTCTGCTTTTTCTTATCATTTATATTACTGATTATTAGGATACACCTCGATTTTCCTGAGACTATTCTGGTTTATATCTGTTATCCTCATTTAATTTGCACCTACAACAATGCTCTGCACATTGTAGGCATTTTAGTAAATTTGGTGTAAGATGAGGAGATATAGAACATAATTAAATGAGCACAATTCAGCATCATCCCTTCTTAATTTTTCTTCCATGAGTGAGACTGTTTGAAAGGTTGTCTGAATATGTTACCAAAACCTATAATCTTCTCTAGGTTCCACATCAGTATTTATTTATTGTAGCTCATGGAATGTTAGGAGTCTCTAACTCCCCCAAATTAAAGGTGAGGTGATATTTATTTATTTTGATGGAAAGAAAGGAATGTTCCCATACCAAACAGCAATAACTTCTTTTCCAGATCAAAGAGGCAGACTAGTCCCTCTTCAGAACTGTAGGTTACCTCTAAGGATGAGGAAATCTCAGACCTACTGAAAAAAAAAACCTAACTATTTGGTTTTTTTGCATGATGAACCTTATTTTTTCATGTTACTCCTCTTTCTGAAAAGATTGGAGCTATTTTCTTGATATCAGAATCATTCAAAGGAAAGTGGTTAATGAAGATAATATGACCTGTCTTTGGGAGGAAATGGAAACAAAAAACTAAGAAATTGAGGTGAAGTTTGTACAACTGGCTCTGGAGGAGAGCACATGTGTTGTGCCTCTGTATTTGTAATTTTTTAAATATTTTATATATATATATATTTTTACATCATTGTTCATTTTTGTACAATGTTTGCTTCCTACTTTCAGATATAGTCCCTATAAATTCCCACCACCAAGTCACCCATCAACCATCAGTATAGTCTCTTGCACTCTTCCTGCCCCTGTTTTAATCCTTCTCCTTCCCCTTCCTCTGCTGAATGTCTCTGATTTAAAGTTGAAACCATCCAATATTTGTAAAATTTTTAAGAAAATTTTTTAATCATCTCTAGGGTCACATCTCCTTTAGAAATAAACAAAGTAGCTTTGAAAGCAACATGAACCAGCCCAAGGCCCTGAGTGCTGAGCATTACAATAAGCCAGACTTATCTTCCCACTAAGAACTGAGAATCAAAGTTGAAAGGATCACCTTGGCCTGCTTGAGCAGGTTATTTATTGGGACTGAGACACAGTTGTTGCTCTTCATCTTCCACTGGGAGCCTATGCATTTGTAGGTTACTGTTCCACCGACCAGCCCACCGGGGCCTCGGGGAAATTTGGAGAACTGGCACAGCTTCTGAACAACTTTCCCAGGCTCCCCGATGCCTATTATGGGATCTTGGCATGTGATGTTTCCCCCTGCATTGCAGACATGGAAATAAAAGGGACAAGTGGATGGATAAGGGACAGTGAAACAACGTCAGACCTTGGTGGAATTTTGCCTCAGTTCATGTTTCTCTTTACCTTTAGAGTTACTCAACTTCTTTATTTCACCCGGATTTTCTAAAACCTCTTACTATTTTTCATGGAACTATGACTTTAATCTCACTTGCTTTTCCTAGTAGAATTTATTTTCTCCGTGCTTCATTCCTATCTTCAATCTCCAGTAATCTACTCTCTGCTGTCTATAAAATCCAAGATATGGAAAATAATTAGAGCTTGATGTGAACCCATCCAGATTAGAGGTGTTGAGTTTATCAGGAGTCCAAAGGAGATAATGCCTGAGTCCAGCATTTCTCAGCTCCATTATAGTAGAATCAGCTGTGAACTTGGACAATGCCTGTGTACAGCTTCACTCCAGCCTGACTAAATCAGAAACTCTCTGCTGGGATTCAGGCAGCAGACTCTTTGTCCCTGCCCTGCTCCCTCCCTACCCCACCCCCCATTTTCTAGTGTGCATCCCAAGTTGAGAAACGCCACCTTAATCCAAAGACATCATTAGATATTCCAGACATTCTCGACTTGAATATCCTAAGTAATATTCATGTTTGCTTTTCTAGTTTCCCTTACAGGTCAATCTATTCACCTCTACTAACATCAAACTTGAATGAGAAAATGTCATTTGTTGCAGAATCTAATCTCCAGGGGACCCTGATTCTGAGCAGAACTATCTTCCACCAACAATTTCATTTAGCATTGAGATCTCAGTCATTGTATACCGATATTCTATTGGTAAAATTCCACGGAACCAGACTTGAAAGAGGAGAATAAAAACGTGAGGATTACGTGTTGATGTCTGGGCTAAGATGGGGGACAAGGAAGAGATGACCTTCGCTGCTCCTGGAAAAGTTGTATCTGGGGGGTTAGAGGGGAGCAACTCAGAGACAGGGAACTGATTCTAAATTGCTTCCTGCTTTGGTGTTAACTAACATGTGAGAAAAGGACCACACATCCTTTTCACACATGTTAGTTAACACTCCATCAACTCAAACAGGCTGGTGACACAGCCATGAATCCTTCAGGTATCAGGGGTTCTATGACTGGGACAAAATCTTAGTGAAGGCATTGCTTATGGTAGAACCTCAGAATCATCTGTTATGCACTTGACCTTCCATCACTGACAAGAGCTGTTAGCATGAGCTATGGCAGAAATGGCTTCCGAATTATGACCCTTACCTTGAATATACTTTGCAGGGCGATATTGACTCAGTGATGACTAAGATAGTCACCAAGTCTTCAAACTAGCTATTTTCATGTCACTCTGTCTTAGGGAAACAGTGCCAGTAGGGAAACCCTGCCTTTGCTGGAACCCCCTAAGTGTTCTCAGACTCACACAGATACCGTCTCTTAAGGAGCATAGCCTCCTAGACTCAGCTGACATATAACTTCATATACAAGTCCTTCTTGATCACTTCCTCCCCACCAATCACCAGGGCAGCTTCTTCTGACCGTCCACAACATGTCTAGTTGTGATATATATATATCATATATATCTCTCCCAGGCTCTAGGCTAGAAAATGTGGCTTGTTTCCAAATCCCCCATACTTAGCCTAAGACCTGCCACACGATGGTGCTCAACATTTGTTTATTGAAAGAATGAATGAATCCCTCCCTGCTCATGACTGTGAGGTTTTAAAGTAATTTAAAATTCTCTCACCAGGAACCAGATGAAGCTTCATTGAGGGGCTCCGGACTGAACCATTAGCGGCATTGGTAAAGAGACAGACCGCATCAACATTTTTTGGACACCAAGAAACCAATCTTGCCGAGAAGTTGTATTTGTAGCACACTTGCTTTCCATTAACTTCTTTTGCTAAGGTAGAATTATTGAAAGGATTAAATCACAGCATGAGTGTTCAAAGCACAGATTTGTTAAAATGATCCAAATAAGCATAAACTTACACATTTTCCCCTGGAATGTGACACATTAATTTTTAATGTGGTTATACTAATTTACTTTATGCCTATAGCTCTTAGAATAAATCCACATTTGCATGTGCACTAGCCAAAACTTTACCTTCACCACTGTAGATGCCAAATGTGTGCCCATGCTGCTTTGTATAGTCATAATACCACCTCCCTATCTCAATCCCATCATACTCTATAAATTTATCCTATCCTGCTTTCACCTGATTAATTTAGAGACACCCTTTTATGCACCTGCCTTTTCCACTGGATTTTAAGGTCTTAGGGAGGAAGTATTTGTCTTATCCATATTTGTCCCGGTACAAAGTTTAATACATGGCACATAGAAAACACTGGATACATGCATACTGAACACAGAATATCGAGATTTTGAAAACTTTAATGTCTATACTGGTGCCCTATCCTTTACCAGTCTTTAATGAGTCCCTGCTTTTCTGAAACTCCAGTGTTCTTTCTGTCTATATTTCTCATTCTGGATAGTTAATGCTATATGCCTAACCTTTTTTTTTTTTAAGATTTATTTATGCATACGAGAACCGGGGTACAGGCCAGATGCATGGGAGGGTGAGAGGATTCACCAGAGACAGAGTGGGGAGCAGAACAGGCAGCTCTACTGAAATCACTGCTGAGGGGAGCAGCGGGTGAGACAGGAGAGGTCTGCCGCACCATGTGGGATTCTGGCCGGCCAGCAGGGATCAAACCCGCGCTGTTGCAGAGGCTGCCAACAGCTTCACAGTGTGGCGCTCAACTGCTAACGCCACCAGGGAGGCCCAATATATGCCTAACCTTTTATGATATAAGCCTTTCTAGATATTAATATATGTGCCCCACTTCTATGTCTCCTTTCCCTTGCCTGTTATAGTGTTTGGCATTGAGCAGTTTCTCATGAATAGTTCTTGAAAGAATGAGGGCCTCCCTGGTGGCACAAGGGGTTATGAAGCTATCCGCAGCCACTGCAGCATGAGGTTCAATCCCTGGCCAGGGAATATCCACATGGTGCAGCAGACCACTCCTGACTCACCTGCTGCTCCCCTCAGCAGTGTATTTCAGTCAGTCTACCTGTTCTGCTCCCCACTCTGTCTCTGGTGAATCCTCTCACTCCCCCACACCTCTGGCCTGTACCCCAGTTCTTGTTTGTATAAATAAATAAATCTTTTTTTAAAAAAAAAACAGTGTGCTGGTAAATACCCCACAGAGTCCTAGAGCAAGTTAGGATTAATTAGGCAGCTGCAGGGACCGTGCAGGAAGGGACTTCAGGAGAGTTAAAAAGGGTTCTGAGATAAGGCAAGAAAAGGAGTAAGGGAAGCTCCAGTGATAAGGGCAACAAATTCCAAAGGGGGGCAAACACCCCAGGACCATGGATAGTGGATGTTCCTGGACAAGGGCAATAAAAAGGGATTCTCTCATAAGGGCTGTGAAACAGGAAGAGTCCAAGCACAGTAGCAGAGTGAGTGAGACCACTGAGAACTAACCCATCACAGAGACTGTTGGGCTTTAGAAAAATTAGGGAAAGAACGTCTATATTCCCTGAGGCACGACTCCACTCTGACTTCCTTGCCCCTCCCTGCCCTGGTCCCCTCCACCCCCAGCCTGGGAGTCCCACTTTATTTCTGTTCCTTTTCTCCTTAATAAACTTTTTCTTTGTCTAAACAAATCTGCCTCTTTTCACTTGCTTGCCAGAGTGTCAGCAAAGTTCCTGCTGAGGCTTCGTGAGACACCAACCCGTCGTGGTCTACTGGTTGGGGCTCAGCATTGCCACTGCAGCCTGGGGGTCCATTCCTGCCTGGGAGACTAGGCCTGAAAACCTGAAATTATGGTATCACTATGAAGATACCTGTGCTTTGAGATTTGGAGGTGTCATCTCATATTTGGTTGACCTTAATCTGTAGGAATCTTGAGGAATCTGGATTGAGGGTACAACCTACCAAAGAGGATTTGAATATTTTTGTAGATGCCTTTAGTTGCTATCAATGGACCACTTTAAATTAATTATCCTTTAGCTTGGAGTCTCTGAACCACATAGACAACATAAATTCAAAGCCCAAACCTGGATGAAGATGAAACAGTTGTCATTCTTAGGGAATGTTTTTACTCACACATTCATGAGGCCAAACTTTACCAGATGATTTTGTTTTCCTAGTGCATTATTTTACAGAGTGTGCCACTCTTTGAATATCTTGACTATTTATCGTGGAGTGGGGAACAAGGCTTTTCCTTTTATGCCCTTTAGAACCTTAGACTGGAGATTCCAGGTTTCCGATATTAGCGAATGCTATCAGGGAAGTTCCAGCATGACCTAAAAAGTTACTGCTATTTTTCTTTTCCTCTTTGGTCTTTGGTTATTTTTCCCACTTTGTTGCATGTTAAATAGTGCATTTAAGAGGATTTTTGGGTACTTTGGTAGCACACCGATTTGTAGCCTGGACTAAAAGACTATCAGAATATCGATTCTACTATATTGAAGAAGTAGAAGGCCTTTGAAGCAACAGCTCCTGCTAAAAAGAATGGTCTTTTTAAAAAAAAAAAATTTAAATTTTTATTTTTTTTATTTTATATATTTTGTACATCATTTTTCATTTTTGCACAATGTATGCATTTTCATTTTGGTTATAGCCCCATACAATTCCGACCCCACCCCTTGTTTTGATCCTACTCCCTTCTTCCCTCTCCCCTGCCCCACGTAGTGTGTCTCTGGTTTATAGTTGCTTGTTTATTTTTACTTTATTATAATTAGTCTTTTTCCTTGCCCCTTATTTAGGTTTTCTAAATTCCTACTATGAGTAAGACCATCCGGTATTTTTCTTAAAAGAATGGTCTTGACCCTCACAGAATTCAAGATTTTTGAAGGACATAAAGTCTCCTGGGATTCTGTGCTCTTCCATTCTGTCTTTGATGCAATCCGGATGTCTCTTGGCCCTCATTTTAAAAATCTTTAAGACTCCACATATATGAAATAATATGTCCGGACAATTTAATTGTTGGCATCTTACCAGCAGGAAAGGACAAGGAATCCATTTGGAAAGTTACTTTGTAGTCTTCATCCTCTTCTATGCAGCACTTTAACTGACGGGAACCTTTACAGGGGACTGCATCTTCCAAAGGGTCTACCATGATGTTGGATTCCAGAGGCAGCGGATGGACGGTGACGTCTTTGGTGGTGATACTGTATGAGTTCTTATATCTAAATATGCAGTGGTAGGTCCCTAAGAGGAAGAAGGCAAAAATGAGATGGAATAAAATAATCACTAAAGAATGTAAAGAAAAGAGAGGGGGGGAGCGAGGAGGGATGGGGAGATTGTGAGTTGTTGGGACAACTTGACCTGTGAGCCCTGGATGGAGTTCATTCTCTCTCTTTTTTTTAAAGATTTATTTACTTTTATACAAGAATGAGGGCACAGGCCAGATGTGTGGGAGGGTGAGAGGATTCACCAGAGACAGAGTGGGGAGCAGAACAGGCAGACTGACAGAATACACTGCTGAGGGGAGCAGCGGGTGAGACAGGAGAGGTCTGCTTTGCCATATGGGATTCTCGCCGGCCGGCTGGGATCGAACCCATGCTGCAGAGGCTGTGGACAGCTCCACAGCGTGGCGCTCAACTGCCTGCACCACCAGGGAGGCCCCTTGGAGTTCATTCTTATCTAGAAAAGTTCAGTCCATCTCCTGTTCTGTTCCCCACTCTGTCTCTGGTGAGCCTTCTCACCCTCCACACTTCTGGCCTGTATCCCAGTTCTTGTATGCATAAATAAATAAATGTTTAAAAAAAAAAAAAAGAAAAGCTTAAGATAAGAGAGTGGTTGATCTTACAAACTGGAAAGAGAAGGCTGGATCAGAACAACCTGCACACCCAGGGCTTGGGAGGCAGAGAGGATTGTGGAGAGCACTTGGGTTGAATTTCATGAAAGGACCTTTTCCCTTTGGACTTTCCATTAGCCATCAAAGGGTGAGCCACCATTGGAGCAGTTGCCATGAAAACAGCATAGTGCCTACAGTTAAGTAAGACCCTTTAATTTTCTTTGCTTTTCTTCTCTGAGATCTAGCTGGCATTAGCTCTCCAGAGGGAAAACATGTAGAACAAGGGGAGAGAGGAACCCCTTTCAATTCCTGTTGGGAGTGAGGGGACATTTACATGGAACATAAAAGGAAAGCCTCATTGATTTAGATGAGAGCAGATATTTTTTTGGTACCTGAGTATGAGACTGTGATATGACAGTTTGATATGACTGAACACCATGACTTCTAGTTAGTGCCCAGGACTGGAAGAGAGCAACTGAAGAGAGCAGGTGTGAGTTCAACCCCAAGAAAGGTACTTCCCTCTCCTGACTATCTCCTGACTATCCAGCTTTTCCTTTCTGCAAATCTCCCTATGCCTTATATGCAAAAAACAAGGTAGGCCTGGATCTCAAGGATCTGGACAGATTCAATCATTTAGTTAATGAACGGCTTCAAAGTGGAGTGGTTAAAGTTGGCCCATCAAGAGAGTCTCAGTTTCATCCTGGCACTGTCATTTACCAGATTTATAGCCTCAGGTAGTTCAGGAGGAAACTGGGCTCCATTTTCCCCATCCATAACTAAGGACCACTAATAACACTATTTCTAAGTTTTTTGTTTTAAATGAGTGAATATATTAAATGCTTAGCACAGTGTCTAGTACACAGTAAAGGCTAAATAAATGTCACCTATTATTATATTAGCTTATCAACTACTCTTTCATTTCAAAGATTTTCGTAACCTCCCAACATAAGCAATGTATTGAGAAAAATGGGAAATAAACATGTTTCTTTCTTTGGAACTAGGTAGGTAAAGCTTTTAGATATTTTTTTTTTAACTACCATTTTTAAAAGTCTCAATAGTTTGGTAAAAGTAATTTAAAAAACAATCTTCTTAATGGCTAGAACACTGGCTTTAGAATCAGGAACTAGTTCCAATTCTGGCTCTACAACTTAAGCCTACATATATTTATCACCAGTTTCCACATTGTTAAAATGGAAATAGTAACATCTTTGCCCCAAAGTCCCCCCCCCTATAGTGCATCAGTGTAGTAACATATTTAATGCAAACTGGTTAGAAAGGCATGGTCCAGTATTACAGGGCGCCCCAGAACCCAAACCTTTCAACTCTAAATAAGTTCTGCTATCTGCTGCATCAAGACAAAACCTACTCTAGTGCATAAGACTTTTAATGGAAAGGAACTTTAATACAATTAGTGTGCAATAAAGAGAAGGAAAGTATATAGTTTCTAATCAAGCACCTGAAGTCACCCATCTTCTTGTAAGTAAATGCCCATTAAAAGGGGGCAGAAGGGGCCTAGCACATCTGGGAGAGAAGGGCAAAATTAAAATCAAGATATGGCCTCCTCGGTGGCGCAGCGGTTGAGCGCTGGGTTGCGAAGCTGCCCTCAGCCTCTGCAGCGCCCAATCGATCCCCTGCTGCTCCCCGGCCTCCGGAGGAGGGTCCCACATGGCACGCAGACCTCTCCTGCCGCCCGCTGCTCCCCTTAGCAGTGTACTTCGGTCCTTCTGCCTGCTCTGCCCCCACTCTGGCTCTGGTGAATTCTCTCACCCTCCCACACTTCTGACTGTACCCAGTGCTTGTATAAATAAAATAAATAAATCTTTAAAAAAAATTAAAATCAAGATAAAGGCTGCCATTATTAACCTCCCTATGGATCTCTCACCTCACATCACTTTCAACCAGTCCAAGACCAAGAAGTAAGCACAGTCTCTTCACATGTCTCTCTGCTCCATGTGCCTCCTCCAGGTCTCCTTCTTGCTCTCTCTATCCTTCCCCCTTCCTTTCTGCTGTCTCCTCTATAGCTTCTCCTCTCTGCTCAGCTCCACCCTCCCTCGGGTGGTGTAGGGAACTGGAATCTCCCTGTCTTGGGGCCCATCCTATTACACCAGGATAGGCTGTGTGGAGGACAACTCCACTGCATGTCAGGGGTCCAGGGGGCAGAGCAGGGCATCTGGTCTCTCACTCACCATTCCACTCTCTGGTGGAGGTCTCGACTGCCAGCACGGACTCTGCTCCATCAGGATAGTTCCTTGAGGTATAAAACTTTTCATATATTTTAATTCCAGCAGAAGTGTTCCAGTACACCTCATCATAGTTACTCACATCACTGATGCACTTTAGAGAAAAGTTTTGTCCCTCAGAAACAGAAATTGAGTCCGGGGTTATTGTAAGGTTGGCTGAAAGAATGCAAACAAAACAGACAAAAGAAAACCAACAACAGGCACAATGTTTAGTTTTTTCTGGTCACATCGACATATGAGTTAAAACAAGGTAGAGACAGAAAGAGTGGCCCATCCTGGCTCTACTGTGTCAACGCGGGGTTGGTACCTTGCTGCTCCTGGGCTTTACTTGTTTCTAGGCTGTTCGCGGTGGTGCTCTGAATGCTCTGAACTGAACTCATTTCCATCACATGCCTTAGGTACTCGTGCACTTCCCCCTTGTGGCTGGAATTATCTCCTGATGATTAGCAGGGCGAAAGGTTGCAAACTTAGGGATGTTAACTTAATCCAAGGTCCCCTCCAACCTCTCCCATGATACCACAAGGGAGAGTAAGTGGCTCAATTTGTGTAACACATTCATTCTCATTAAAATACCTTTAAAAAATAATGCCATGTTGCATTTAAATTTTTCTCTTTCCATGTCTCTTTTCCTTTTGTGAACTCCTCATGGGCCGGACTCCTTTGCATCTCTAACTCTTAGCCTCATGTAGTACACAGTCAGGGCTCCTAAGAAGAGTGACTTCTGGAACTCATTTTGAAGTAGGGGATCATAGAGTTTATTATCCAAATAATTACACCTGGACTGTAACCAAGCTGCATTGGTACTCAAACTGCAAAACTTGCTACATTCATTTCTCTTTTGAAAATTTCCTCATAGGTTTATGAGAAATTATTCATCAAAAATGTTAATAAGAGCCTCACAAATATAAAGGCCTTTATGAATGTTCCACTATTTTTGCCCCTGGTTCTATCATTTCACTCCCCTTTGACCATGTCTTTGACATGGTTGACATATCAAAATGTCATTCACTTCTGTGTCCTATAGGTGACAAATTTCCTGCCTTGAGTTCAAGGCTGGCTCTTTGCTCCATCAGTTAACATCATATTCTTAGTCACAATCAAAAGAAATCAGGGAGGGACTCCCCCGGTGGCACAGTGGTTGAGCGCTGAGTTGCAAAATAAATAAATAAACAAATAAATAAATAAATAAAAGAAATCAGGGATTTCCATACTAGCCTTTAGAAGTTGGGATTCACATGTTGAAATCTAGCCCTAAGTCACAAGTCTGGTATGATGTGTCCTTTGCCTGGCCCTCATTGGCTATAGGGATCTGCAATGGCTTCCTATGGCCCAGCTGTTTCTGAGATTAGAAGGGAAAAGGCTGATGGGACCATGAACCTGGTTGCCTTGATTCACTAATGAGCTTCAAATCACCAGACTGGTGGTTTTCAGCTGCCCCTCAGACAGCCAAAAGCCCACATAATCAAACAGCTCTCAGAATTAAAACTTGGGGTGAATAATTGTTCTCACTAGAAAACTAAAACTTGTTCAAAAGACTCATGAACTCTTCTATGGGAAGAATGTTTTCAGAGGAACCAGGTTTTGCTCTGTGTAAAGATGCTAAATCATGGTAGACAATGTGAACAAGAGTCACAAGTTTTGTTGATATCAATCCTTTCTCCAAATTGTTCGAGGGGGCAGGGGGCTGACGATTTATCTAAATAGCTCATTTTTGTACAATAGATGTATTGTCAAGCCATGGATTAACTCCCTGACGTGCATGGAGGCTGACACCCTAACACTAGGTTTTAAGAAAAGAAAGCAGCTATATTGCAAATTGACTAGCAAGGAGGCAAGAGGTAAACTCAAATCTGCCCCCTGATTTAGGGAGTGGGTGATTGACATTGAAAACAAGAGTTAAATTTCGTTGGCTACAGGCAAAGACTTGTGGACTGGACTAAAGTTCTTTGGCTTGTTATAGAGAAATTTGTACATGGATAATATGAGAACTTCCCCCCCACCAATCCCTCCCCCCAGATAACTGGGATTTTGAATTTTTGTCAGTGGACTTCTCTCCTGTGAATAACCCACTTCTGTGTTTTCAGTCTCCTGCCTCCAGTCCGCCTTGGAGCTCAGCTCGACCATGTGCAGATATACTGCACTTGTGAGTACAAGCCTCAAAGAAAAAGTTACATAAGTTTTTCTTTTTCTTTTGTGCCCTAGGATCTGTGAGCAATTTAACCATGTAGCCCCAGTTACAGGTGGGAAAACAAGTTTGCCCCATTTTTCAAATAGGTTGGTGGTATAATGCTTCATGGCATGAGGAGAAGAAATGATACTTTGAAGAGGCCACCTAAGTTGAAAGATTATAAAGCATTTTTTTACAACTTTAGACTGATCACAAAATATCAGATTATCAAAGATTTCTATAGCATTTTTTTTTTTCTAGAATAAGTGACATGGGAGAAAAGGGTTGATAGAGGGAGGGAAGAGGTAAAAGTTGGGAATGAGCCAGGCTATAGGAATTCAAGAGGCAGAGAATGGAATTATGAAAAGAAATGGAGAAAACTAGGGGTGTTTCCCTCATTATAAAGTCAATGATTAAATAGGACTGATCTGAGTAAAAACATTCTATTTCCCAGTCTACTTTCTGCTTCACCTGTGCACTGTAACCTTTCCTTCCCAGCAGCCTTTGTTTCCAAGCCCTACCCTTCTTGATTTTAAAGACTTCATCTGAATTTAAATGGCAGAGAGGGAAATGATCTTCTGTCTCCCACCATCAGGGGAGGTCCTGCTTTATTGCTCAGAAGTAATCCCAGCTGATGGGCAGCCCTTGATTTTGAGGAGAAGGCTAAAAATTCTAGGGAGTCCTTACCCACAGATGTGAATGTGACTTCTATGCTCTGACTGCCTCTGGCTCCATGCGTGCTGATGAACTCACACGTGTAGATCACTGTTGTTCCAGAGGAGCCACTGGGACACTGAGTTCCATCAGGTTGGAGAGTGTATCTGCTGCAGCCTGAATCTGTGTCCGTCTCAGCGATTCCTGCAACGACAGAGCAGTTCTTTTGCTGTCACAGTTGTCTGACTCTCTGATTTAGTAACAAAGAGGCCAAATCAGTGAAAAGGAGCTTTTTTTTATATTAGATTTAGTTCCTTTGAGAGGAGAGGTAGGATTATATAGTGGTTAGGGCTGTGAATTCAGGAGCCTGGGTGTCTGGGTAACTCTAGCATTTACTAGCAGGGTGTTTTTGATAAAGTCACTACGATGCTCTGTGTCGCACTTTCTCCAGATGTAAAATGGGATATATAATAAGACTTATGGCCCAGGATTAAGTCAGGTAATATGAATTAATATTTGTAAACAGAACAGTGCCTGCCCCCTAACAGAGACCATTAGTTATAGTGGGGGACTCTAAAAACAAAAACAGAGTTGCAAGACACCAGCAGGTGATTTCAACTAGAAAAAAATAAAAGATGTCATTATTGAAAGGAGGAAGAAACAAGACTGGAATGTGTGATATTCATCTCCTTCGAGGAACATTTTCATACCTTATTCTGTCTTTTCAGTTTATATGTTTTAGTGGACATTTCAACTTCATTCATGCTTTTTCAGGTTATTAGTAGTTTCTCCTTCAAAATAGTTCCTCTTTGATAATTTCCTATTCAGCATTTTCCATTCCCAAGAGGCCATTCCCTCCCAGCCATTTTTAGTTCTTGCTGATATCTCTGTGATACCCTCTGAATTTTTTCAACCCTACTTCCCCTCACTCTTTCCTTCAACCTTTCCTACTACCACATATTTTTAAGGCAATTTTGCAAACACTGTCAATCTTTCAAAAAAAAATAAACAAATGCAATAAAGCTTATGATTAGTTCTAACATGAATGCATCTTACTCAGTCTTGGCTGACTATTCAATGACAGTTAAAATATTTCGATTGCTGTGTTTTCTCTAGTCCTCATATTGGTTTTTCAATAAAACAAACTGATTTCCATCTTCCCTACTTTGAGCAAATTATTTCCTAGTTCATCAGCTAAGTGTTTCTACTCATCTCTAAGACTAAGCCCTGCTCAAGCAGGAACAAGGAACTGGTCTAGGGAATTCCAAAATAGCTGAGCAATAGTTTCAAATAGCCCTAGACAAGCCACATACAGAAGTTTCCAGGTGCCCCATACCATAAAATGCCTATCTCACTATATCTCAAGTTATCTTTACAGTCCACTGAATTCTTGTGATCTGAGGAGACAGGGAAGCCTTGGCCCCTGACGAGAAGCAGCATAAACTAGACCGCGGAACACTTGTGTGAGGAAGCTGAGTGACCTGTTACAGACACATTACAATGCTAAGGTCTCCACCTCTAGACAGTATTTGCCCTCGATTTTCTGAATATGAGATGAAAATGAGGGGTTGGACCAGATCCATGGCTCTTACTTCACTGTGCCCAAGAAAATCTCCTGTGAAATTTAATTAAATTGAATGCTCTTGTACAGAGTTCAAACCCAGAAATTCTGATTTATTTGCCCCACGATGGACCCCTGACAGCTGGTCTTTTCCAAAAACAGCTAGGATGACTCTCACCTCAGGGCAGCCAGGATGGAGACTGCTGGTCTGCAACAACTCTTACTACTTCTAGTTGCTTCTGTACTTAGTCCCTGAGGCTGGCCTGCTCCTGAAGGCACTTTATAAAATGATTTGAAAGCCACAGACTTATTTCTGCTCAATAAAGAAAAAAAGTCTCACTTCTTTATCTCTTACTTATGCCCTGTTTAGCTTCAAAAATAATATTTTATATAACACACACATATAACACACTCACAAATGTAAGTGGAGCAACTGGAAAGAAAAGACATAGTAAAGGGGGATAGCAGGATGGGAATGGATATGTTGCTCCCCACCTTGTCATCATGTGTCTTGACAGTCAGACAAGAGGGGTTTACACACTGTTGTAAAGAGTAAATTGCTCTGAATCTCCATGGCCCAAAGGAATAGCATAGGCTGCCAAGAGGAAGTTCACGGAGTCATTTGGAAACAGTTTTACTTGTGGGCAATAAGGAAGTGAAGGCTCCATTATTTTTGATCATCACACCACCTAAACAGAGTTATTATGAAGCTACAGATTTTACAGTTGACCTTAAATCCAATTGGTCAAAACATTCCCATACAGGCAAAATGAGTACTAAATACAGGTAAGCCAGAAACTGCACCAATAATAGTGATTATTAGCACTTGTACTACTACTACTACTACTACTACTAGTTGTCATGTTAAACTATTGCTTCTGCTACCATCACAGTGAGTATCATTAGTTGCCACCTGATGATTTGAAAAATCCTCCCTATTGCAAAAAAGATCATCCTTTTACATCGAGAAATTCCACCAATTCCATTACTTCCGTTCTGCCTTATCTCTTGCGAGAGTGTTTTAAAAATGAAATGCAAGCACTTCTGAGAAGAGGTAATGCAGTCAGTTCTATGGCTTTCTATTGACTTGGAAACACAGGTGCTGAAAGAACTTGTGGAATTTGAAGAAAGATTGTTGCAGAGAGGGGGCAGCCAGGGGAGGGGGCGGAAGGGTAGGGTGCCAAGAGCAGAAGCTGCATTCATCAGAGAACTGATTGTGCAGGTCCCCAGGCAGCAGGTTCAGGCAGGAAGTCCATTGTTTCCAGTCTGTCCAGCCTGCACTGGGCTTTGGAAATGGCTGAAGAGTGGTGGCCCCAGAGAGGTCTCTGAGCATCTGTACCTCAGATTTCCTGGTTCCCCAGCCAGAGGGCAAGGTATTTCACCTCGAGACTTGAAAGCTTCTAAGTCAGTACCCTGGCAACTTTGTAGGGTCTTTCGTCCATCTGGCAGTTCCTTCAGGATGCCTACACCTCCTCTTCTTTAAAAATCAGGAAAGTGACTAAATGTACCCTGTGTCAACCTTTTCAACAGCTGCCAGAGGACTTTACCATTCTTTTGACCACTTTAAAGTTGAATATAGACACTGCTGTTGAAATGCACTTTGAAAATAAATGTGCTCCAGAAAAGTTGCATGTAAAATGATCACTAATCAATTTTTAAAATAGTTTAAAATAGCCCAATGGCAAAGACTTTGCGCAACAAAACCTTACCACACTAATGCACTTCATGGGCAAAGTCATATTTTACTTTAATGAATTATTACTTTAACGAGGAGCACATCATATTGCCATTTCTTAAGGGGAGGACTGGACCTCATCACATGAGATTTATATGTAGAAATCAGTCTTCTGCTTCAGTATGAACTCTGACAGATCAGCTTGCTCCAGCACTGGCTCACCAGGCATGCATAACAGAGTCTCGTCTAGACAAATTCTTGTCTCGTGAAATAGTACTTGAGATGAGTTCCAGTTCTTCCTTTTTTTTTTTTTTTCCTTTTCTTATCATGGTGACCTTGGATAAGTCATTTCCTATGGACCTCAATTTCCTTATTTGCAAATTAAAGGGGAAAAAATGCCAACTTCAAACTCGTGGCCCAATTAAATGGGATTGAAAATGAAAACATACTCTTTTAAAAAATGAGTAATTATAAACTGTTTTATAATGCAATGACAATGTTGTCGATTTATTATTATTATCATTCTTCAGTATAAACCAGAGGGTGGGGAACTCCAGGTAAGATCTCAGATCTAAAACAAGTAAACTGGGTCGGAAATTGACATGCAATAATTAAAAACAGAAAGATATTTAGTCAGAGATACACAATTAGATAATATAGAAGAAAGTGTGAATACAAAGGCAGAGAAGCAAGGACAGATGCCATGAAAAGAGACACAGAAATGAGACATTCCAAGTCAGACTCTAAAGCAAAGCCAATGAAGTCATTCCTAGTTCTTTCTTAAAGATGGAAGAGACAGAAGATACAAGCTTTTCTATAGCGAGAAGAGGCTGTGGGCCTAAGTCACCAGGCCTCCCTCTTGGGTCTTCTCCACCAGAATTTGTCTGTAACCCAAGCATGACACTCCTATGCATGGTTTCGGAATTTTTTTCTAGAATGGCCAAGATGGAACTGGCATCAAATGAAGTACTTTCTCACAGTCTGACGTCCTGGGGGAAAAAAGGCCTGATATTTCTTCTTTGATCCACCACATCTCCCAATTAGTTGACCAGAAATCAAAAACCTATTTGCAAGAGGGCATCAAACTTTCTTACCTTGAATGCTTATTTTCCCCTCCTGATTCCATTCAATTCTACTCCAGTTAACATTAATCTCACTGCAACAGTTCAAAGATGCAGGACTGTTGTCGCATGTCACCTTCATTTCTTGAATTGCCAAAATTTGGATGGGTGTAACAACTATATTTCTTTTGGCCTCATAGTCAAAAATATCTACTGTCAGTTTGCAAATATATTCACCTGCATAGAATACACAAAAGTATTTATTATTATCATATTCCAAAAATCCTTAGAACGACAGCTTTGTCTCTCATTACAACAGTATAGGAAATATCATTTTCAAAAGCACCCGAGACTTGGTCTAAACCAACCTAAAGGAACATTTAGGATGTGCACATGGTCAGTGTAGATATTTCTGATGCCACAAGGTAAAGAGATGTTCTAACGAAATGGTAGAAATCTCAGGGTCTTTGCTAAAGACAACTGTGGGAATGGAAGGGGTAGAATGGAAAAAATGGAAAGTCTTGGAGAATTCAGAAGGTGATGGATGGTTTGGGCATCCTATCTAATGCTGACAAAACCAGAATCAACACAGATGTGAGAGGCCATGTGTCTGCAACCCAAGAGACACCCCATTGACATCTGTGTAACAATGGGGTTATTAATTTCTAGAATGCCAGGTGTACCACTGGCCTCAATGAATACTTAATACCTTTGCTTCTGTGTTTGCTAGTGGGTTGTGGGTGAGAAGCAGCAGGAGGGAGGAATTACAATCTAGTACAAGAAAAGTTGTTTCTTTCCTTGTGATGTATATATGTTCACTATCTTGATTATGGAGATAGCTTCGCAGGTATATACTTATGTCGAAAGTTATTAGATTATACACTTTAAATATTTACAATTTATTGTACATATTATACATCAAATCTATCTCAACACTGTTGTTTTTCTTTTCTTAAAAAGGAAGATTTTATTTTTATTTATTTATGCATATAAGAACTGGGGTGTAGGCCAGAGGTGCAGGGGGTAGGGGTGGTGGTGAGAAGGTTCACCAGAGACAGAGTGGGGAGCGGAACAGCAGATCTACTGAAATACACTGTGGAGGGGAGCAGTGGTGAGACAGAAGTCTGGTGAGCCATGTGGGTTAGCTCCCTGGTGAGAGATCAAACTCGTGCTGCAGTGGCTGGCAATAGCTTGATAGTGCTGAGACTTTAACCCCTGTGCCACCAGAGAGGCCCTAATGAATTTAAGAGTCTGCTTTTTGTCTCAGATTCTAACTTAGAAACCTTGGTAAATGCAGAAGACTGTATTTTTTTCCCAAGGCTAAATTTGCTTGACTCATATATCATAGGATTAATTTTCAATTTTGAAAAACTGAGCCTGGTTGGATTTCTTTATAAGAGTAAAGGATTTTTTATGCCTTGCCTCTTTATGAGTTCATCACTCCTTTTCTGGAACCAGTTCTCAGCTGGAAACTCACCTGCATCACCCTGAGTGATGTTGTAAATAGTGAGATGTGACACTGAGGTCATGTTGTTGAGCACATAGGTGTAAATGTAGAACCGGCTGCTGTTCTGGATGTCTGAATGCCCCTGGACATGGTGCCAAGACACATTGGAGGACGCAACTTCAGTTTCACACATAAGAGTTACTGTATCCCCGACAAAGATGATTTCTGGTTCAATAGAGAACTTTGTTTCATCTGGAAATCCAAAGAAAATGTATTAGAATCCCAAAGCAAATGATTGTTACTGACCGGGAAAGGATGTCCTGAGCAAACTCCATACAGGCTTTGTGGACTCCACCCCCACTCCATCAAGACACTGGGAACTACAAATCCCATGATCACCAAAGGGAAGGTTGCAAGGACCTGAGGTGGAGTTAAGCAGCTATGTTCTCTGAGTATTTAACTGGCCATGCGGCTGGGGGTCGTGCTCTTGCCCTGACAGCACGTGGTTTTTCACCAGCTTGGTGGGTCATTGGGATTCCAGGTCAGCAGAACACTTAGGACACATTTATGAACTTATCTGCTTCTTTTTCTCCCTGAGTTATTCATTTCCCCATTTCCCCTTCCCTTGTAAATAAACCTTTGATTAACCTTTTGTGTGTGTCTGCGGTTTAGCATTAATAAGTCCCCTTTAAGCAAGGGTGAGGGCCCGCAGTCAGGCACCCCATTTTATATTGGGGTTGCTCTGTGACAACCCCTCTCTACAGATGCCACCCCACTACAGATCCGTGGTGCCACCTAGAAGATGTGAGTCCTCTTGGCCCCATCCCCGGGCAGCTGGTCTCTGAGGCCCAAAGATTTGCAGCCTGTCAGATTCGAGGGGTAAGGATTCCACTGTGTAATTTTTGCACATATAAACATTCTCCTTGATAGCAGTGGGGATCTCAAAGCTATTTTCAGAATTTCAAAATGTCTGGTAGAAACCTGCACTTTTGCTTATGAAAAAGCCATGCATGCTAATTTAAGCATCAGTTTTGTTTGTTACTGACTTGAATAATATCAACTGCTTGTTACTGGTAACTTGTATCTCATGCTAATTGAAAACTCTGTCTTATGACTTTGATGATCCAAAAATGGGAAAATAGTTTAACTTTTGATAATAATGTCTACTTGGGAAATAAGAATTTTTTCAAGACCTAATACCCATGGGCCTTAAGCATGGGAGCTTCAGAGATGGGTCTGGATTGTAGTCCTGGTTCTGTGCCAGGCATAGCTGTGTGGCCCTGGGGAACACGCTTAAGCTCCCTGACTCTCAGTTCCCTTGTCTGGAAAATAGCACAGTGGGAGTCCATTGGAAGGTGACTGTAGAGAGTAGTATCTATTATTGTTTCCATGGGAAAATTCTAGAGAATAGCTACATTAAGTCATTTCACAGATAGAAATAAAAACACAATATTTGTTACTATTGTATGTGCTTTAATGGTTGTTCTTTGCCTACACAATATGCAGTTTTTGCCTCTGAGTTGTGTTTCTTGTGCTGTCTTTCATGAGTTCTTTGTGTCGAGAAAATCTAAGTCAAAGAGAGCTCTTTACAAGGGGCTTCATGCTCACACAAACTCCCTCCATATTATAATCACAAGAATAAGAATACCATAATATTACTTTGGATTGATATGATTGTTTAGTTAAAATATCAGGTATTTACCACATTTTTTAGGCATTGGAGTAAAGTAAGATTTTTTTCAAATTCTCATTCAGCTCTTAGTAGAAGCAAAGCCTTCTGTGAATATTTAACAAGGAATTTGCTTTGAAGTCACACAAACTTGTTACTCCCTAAGTGTCCTAGAACAAATCATTTACCACTCTGAACTTCCATTCCCTCACCCATAAAATGGAGATAATATCCCCTTCATAAGATATATGAAGATGAAATGCATGTAACACACTAAGTCCCAAAAGATACAATGATATCATCTCTCTTTGCATAGCTATTGTTGTCAGTAATAACTACACAAGGCTGCTGGTGCATGGGGGTCATGTGAAATTGATTATAAGTTTATTGGGAGTGATTAAAGAAGGAAGGGCCAGTCTGGTCAAGGGCCTCTGTTAATTAATCAGACATCATCAGAGGGTTGATATATAACTAATTAAAAGAAACTCAAGACTACCACCTGCCCTTTAGTATTCATAAAGATGGAATTAAAAATTAGTTCCTATACCAACTCATTCATTCTGCATTTTTTTTTTTGTTCTTTTCCTCTCTCCTGCCACTCCTCCCCCATGTAATTAAGATATAATTTTATATGTATATTTTTTAAAGACACTCAGTCACTTGGCTTTTTTGGAGATGCATTATGATAAGTGTCATCAGCAATGTGGACAGCAAGATGAAGGGTGAGTTTCCTCTTGGAAGTGCACATGGTTCAAGTTCATGTTTATTTGTCTAAGGTTGCACATAGCTCAGAATCACATTCTGGCCTTTGAAGGAGGACCAGATAGATATAGATCCTCTTCAGAGAGGGGTTTCGAGCACCATTCACAATGACTTCCCCACTTTGTGGGAAAGAAGGCACAGTGACTACAACACCTTTGTGAACTGTGCTGTGAGCTACCTGATTCTGGAAGGACAGCCACCAAGCCACAGAACTGCCAACTTATTCATTTAACTGGGTGATTAGCCTCACAAAGAGCAACTGAAATTTTTGGGAAGGGGGAGTCACAACTGAAGATTCCCTGTACTAGAGTCAGTTATTCTCTGCACCATTCACAACCATACATAAAATGATTCTTCCAGAGCAAAAATCCCATTGGTTGGTGAGGCACCTTGAGGAATCAGGAAGGGGGCTTTGCTGAGTCTGTGTGTGTCAACATGTCCAGGCCAAATGTTCCTTTCTCTTTAATTTTCCACTTTTAACTTAGGTGATTGTTGCCTTATTTACTATGAATTTTCATTTTGCTACTTTATTTCACTTATATTGTAGTACTTTTCTTACCAGTGTTTATATATCTTTATTGCATTCAATGTTTTATTTAAAAAAAAACAGATATTTAAATATCACAGCAGAAAATGTACAGAGAAAGGGTATAAACTGCACAAGGAAGGCCTAAGTCCTGAGAAGGGGTGACCTTTCTCCCAGTATGCACAGAGCAGCCCCTTCAGTGCTCCCCCAGTGCAGAAGGCATTGCTCTGAAGAAGACTCCACTCCAGAACCAGCAACCTGAATTTCCCAGACACCTGCCACCTAATTTCAGCCTAACAAATCTCCAGCTGGTCCCCTTACTACCCCTTCAACTAGCAACAGGTCCCCCACCTACTAGCACAAGAGAATGCAACTCTGCACCCCATTTTTTAAAGCGTGGGAGAACATCTAAAATTTCAGGAATTGTAGCACTATTGTACCACAATCAGTGGTTCTCAAATGTCCTGTGCAGCAGAATCACCTGGAGGGCTTGTTGGAACACAGACTGGCGCTGTAGGGCCAATTGCATTTTCAACAAGTTCTCAGATGGGACCAATACTACTGGTCAGTTCAGGAGGATGTGTGATGGGAGGTACACTTTTGAAAACCATGGCTCTGAAATCATGATGGCCCCTATTTCATATAAATGCATCACAAAAGTAGTTTTAATTTTTTGAATTTGTTAATTTTTAAAAATCTATGATTCCAGATGGCTCTGTGACCCTTTTATAATATCTCTGCCTCCTGTACCTGCAATGCCTGCTGCAGCTGCAGTGGCACTGGCCAGGCTGGGAGGCTCTGCTCTGGCTTAGAGTAGGAGGATGGCATAAACCTCTATGTTGGGGACTGGAGATCTCTCTCCAAGGACACCACAGTGTGCTGTCCTAGGCTTAAGAATAACATCACCATATCTAAATAGAATCATGTATACGAGATGTACTGTGTTCTACTTACTACTATGGGCATGTACTGTGTTCTACTTACTGCTACTGGCAGCTTGAAAGGAGTTGTAGTCCATTTTGTAGGTCTGATTGAGGTTCTGCATCACTTGCTCATTGGCTTTATGCATTAATTCAGGTGATGGTGTTGTAGTTGTAACTTCATATTTCACAACCACACTCCCGGGCCTGGAAGGAAACTATCAGTTCAATAAAACAGCAATTGACCTGGAAGAGTCTAGCTCTTTCTGACTCCTTTCCAAGGGAAATCAAAATGACAGCAATAGCCTGGGTACTTTCATCCTTAAGGGTTCACCAAAATAAACCTGTTTCAAGCTCTAGTTGAGAGTCTGAGACTGAACTTGTACACTCAAAGGTTTACATATGGGTAAATGAAATAGCCTCTGGTGGTGAGTGAACTCAGTCACATAAGCTGGTCCCAGGATCTCAGCCACAATGTGGACTCTCGTCATATAGTCATGCTGGCCCAGAGTTACCAGATAACAGCAATATCAAGCAAAGTCAAATACTGAATGTCTTTGTAAACACTCTTGATTTTCAGATTCACAACTAATTTGGGGGGGGGGTACTGTGCAAATCCACTCAGTGACATCCTGGTGCTCAACTCCTGGGGGAGCCATTCATATAGCAGTGTGATCCTTGCTGGCTAGGGAGTTTTTCTTGAAGAAAGCATCATCGCATGACATCATTCCATTTTTATATTTCTGAACTCTCTGGCAGCTGCCAGCTTAGCCTATATTTTTGGAAATTTCTTATGTGCATAGAATAAACATGTCTTTTTCTCATCTAAGTAGCTGCATCCATGAGCAGTAAGCCTCTGTTCTCAGTATTTCATTCCCCTTTAAGTCCCAGTAACCTGGCATTGTCTTCACCTCTACCCAAGGGCTCCTGTTGAACATCCCAGATGAAGTCCTTCTAATGGGCCTTTTCTCCTTCGCTAATGTGTTGGTCTCCACCATTGCATAGAATTGACCCAATTACAGCACTCTTACCTGAATCCTGTCACCCTCACCAACTTGAAGCCTGGTAAAATACGGTAACCTTTCTGGAACTGGAAAATAAAACAAGTGTCATGAATCAAGGTCCTGTGAGAGAGATGTCTAAAGATTTGAAACAGAAAGCTCATATTCCTTATCACCCTGGGTAAAATTTCTTTGTATTTTGGTAGCTGAATCAGCAGATCTTTAAAGAAGTAATTCTATCTACTTATGTCAGTCTGGGTTCTCCAAGAAGTAAACACGTAGGGAAATGCCTAGGAAAGAAATTGGAGAAAGAATATAGGAGAGTGGGAAAGAGCCATTAGACCTTGCCTTGAGTGAAAGAGAAAAGGAAGGATGTTGAATGAAATCACCCTAAACTGAATCTGGGAAGGTTCAATTAGATCTTCAAAGTTGTCTCCTGTCTGCCAGACACAGATCCGTGGTGCTTGTTCATTTCTAGCCAACAGCAAGCACTGTCATGCATTTCAGAGGCCCTTGGTCAGTTGCATTCCCTATAGCTGGAGATCTATGAGGTGTATTCTCATGACTGCCACACTGCCTGATCCCTCACTCAACACTGCAGCAGTGGTTTAACCAATGTGGTTTTTTATGATGTTTGTATTTCACCCTGTTTCTGTGAATACCAAACCCACAGGAGATTCATTTTGATTCAAGTCATATTTACAGGGCACATGCAAGTGCAAAGCACTGTGCCAGTTACCTGGATGGGTGTGACACAAAGAATAATGTGTAACTCTTTCCTCAAAAGTATATAATTTAGTAGGAATATGCATGTGAGGAGGGTTCTCATGCTGTGCAACAGCATGACAAGGTAGGAATGCAAATCAGATACCTAGCTCCTCTGAATCAACACCCATTATGGCACCCAGAGAAATTTGTGCATGGAGTACTAGGTAGAGTGGGAGGCTACTCCTGACTTGAGGCGAGGGCCTGCTACCAAGCAACTTAAGAGAAGGTATTACCTCAGCCTTCCTATAGTACTTTCCGTAATGCCAGTAGGGAAGCTGTGCTCCCAGTGAGTTAACTCAAGCGAAGCCATTTAAGTTTAGATGAATTAATTCAATGTAAAGCACTTAGAACAGTGTCTAGCACACAGTTGATAATGAGATAATATTTTATTTTTACATGAATAAATGTGAAAACAGCTTAAGTGTAAATGCCTAGAGGACCTCTATGCAGTCTCTTGGCAGCCTCTACCCAAAAGATATTAAGGGTTTCATTCATGCACTTTGTGAAGATGAATAGAAATGAAATCATTGGTGCTTTTAGGACAGAATCTTGAACTTCCAATTAGAACGCAATGATTAATGACATCAATTTTTATCTAAACCAATTCTATCTTGGAAAGATATTCCACCTATATAAGTCGAAATGGTACAAAGTCATCCCCAAATACTAATTGATGTGAGCTTTTCTTAATTCATCATACTAGAGATGTAGGAATAATTTTGACATCCACATTGATGAATTCTGACAGATCTAAGCAAATTATTCACTGTGAATGCAATAGATTCATTTCAGCCCAAAGAGTTTGTTGATAAAGAAGTTCCTCAGGCTAAAACCTACTGCTGTTTCCAAGTCAGTCTTGTAGGACCTATACAGGGCAGAGGAGGAGTTCCTGAGGTCTTCTTGAAAGCCCACATTGAGTCTGACTGACATTCTCAGGGTAACAGCTGCTGAAAAACATAGGGCAATATTTTAAAATCTCATGTTAGTAATTCGGTATCCATAGGACAGAGAAACATTTGCTTCAATTGATGTCCAAAAGCCACTCAACAAACACTTAATGAGCAGCTACTCACCTCCCCGGAGCTGACAAGAAGGTCCCGTGGGAGGCAGTCCTTTAAGGCAATTGCAAGGCTGTCCTGAAGAGCTGTCATGCTCTTGACAAGTGAGATTGTGGAGGCATCTTTCCTGAGGCCACTGATAGCCTTTCTCACAGGAGCACCAGATTTCATTTCCAGCAGGTCTGCAGACTATCATCAACCAGAACAGTGTGGAGAGAGAAGGTGGTTATCACTTTTGCATTTATTGACTACAGATATTTATCTCACAAGAAATATAAATTTGATTCCATATTGCCCTTCTAGGAAGTTCAATAGTGCTGCCTGAGATTCATGACTCCTGTATGAGTCATCATGTTATTGGGCATGACCATCTAGCAGGTGATTGTGGGGGTTCTTCCAGGGGATGCTATGACCCTACCAAGGTAAACAGATTCCTGGACATAGAGTGTATGGTAGCCAACCACTAAGATATCCCCTGACCATCCTAGCCTCTAAGTATTCACATTCTTTTGTAATTTCCTTTCATATTTACACTAAGTTTGGTTTATGTGACAATAGAATGTAGTAGAGGTTGTAAGAGACACTATGGCTTCTCTTTTGGTTGCCTGCTCTTTCTCTTTCTTTCCCTCTTTCTCTGTCACTCATCACTCTGGGAAATGAAGGGGAAAGTAGGCTGCCACAGCAATAGAACATGTTATTGTTCCAGGGCAGACCCGATACAAAACGGGTTGCATGACTGTGGGTCTTCACCTGCGTGCTTAAAAGGACTTATCAATACTCTACTGCAGGCACACGCGAAAGGTTAATAAAAGGTTTATTTACAAGGGAAGGGCAAATAAGGAAATGTGCAACTCAGGGAGAAAAGTGGGAGACAAAGTTTTAAATGCATCCTACCCGATCCGCCGATCTGGAATCCCAGATGGCACTCTGAGAGCTGGTCGCAAGCCAGGAGCCGTGAAGCCAGGAGGCAAGCGAGAGAGCAAGAGCCCCCAAGGCCCACGTGTTTGGTTTTTATACCAAACCTGGCTGCTTAACACCACCCTCAGGTCCCAGCCACCTTCCCTTTGGTGGTGATGGGATTTGTCTTTCCCAATGTCCTGATGGCTTTGGTCTGGAGTGGGGGTGGAGTCCACAAAGCCTGTATGGAATTAGCGCAGGACATCCTTTCCCCCTAACATTATAAAGCAGCTTCTATGGTGAGGAACTAAGGTGCCCACCCAGTAACTAGTGAGGAACCCAAACCTACCAACAATCACATGAATGAGTTTGGACATGGATCTTCTAACCCCATTAGAGCCTCCAGATGACTGCAAGTCTGACTGACTGACAGCTTCACCACAACTGCATGAGAGATCCTGAACCCAAGCCACTCAGTTTAGCTCCTCCTGGATTTCTTGCCCCCAGAAACTATTGACATAACAAGTTGTACATTTATTTATTTTTTTTTAAGATGCTAAATTTTGGGATATCTTGTCATGCAGCAATAGCATGTAAATACAATAACAGTGTGCTATTGACATTCAAGCCAATTGTGAACAGCCCACAGATTCTGATCCCCCTTTGGGACATTGAAAAATGCTCTGAGAATAGAGGACTTTGAGTTTATTTCTAAAATTTACTAAAGTCAGGCCACTTAGAACTATCTGTTCTACAGATAGCATCCAGGCAAATAACTACAGAGCAACTACCTAAAGGAAAACCATCCAATCATTACGGTCATAGTTCTAAGTTCACTATACCCTCCCCCACCCCCACCCCCAACACACCCTTTTTACCTCCTCCCTGCGGTCATTTCTTTTAACTATCAGAAAGGATTTACTCTCTCAATGTGCAAATGACCATATCTTGCTGGTAGGATAAATTAAACTTTTCAAGATCATTTGCATAAAAAAAAAGAAACTTACTAACTTGAGTTGTAAACTTGTCAAACTGAACTTGTAAACTTAACAAGTTTCTAAAATGGTAGCATTCCTTGAAGTCCTGTGCTTCCAGTAGAACAAATAAATCAGGAAGAGTGTGTTGGTATGTCCTTATTGCATGTACTTAACAAATATTCATCTAAATCTCAAGTGTTCACAATTGCAAATGAAAACATACTACTGATTTATTTGATATTTGATGGTCTGTTTTATTTACTAGATTTGCTTTCTGGTACCCAAACAGACACCAGAAGTTTCCATCAAAGACAAATTGGAAACCAAATCTATCAAATAATTCATTTTCCCAATATTTAGGGGAAATAATTTTATGGAAAGATCAGTGCTGATCTTTCACATTGATTTTGTGAGACGTTCTGTGGAATAGATTCCTGTGTGTACAAATACATTTGAGAAACATAGAAGAAGCTCTCCAGGGCTGGATGATTTACAAGGTGCATTGGCTGTTTCTGATCAAAGAAATTAATGGTAATGGTGAAATTTGATGGAAAATTGCATCCAAGAGGAGATGTAAGGCAGCCACTTTAGGTCCAGTAACTACTTTTTAGCCTAATAAAGCCCAATATCTGTTAGTGTTTTCTGATTTACAAAACAATAACCTTGGATAGGACCAGGACCTGTGGCTTCTCACAGATTCTGTGGCATACCAAGTGACGTCCCCTAAGAGAAAGGAGGGCTGTTGGGAACCATGGTACCAGAGGGTGCTTGATGTCTTGTGGAAAAGAATTTCATGAAACACCAGAATAAAGCCAGCAACAAAGGCTATTGGGAAGTTACAGGACAGAACACTGTGAGAGGCAGCGGGCAGTCTCAGAGAGCAGGAGAGCTGCCCTGAGGAGGCAAACAGTAGGGCATTTAAGGTTTTTTTCTTTCTGGCGGGGAGGGGTCTTAATTATGCATTGCTTGCTTCCATCACTCCTCCCAATTCCCGGACTGAATGGAACTTCTCCTCCCTCCCTCTTTTCCAGTCAGGGATACTGTAGTTAAAAGATTTTCCCAGCGTCCCCTCACCCCCATTCCGGACTTTATCTGGTCTTTGCAATAAAGCGATAGCCCCAGCTGCATCTCGACAGCAGAAATGCAGCTGTGGTCCTCTGGGGGTGTGTGAGAGCTCCTTTTCTGTCCCTAACAGAGCCAGTGCAATCTTGAAAGGAGTCAGTAACCACGGTCTAGGGTTCTGTGTCATGCTTTGCTTCTGATCCAGGCATGCATTTAGTTCCTATTTCCTTACCTATGATGCCAAAAATAAGGGAACTTGCTTCTTATTAATATGCTGAACCAGTCTTCACTATACCTCCTAATTGCTTGAGGTAAAAGGACCTAGTAGTTTGTCAGGAAGGCCCTGGCCAGACCTTGGGAGCACTTTGTGACAACCAATACACAAACCACTAAACAAACATTTGGTTACTATTTAAAATAAGGAGACTCTGGCTGCTGTGTTTACCAATAGAAACTTGGTTCTGGAAGGCTCGTGTGGTCATAAAATCACACTACTGGGTCATTTCACATGTCTACTAAGTGTACTTTTCTCTAACAGTAATGAGTTCAGACAGCATTTCTCTTGATATGCCCAATTCATGCATCTTTTACTCACCTGTTGTCACTGCTATGCTCAAAATATTGGTGGTTAGGTCAGTGTCATTCCCTTGAATTGGAAAGCTGAGACTGTTCAAGTAAGCTTTGATAGGCTCCAGGAACGAGGCATTTTCAAAACTGATCTCAATATCAACAGTATACTCTTTAGCTGCAGGACTACCTGTGGCAACTGAAATGGAAGCAGATGAAAGTTGTGAGAATTCATGGGTGTCAGAGAGAGAGAGAGAACATTATCGATATTTTGACATTAAAAGATAATGATGGGAAAATGTGCGTGCTGGACACATCATCCTTTAAGAATTTCTAGTGAAATTTTCAAAGAAAAAGAATTTGTCTACTCATCACCACCAAGCCCCCTCTGTGTGATGCTTCCTCTTTATGCCTTTACTATTTAAAGGAGAAGGGAAGCTGATCTGTCTGGTCCCAGTGTTGTGGTCTCTGCCCATTTGACAAATTCACAGGCTAAGCTCAGAACTTGTCTTTTCTCTCAATTCCCACAATGCCATTGGTGTTCAAGGCCAAGGACTGCTGTGTGGAGGGAGAATGGACTGTAATGGGGTAAAAATAGAAACACGGAGACTTCATAGGGAAGCTTTGGCAAAGTCTATACAATCTGTGCAATGGTTCTGACTCATAGGAATGAGTCAGTGTGCTTCCAACACCATTCAGTTGGCAGGCATGTACTGTGAACATGCATGGTTAGAAGACCTCTGCAAAAAGTTTTCCAGTTAATTCTCTTTGCACTTAGCCTACGCACACAGCGTGGACTCTTTGTTCTTCTGTATTGCCAGTGTCCAAAAGCAAAATTGGCAATTGGAAAGTAAAATAAAAAAGATCATCAGCTCCTCATTGCTTTTCTAAATTTTCTGGAAGCTGGTTGACCAACTGGCATTTTAGATGCCCAACTTCAGGTAAGTCAGACTCTGTGTGTGTGTGTGTTTGTGTATATATGTATATATATGTATATGTGTGTGTATATATATATAATATATATATATATATGTATGAGTGTTCCTTCATAGTTTCCTATATTACATCATGTCTGGTCCACAGTGGTAAGCGTCTTAAGGGCAAGAACTACCTCCTTTACTTCTCATGGCCTTACTCACTCTCTCTGGCATGGGTCTCACCACATAATAATTACATGCCCAATCAATTCTTATTAAACCTGTGACCCTCTGAGTTGAGTCACAGATTCACTTATTGCCAGAATTGCTCATTCTTGGCTGAAACATAACTGGACAGAAGCCATGGGCACAGTTAACAGCTAAAGAAGAACCTCCAAAGAATAAGAGAATTTTCTATACAAATGCATGGAGAAACCAAGTTGCAGCTTATTTTATCTTGTTAATTAAATTAGCTAAAAATAGTGAATATTCACAAAGTCACTACTATAAAGTTTAAGTCAAACCTGGAAGTATGATGTATAGTTTACCATAAAGTTAAAGTTCTCTATCTGTTTTCTGTTAAGAGTAAATAATTTTCCCATCATATTAAAATATTTGTTTTAAATGTTTGGAACTATTGATGTGAAACACTAAAACAGAGTAAAGCCTTTATGGGAAACTCCAGTTGTTAAGTGTTGATTGCAAAAAGTTGTAACACTTGTTCACTTAAAGTTACCAACTATGTTTGTCCAAGGAGGTTGAGTTTTTTCATCAACACGAGTTGAAAATTAACTTATTTTGGCATCTTTCGACTTCCTTTAATTAACTCAAAATGTTTAAAAAAAACAAACTGTGCAAGTTTTCCTTAAATTAGGAAAGTTCTATTTCCCCTTGTAAAAATGCATTTACAAATAGAACAATATAATTTTTAAAACCCAGTGCAGAATAACCGTATGTCATGATACCATGGCATTGCATTAAATTTCCTGTTTTCTTTCTGATTCTCAAATGGCTCTGTGATGAAAACAAGCTTTCTGGAAGAAGCACTAATCTTAATTTTTTATTCCTAACTCTAGACACAGTATGTAGCAGTATGTAGCCCACTGGGAACATTTGCAAGGGGCGGGGGTGGGGGGGGTGGGGGGGGGTGGGGGGGTGGGGGGGCAGCTGCATATTTACAAGTTTGGCCTTAGAGCACATTTCCTGAAAAGCAATGTAGCAGTATATATAATACCAGAGGATTCACTAGCTCCAGGATCCATTCCCCTGTGATCAGTCTACTCTCTTCCGATGAATGTAAACAGGATTTCCTGGTAGCTGCTTTTCAGATGAGTGAGGTCAATAACAATCCCAGATCACCAACTTTAGCATTTGCATTGTTGCATCCCAGGCTCTGACCCCATGATCATCCCAGCACAATAGCAATGCTTGCCCAAGGGCCATGATAGGCCCAACCCTAAGCCCACCTTCCTGTGCAATTTCAGACCTCACTGTAGGACAAACAGGTGCCTGGGAAACACGTGGTGATTCTTGGATGCCAAAACCACTGCAGCTCTTCCCCTGAAATTTTGTAAGGAACTGAATCAAAAGCTTAAAATCACTGTGATGTAAACTCCCTGACTTTAGTGGGTTCAAATCTATGTGAACTTGCAACCACTAGTCAAAGACCCAGTTTCTAAGGTCACCTGTTCTTCAACAAGAGCAAGTAAAGGAGCTATAAAGGAGATTTATAAGAGACCAGTCTGCCTCACCTCTCCCAACCCTGAGACTTCACTGCTGAAGAAAGTGACTCTTCTGTCCTGCTCCAGGTGGCAAGGGACCCATGAGGAAGAGAGGAAAGTTCCCACCTCTGTGTGAGTGTGTATTTCAGAGGCGCTTCCTCTGCCATGTCTGGACATCTGACTCCACATAGTGTGAAGTATTTTCTTTTATTGGACCCCTTTGCCCTGGTGTTATTTATTTGTCTGGGTTTTTCTAACTCACCAATGCTCCAAATGGAAGGTAGCAAATTCCAGGTGTTATCAGCGTCAGAGATGGAGGCCTATCAGCCAGCCCAGGAGGCACAAACTAGCCAGGATTTCCCCTCTCTTTTCCCATAAATCACTGCCTGCCACACAGCACTTATCTTAAAAAGACATTTCTGGAAAGTTGGCCACAAGCTGTGGCAAGTGGTTCTGGGTCTTAATCACAGCTCTTTAAGTAAACAATCCCATTTTTGTCTGACAACTCTATGAGAATTATGGCTTCTCAGAAATCGAAGACTAAGTGGATGCATATATTAAGCTCTCTTCTGTAAAAGAATGAAGCCTGCTGTGACTTCATCCAGGGGAAAAGAGGCTGGTGTGTTTTATTCCTGGCCAAAGGGGACAAGTCTTCTTTATTACTGAAGATTGGATTCCTTTCATTCTCCCTTGGTCCCACAGCAGGTACATGTCAGATACCTGTTTTTCTGCTTGCTTCTTGACATGTCTAGTAGGTGGCAACTTGACAGCATTATCTACAAGCTACTGAGCAGAATCTGAAGAACCTGTTCTCCCTTTCAATTTTGGAGAGGTTTGTTCATGGAAGGGCAACCGCCTAGCGATTACCTAGCAGGTGTGGATGGAGAAAGGAGACAAGCAGTGTGTCATAAAACCCTGGGCTGTTCAGTCTGGTAAGAGAAACAATTCTACTAGCCCCTCCTACAACTAAATCAACAAAGTCAGCCCCACAGGAAGGTTTCCTAATACAATAAAGACAGTGGTGCCAGTGCTTCTTACTCTACAAAACAGCCCAAGAATCATGAAATAAAATCTCATTGGCAAGTACCAGAAGCGTATGTGGAAAACTATGAGCATGAACCTTAGAGACAGAAAGCTGGAGGGAAGCAGGGTGGTACCTGCTAACCTGGGCAGGTCATTTCTCTGTGAGTTTATGCCAGGCTCATGTGTAAATTAGGGGTAACGCTTTCTCTGCACACTTGTGACTAAGGGGCACTGTATGAAAACCCTTGCACATTGTCTGGCATATCCATTATGCAGCAGCAGGTGGAAAAGATAATTCAGATTGCAGTAAACATAATCATTGTATCAAGAAAAACTAATGATATTCTGATCAGATCCCATTTTTGAGACAGTTAAATAAATGAACCAACAGAGAACACTCATCAGAAATTTATAAAAAATACATCCAACATTAAAGGTCAACCCAAGCACCAGACCCAGAGTTGCCAGGCTTCTCGTGTTACTGTTCCACCCCTGCCATGCCACATTATCACAAGAAAGATGAAAGGCACAAAAACCCGCAAATGTGCAGAATGTGCAGAAAGGTCAGAATGTGCAGAAAGGTGAAGATTTCTAGAAACTCAGTCTGGTAGGTATCTTGCTCTCATTAAATGTGGAAAGGAGGGGACTGAAGCACATCCAGACAGGTTAGGACATCCTGGACACCGCCCCTTTCTCAACATTTTGTCTCTCACTATTCTTTTTGAAGCCAAAGAACCAACAGGGACTATTTGGCTCAGGTCCCAAATACTTTTCCAGTTAAGCATGGAAGCCTGGCTGGAGAACTTCACAAATGGACAAAAAGAAGATAGTTTTACTTCTAACCAATAAATGCCCACTTTCAGTCTCCATTAATTCCCCTTAAGACAAAATTTTGACCAGAAAACTTCCAAAATAAGTTTTCATTCCAAGCCAGGTTTCTACCTGCACTATCCAGGTCTGGGCTTCATGCACTCATGGAGAGTCTTGTGGATCATTGCTCCCCTTGACCCCAAATCTGTCACCAGGTCCTTTTGACCCACTGCTCAAAATGTCTTTCACAAATGTTCCCTCCATTCTTTTCCTATTTCATCCCAGTGGCCAAGGCTGGTGTACAAGGCTGCTAGTTGGCCTCCCTGCTGCTGAGCAGTAGAGTCTCCTGAGGGTCTCCTGAGGGTCTCCTGAGCACAAACTTCTTCATCTAATTCATTCTAGCCACTGCATTTGGGTAAGCTGAACTTCAGGAGGGTTCCATCAGCCCTTTCTCTGTGTCAGCCCCTTTGCCAGACTAGACTCCACCTCCTGCAGTTTCAATTCCAGATTCTTATATCTCTCTGCCCTGCAATAACCACTTTATTCCAACAGGCAGAGCCACTATTATTCTGGCCTCTGGGTTTTTGCAGAGGCTTCTTTTCCCAAGTTGAGTTTTGAAATTATTTTCCTAAAATGCTATATCATATATGATGGCTCCATCCTAGGCTCAAGTAGATATATGGGACCTTCCCTGTATGAGGACATATCCAGCAATTTCAAATACAATATTATTTTTGTAAATAAATCAATTGGCATGGCTTTTAATTTAAAAAACTATTAGAAGAAAACACCCCAGGAAACCCTATTAGCATTCAAAAAAATTAATATGTATATAACATTAGTCGGCTCAATAGTCCTATAAGATAATCATATACATTATATGTGCATATGTGACATATTGTGATACATATATATGTGATTAGACAGTTAGATAAAAATATGTATCTAAATATGTACCAGTAGAGGCAAATGCATACTTATATGTATGTTGTATGCTATATAGAAGGCATATCTGCATATGGCTCAATGTAGTTATAGAATTGACCAAGGTGACTTAGGAAGAAGCCCATAGTTCTATGAGAATAAATATGAGCATTAATGTAAATATATATATTTTAAAAATATTTTAAATTTAAAAATAATCTTATAAGAAATTCTAAAAGTTAGGTTCAAAGCCTTAAAAGAAAGTTTTCTGGAGATTTTTCTCTCACTTATAACCTTTGTTTGTCTTCTGGGATTAAGGCTTCGGAAAAGAAGACGCATGTTTCTGTGGGAGGGAATGCCACTCTGAAAATCAGAGTCCAATCCTAACACCTCTCCTAGTTAACAAACCAGGCAGAACACAGATAAGCTGTGTGCATTCTGCCCATTGTAACCTTCCTTTTGCTTTCTTTCACAGTTTTCCTGGAGAATGCTGCTCTTAATTGCAACTTCCATCCCAAGAATCTGTGGCCTTCCCTTGGCGGTTTCTTACTTCAGTGATTTTGTAAAAGTACCAAGGGCAATCCTTCTTCCAAAGATGATGGGTTGAGTCATTAACACTTCCAAAATTACTTAGAGCCCCCAAAACACAGAGACCATGTGTAATACATGGAAAACATGTTTTTAGAGCGATTTATCATCATAATTGTTTTTAATGAAAGCACGTCTGGAAAAATTCTGGAATGCCAAACCCTTAGATGTAGAAGTGGTTTCCTCCCCAAGGGCTAACATCTCATAATGTCAGCCTGGGACATAGACTTCTGGACTCGGAAGTTCAGGAAGACATTGCTTTGACAAATGTCACGTCATCGACTGCCTCTAAGAAGTTGGCAGCCCAAGCCCTAGAACCTGGCAGTGACCTGGAGTTAGAATTCATTCACCTGCCAAGAGTTTGGTTTCTAAAAGAAAACTCTTTCAAAGTACCAAGTGGGGACTTTTCTGGCCCTATTCCTATCACAGGGTGCAGGAGGTTTCAAGGGGTGTCAGGGATGCTGTGAGGTAATAATGCATGTGTTAAAGCATATTTAAATTGTTAAAGTACACTTCAGGGAGGGGGCGGAGGAAGGAGAGGATCCTAGGGGATATGGCACAAGGCTAAAAGAGAAAAGGAAAGGAAAGGAAGAGAAAATAGCTGTGGTATCACCTGTTAGTAAGTAATTTTGAGAGTTTAATGAATGTGGCCAAATTCTCGCTCATGTCACTGGGCAGCCATCAGTTCTGGTTACCACATTGTGGAGGGGTGTGAGACCCCTCTGTGCTGACCCCAGGGCGAGGCTGCTCTCCTTGCTGTCTCTTTTAGACCACACGTCTGAATAGACCCAGTCACAAGCTGTCTGCAAAATGACTCAATCATGATACTATCGATTCAGAAGTTTTACCACTTGACAGTTGGCAGAGCCATGGGTCCAACCGATGCTAAGCAGTGGGAAAGCACATTTAGATCTCACAAAGAGGCAACTAGGACTGAGACAGCACTCATTTATTGAGAAACTGAGCTAGACAAATGTGAGTCAACAGAGATGAAGAGGAGTTAAGGGAACTCATGTCTACTGAGGATGGCAAACAGGAAGCAAAATAATTACAACACATTGAGACAAATATGGAGCTATGGGACTGTATCAAAGCAGTGGGAACTCAGGAAAAGCAGCTCCTCCCTGTCTGGGAGTGGTTGAAAAGTCTTCGAAGCAGATATCCATGTGAAGTGAGACTTCAGTCAGATTCCCCCAAAGAAGCAAAGACAGTTGGTGGAAGGGGCATGAGAAAGGGAACAGGAGAGCAAGTGAGAAAGGCATGCATTGTTTGGTAGACTTGAACAAGGCAGGATTTTATGCCTAAAACAATTGGGAGCCCATGAAGGATTTCACACTGGAAATGGCAGAATTAGATACTTTTTTTTTTGAAGATTTATTTATTTATTTATACAAGCACTGGGTATAGTCAGAAGCGCGGGAGGGTGAGAGAATTCACCAGAGCCAGAGCGGGGAACAGAACAGGCAGATTGACGAAATATACTGCTGAGGGGAGCAGCGGGCGCGGCAAGAGAGGTCTGTGTGCCATGTGGGACCCTCGCCGGTGGCTGGGGATCGAACAGGTGCTGCAGAGGCTGCGGGCAGCTTCGCAGCCCAGCGCTCAACCACTGCGCCACCAGGGGAGGCCCAGAATTAGATGCTTTTGAAATGCAGCTGTGATGGAAGCAGGGGGATCTTATCCTGGGAAAATTTAATCTGCGGATGAACCCACATGTCCAGGAGGGGACACTGAGGAGCAGTGTGCAAGTGGTGACAGCTATTAGCTGTCCCCAACCCTCCAAAGGCAGATATTTTCCAGACCACTTCTTTGCAATTTTCTTTGGGAAAACTGGATAGGGATGGAGGAGAACAGACTTGAGTCTACTGGTTATGTTGATACACAAAATAAAGTGCTGAGTGAGAAGAAAGGCAGATAAAAGGGGAAGAAGGTGCAAAGCAAAATAGGTTGTTGGGTTGAGGACAGACAGCTGGCCTTCTTGAGGTGGTGACAAGCAGCTGAGGAACGAACCCCAGGATGTAAGGAGCGGTGACAGAAGGAAAGGGGAATTGTCATATGTTGCTAAGATCTGTTTAATGCCATTTGATAAAGTAGAAAATGAAGTTCCTTTGCAATCATTCATAGAAACTGAACCCTGATGTGCTCGCAGACTCAATGAAGATCAGCGTTTTAAAAAGTTTCAACAAAAGTCATTTGATCAGACTTAATAGAAGAGATTGCCAAACAAAGAGATTACATACCCTCTCGTTTATGCCTTAGTACCTCCTGCTCTGCTGGCTCCAGTTCAGGGAGAATCTGAAAGAAAATTTTAGAAAATCATCAGACTTGGTGATGTGTTTTCACTCAAGCTTCCTGTTCATGTTCTCCAAGATGTTAAAGCTGAGCTTAGGGCTGCAGGTGATTTAGCACTTGGTGCCTAGTGGATGTTAAAAAGCCACTGAGAGGTCAGGAAAATGAAATGAAGTCACCTGTGTAGTGTGACCTGGGAATTCACCTTTAATAGACTAGTCTCTAGGTTCAGGAGTGAAAAAAATCACCATATCTGTGTTTCTCAGAGTTCCTGCAATTTGAGTTCTATCAAGAAATAAAAATTACGTTGTTCTAATCTTGTGCTTTCTGCCTACGACTTGAACCCTGAATCACTGCAGTGAGCACTTGGACACATCTTAGGAACATTTCTCAGCACTCGGCCTGTCCTCATCTAAGTGTTTCTATGGCATTGGGTTATTACCTGACACATGATCAGAAATTATTTTCTAATTCCCTGGTCTGGTCCTTTTTTTTACTACCTGGTTCCATTGCTGCTTCTTGTGGCAGTGCCACTGAGAGCCAGCTCTAGGGCCAGCGTGCCTGAGTATAAGGCTGTGCCACTTACTAGTTATGTGGCCATGGGGAAATTGCGTTTCTTCTCTGATCCTCAGTATCCTGTTCTGCAAAATGAAACAATAGTACTGACTTCATAAGATTGCTATGTGACACATAGTAAGTAATAAACCTTAATAAATGTCAGCTAATTCCCATAGTCCAATGACAGCGAGCAAGGACTCTGCAGATTGACTTCAAATCCTAGCTCCACCGTAAGATGCTCACCTATACTATAAGGACAAAAATGGCCTACTTCATGAAGTTGTTGTGAGGTTCAATAATTAACAAATGTAAAGCATTTGGTATGATTTTGATGACATAGCAAATGCTGTTCTGGGGGCACCCTTCACAATGACCCCTCTATCAGTACAATGCTGCTTGCTTCATCTTGGTAAAACTCATCTCCTTTCGTCCCGGGGCTTCTTTAAGAACTGACCATGATTGGCTTTGCTGTTGGGAAGCCAAAGTAACCATATTCTGACATGACATGGGTTTTCCCCGGCTCATCCAAGCCTCAAGGGGGCTTATCCTATAGGAAATCTAATAGCTTAAGGGGTATCACAGGGGAAGATCTGCTTCCCCACTCCAACTCCCTTCAGGGTTCAACAGAAGAAACACCTCTTTGAAGTCTCCCCAGATAAACCCCAGCCCATTGAGCTGTGTGTCTTCTGCCATGAACTCCACACACCTGTGAATCCTACCCCAAACAGAACCCATTCTGCAATCTGTGAGTTCAATCATATCATAATGATAACAAAAGTAACATTTCCTCAGATGTATTCATCACCCTGTGTTGTACTCAACACTGTCAAGTGCTCGATGTATACTTACTTAATTCTCAGGACAATCTAAGACATAGGTACTATTATTATCTACATTTCACAGCTGAGAAAACAGGTTCAGAGAAGTCAAATAACTTGCCAAAAATCACACAGCCCATAAATGGCAGAACCAGGACTTAACTCAGCCTGCCTGCCTTAAAGTTTGCAATTTTCTATGCAGATATTGGATCATTTTATCAGGAGTTGGCCCAGGAAGCTGTGGGTTTGTCTCAGTGACCTAATCTCTCTTTACCTAGCACCTTTTCTCTATTGCCTCCTTTCTACTCTTCCCCAGACATTTCAAAGAAAACTATTCAAAAGAACTGGGGAGGGACTCTGTACCTGATAGTTCATCAAAGTTCTTGAAGAAAGGAATAGAGCGATGATGAATGATGACTGGAATTTGAAAAGCCCAGTGGCTGCTTCGTTTGCAGTGAGGTTATTTTATCTGACTTAAATGTGCAGGAAATGAGAAGGAGCACAGGCAATGCATAGGGCTGGTTCCTGCCTGGCTTCCCCTGGAGCCTCCTTTGGCTCCCAGCCCAGACAGAAGGAAAAGCTTTTCTGCTGCTGCATTCCTGCCTCTGTCCTCCCAGGGATTTGGGGGCAGCGGTGGGGGACCCAGCAGGAAGTTTTCTCTGTCTACTCATCATCAGCTGCAGTCGGGGGAACTCAAACAGCCCAAGAGAAGCAGGTGACCATTGGCGGCCATTTGGGGGCAGTGCTCTCAAGTCAGGGTTTCATTTTCTCCATTTTCCAGTGGGCCTTAAGGACTGAGGCCTTGCTGCCTGCAGCTGTATGTTAAAATCAAGGCATATTCCAATTCACTCATGCAGAGGATTTCAAATCTGCTGCCAATTTACTAATTGGGTTGTTTGATTTTTATTGTTCTACTGTGTGGGCTTTTTATATATCTTGGCTATTAACCTCCTATCAGTTTACTATTATGTCAATATTTTCACTCCTTCAGTAGGAAGTCTTTTTAACTTGCTTATATTTTCTTTTGGTGGGTAAAAACTTTTTTAACTTGAGGTAATCCCAATTGTTATTATTTTCTTTGCCATTGGGGTTGAGTCTCCCAAAACATCCTTATTGTTGACTATATCGTTAATGTTGTCCTCTAAAAACTTTATTATTGCAGGGCTTACATATACATTTTTTATATCGTTGGAGTTTATTTTTATATATGGAGCTAGAGAGTGATCCAACTTCATTGTTTTATGTGTGACTTACCAATTTTTCCAGCACCATGTATTCAAGAGACTACCCTTTCCCTATTGCATGGGCAAGGCTGCTTTATCATAGACTAAATATTGATACATACATGTATTTATTACTAGACTTGCAGTTCTATTCCATTGATCCATATATATCTATGTCCATGTCAATGCCATTTGTTTTCAGTGCTGCTGCTTTATAGTAAAGTTGAAGTCAGGTAACACAAGATCACCATTTCTATCCTTTTTTATCAGGATTGCTTTTGAAATTTGAAACCTTTCATGGTTCCATATATGTATTTCAGTATTTTTTGCTTAATTTCTTTGAAAAATATATTGGTATTTTGGTAGGGATTGCATTAAAATTATGTATCATTTAGGCAGACTAGTTCATTTGGATTATATTGATTCTCCCCATCTCTCTTATTTCACTATCTAGGTCCTCTATAGCATCTTGCAATTCTTATTGTACAGGTTCTTAACCCTCTTAGTTAGATTAAGGCTGAGGTATTTAATTCTCTTTTGAAGCAATCATAAATAGAGTTGCTTTCTTGATTTTTTAAAAAGATTTATTTATTTATGCATACAAAAACTGGGGTACAGACACCAGAAGTGTGGGGGATGAGAGGATTCACCAGAGACAGAGTGGGAAACAGAACAGGCAGATTGACTGAAACACACTGCTGAGGGGAGCAGCGGGTGAGGCAGCAGAGGTCTGCTGCACCATGTGGGTAGCTCCCTGGGCGGGGATCGAACTCATGCTGCCGTGGCTGCAGATAGCTTCATAGGTTGGGTCTTAACCCCTTGCGCCACCAGGGAGGCCTGCTTTCTTGATTTCTTTTTCTTCTTGTTTGGTTGTTTGTATATTAAAAAGCTATATTTTTTTAATGTTGATTTGTAACGTGATGCTGTTTTATTCACCTATTGTTTCTAAAAACATTTTGATGGGGTGTTTAGGATGTATAATATCCTGTATGTGCATATATATATATATATATATATACGTATATCTATACATAATATGATATATAACATCATATTGTCTATGTATGTGCTGCCGAAGCAAGCACATCATATTGTCTGTGAATAGTAATAGTTTCACTTCTTTTTTTCCGACTTGGAATCCTCTTACTTCCTGTTTTTGCCTGATAGCTCTGGCCAAAGCCTCTAATACTAAGTTAAACAAAAGTGGTAACAATGGGCATCCTTGTCTTGTTTCTGATCTTAACGGGAAAGACTTCAGTTTTTCATCATTAGAGAAACACTGATTTTTAACTATTTCCTGAAACTTGATGATGATTATCTGGAACTTTCAGAGGACATCTTTGCAAAGTACAGCTTCTACATCTCTGTCACCTATAGCCTCTTTGTTGTTCAGTGAGGATTCACAACTTGTCTGCGAACGACCTACTTTTTATTTTGAGTCTTGTAATCACTGGGAAAAAAACATACTGCAAGTGCTAAAACCTCTGAGGAGGTTCCCAGTGGTGGTGCTGAACACCCTTTGCTCTCCCAGATGGGAGAAGGCACAAGATCTGGGCTGCCAAGCTGAGGGGTCTGGTTTTTAGTAAAGCAAATACTGGAGTCACACCAAGAACTGAATCCCACCTCTTCCGCTTCTTCTTAGTTGGAAAACTCGTTTACTCACTCGAACTCTACTGTACTTATATTCTGAAAAGTAATATGCTAAGGCACACTAATGTTTGTGAACTAGTGTCTGGCAGTGGCATGTGTCCAGGTGGCCGGAGACTCACCAGGGACCAGCCTTGCCCTTCTGTGTCCCCAGGTTACCCCAGTGTGGGGCACCGCGAGACTCTAGTTGTTTCCTTTTCTCTTAAACTTTGGATGCTGTGGAGAACTCATGAGGGAGCATAGATTCTGCCTGGGCACTCAGCTGAGTATGTGCTTCAGACAGAAAAACAGAGCCTCCACTTGGGCCTTTCTGCTCGTCCATGTAGATGAGTGTCTGGGTCATAGCAGCCAGCTCTAGGCAGAGGGGATTTCCTGATAGACAAGCTATAGCCGGAAGATACAAGGTCACCAATTCCAGGAAACAGCCCACCTGTTGGCCATGATGACTTTACAAATAACTGTGTTGGGGTGGGGGTGGGGGGCAGTGACCTTAAGCAGATGTGAACAATCAGGAATGAGAGGTGGCATTTATATGTCAAAAAGAAAATTGTCGGGAACTGGTGCCAAACAAGGTGGTCCCCAAAGGCCCCGGCTTTTGCCAGATCTCACTCCTCTTTTTCTTACCTGGAATCACCAGTTTCACATGTTTACCTCCAAGTTAAAGTCATGGCCTTGGCAACAATCCTGTTGGAATGTCTCCTCACACAGGCACACTAACACAGATTTATTTGTACCAGAACAATAACTGGTATTTTAATAACAATGTTATACTAGTAAAATAACAATATTATACTTGTAAAAATAGCTACCAAATCATAAACACTTGCTCTGTGCTAATGACTGTGCTAAATAAACATGTGTGAGAACTTTTCAATCTTCACAACAAAGTCTGAAAAAGATAGAATTTATTCTCACATTACTAGTTGTAGGGGAAACAGGTTCAGAGAGATGAAGAATGATAGCTAAGCTTTCAAAGCTACTGAGGGTGAGAGTCAAGCTTTAGACTTAGGGCTGATGCCTGCGTTGAGAGTCTACAGCCTCACTGCTCAGAGCGTGGTCCTGGGAGCACAGACCTGGCAACTTGTCAGGAATAGGTCATCCTGGGCTCCACCCCAGACGTCCTGAGTTGAGATCTGCATTTTAAGCAGGTCTCCAAGTGGGTGCATGCACATATTGAAGTTTGAGAAGCTAAGTTAACACTCTTCAAAAGCCTATCACTCCATATTCATGGACGTATATTCATAGCAGCTGTTATTCACAATTGCCCAGAAGTGAAAGCAACCCAACTGTCCATTGATGGAGAAATGGATAAACAAAATGTGGCATATACATACAATGGGTCATTCTTCTTTGAGAAAGGAAGGAAATTCCGATGCATACTACAACATAGATAAATTTCTAGGACACTATGCTAAGTGAAATAAGCCAGTCACAAAAAAAAAAATTAAAAAATAATTTAAAAAACCCCAAAACAACCAAATACTGTATGATTACACTTGGATGAAGTACTTAAAGTACTCAAAATCATAGACACAGAAAGTGGAATGGTGATGGCCAGGCCCTGGGAGGTGTTTAATAAGTATAGATTTTCAGTTTTGCAAAATGCAAATTGGTTGAACTGTTACCGGATCCCTATGGCCCCCAGAGGCCAGGGGACAAGATGGTTATTTAGGGGCTGAGGCATGTTGGCGTCAGTCCCAGTGAGGCAGACTCCAGCCATCACTTCTTGGAACCAATAGACCCATGATCCTGTCCTGACCTGAGTGCTGGGCTTTTTCCCCTTTTATATCTGACTTTAGGGCTCTACAATGAGTGGATTTGCAATTGTAAGTGGGTGAGAACCCACTAACAGTGGCCTATCCCCAACCCTGGTCACTGTTCTTGGTACCTTTTGAGCACTGTTCCAGTGTGACTTTTTGTACCATTTCAGTACCACAATGTGAATATAGTTAATGCTACTGAACTATATACTTAACGATGGTTAAGATGGCACGTTTTATATGTATTTTGTCACAACTGAAAAAAAGTCCATCACCTCTTGCTGTATGACAGCACAGGGCAGGATAAGCTGACAAAGCAGATTCAGTCACACCTTCCAAGGGGTTCTCAGCTGGAAAGGTGAGGTCCTTTGGGGTGGCTGTGGGAGCTTCCAAGAAGATGAAGTTCAAATACCACTAAAAGCCAGTACCCCTGGGGGCCACTGGCTTATTCTCTGATCAGCTTGTGCCACTGGTAGATAGAAGGTAGACCTTTGCCGGGCCCACTGTGGTAAAGCAGGGCTCACACAGAGGGAAGGCACTGCTGCCACCAGGAACACTCAGAAACTGTAAGAGAGAGACGCTACCTCCACTAGACAATCCTCCCCCGTGGCTGTCCCCCATGCCGGGGGTAAGCAGAGCTCTGCATTGACTATGGGAATCCACAGGAAGCATCAGTGTACCCTCCTCTATTTATATGAATGAGCTGCTGTGTATGATTATGTGGGCTCTGCCCTGCACACAGGAGTTTGGAAGAAGAAACATACAACATAGTTCCCCCAAATAAAAAAAAATTTAAAAATAATGGGAAAAAAAAAGTAAAAAAGCAAAAAGGGCAAAGGAAACTTACATCAAACAGTGAAAGACACAGAAAGGAGGAAAGAAATACATAAAGTCATGAAACAAAATCCTAAAAGTAAGATCAAGCATTTTAAATATGACATTAAATTATACCTTCTAAATCAAAGTCAGATTTACTCAGACTTGATATAAAAGGGGGTAAAAATACCCTCAAACATGTGCTGTTTAAACAGAACCATTTAGGCAAAGTGATATATTAAAGGCTAAACAAAAACTCGAGAGCAAACAGGCAAATACATACTATAAAAACAGGAAGGAATAACCCAATAATTTTATAAAGAATAGTGGAGGATTTATCACCCTCTTTAGTTAAACCTAGCTCCCATTAGCTTCCCCAAAGACAAAGTGACTTGAGCAATTTGTGGACAAAAGTATTAAAAGTCACTTCTGACTCCTTTGGGATTATCAGTCTGTGATTGTGACACACTGATTGATCCTTTCTGAAATGTAGTCTCTTCTGATGCTCAAGTTAAAATGTATCCTTTGAGAACATGTGTCCTGTTCATCCATCACAACCTGCTTTATAGTCATTGCTAATTTCACAGAGTGGAGCTTAAGGTCTAGAAAGACCGATTTAGTTAAGGAGGGAACCTGGGGCATCTTTCTTGAAGGTAGCTGGATGTTCCCTTGATAAGCAGGCTGATTTCAGAGGATGCAAGTTGTAGCCCAGTGAATACACTAACATCCGGTTGAGGTCACCATCCCACCCTCCATTTGCAGCATTTTCCCAAAAGCCTACAATTTTCGAAAAAGCATTTTCCATCTGTGACGTTCCCAGGAAATCAGAAAAATGTGACAGGGGAAACTATGGCAGGCATGGATTTACTCACCAAAGGATGAACAATAGACTCTAAATTCAAGTTCAGGGTAACTTGGGAAGAATAAATCACAAGAAGCATAAAGCACAACGTGGTTCTCCTTGGGGATTTCATGTCTTCAAGCTTGAGTTGCTTTGCCTGAAATAGAAATGCGATGGTTTAGAGACAGAATGATTTGTTTATCAAATATGGAAAGAACTGGCGAATGCTATCTTGGTCAAGCTACAAAAGACCTTTTCAATAAAGGAGAGAAAAGAACGAGCATAAATAAATGGACTATAGAGAACAGCCCCTGCTTCAGACTTTTGGGCGAGAAAATGACAGTGTCAGAAAGGGTAAGGGAAGGAAGGACTGAGGATAGTACCTGTAAACAGTCTAAAAGTAAGCAATATTTAAGTATATTCCTTGCATACAAGGAGAAGAGAAAGAAGGAAAGAGAAAGGGAAATATTGAGAGGCAGGTAAAGCAAGAAAAAAGGGGAAGACTACTTAGGGAAAAATACTTAAAACATGATCAAATGCACATAATATGGGGACAAGTAACTTTGCCGGTGACCCTGCAATCCACTCTGATAATGTTCAATATATTGTATCCCATTTTGTCCTATTTTTACTTTTAATTCTGGTAGCAACCAATTAAATTGACTTCATGACTCCGACCCATTTGTATGAAAAATTTTGGATTTCATCATAAAATATAAGTTGTATTTCAATCTTTTGTAGTAAATAATATACAGTATGAATAGCACAATATATTTCACCTTATATGTTGATTTTTGATAGTTCTCTGTTTATAATGACGGTGAGCAAATGACGTTTCTTAGTGATGGGACTACTTACTGTTAGTTGCATGTAGAAAATAGAGTATCAGATGGAGTAATCCCAACTCACAGGAGTGTGGGAACCAGGACAAAAGACTTTATTCAGTCTCTTTTCCATACTGAATTTTCTACATGCATATGCTGACGTGAAAAGAGCACTAGACTTAAAAACAGAGGATAAAGGTTGGAATCCAGGGTTACTATAAACTAACTGGCATCCTTGAATAAATCCCTTTTTTTTAGAATACGGAGGGAAGGAGCCACAGTCGACGATGGTAGAGAACTGTAGGTGAGTTGGTGGTGCGTGCAATGCCTGATGGGGGGATCCAAATATTACTTCAAACAAAAGACAAATTAATTAATTAATCAATTGAAAGTCCCTTATTTTCTCCTAGTCCCAGTTTTCCCATCTGTGAAATGGAGATAACTCTCCCTCCCCAAATTCTCTCACAGAGTTTTCTGAGGCTCAGATGCGATGAAAAGCCCTGAATGGCTTCAGGGATGAAAGCTGCAGTGGGCATCAGGCAGCTTGTGAGTGGAACCCAGAGGGCCACAGTCAGGAAGCTCAGACCTTGGCCCTGGCACTGTAGGGATTGCCAGGGGACCGTGGCCAGGATCACCACAGGGAATGGTCAAGACTTACATGCCAGGGAGAGTTGTATTTCAATCACCATCTGCCAGCTGCCTCCTTTTCCTCTTCCCCAGTGGAAAAGAAGGAAGCATAAGGCCCTGGAAACTGACCCAGTTTGCAAATTTGGCAATCAAATACATTTTTTTTAATTCTGCAATTCAATGAATTTTGGAAAATTCTTTGCAATTTAGGTGACAGGAACAGATATTTAAGACCAGATATCTCCTATAGAGGAATATAGAAACTCATCACTTAGTTCTCTTTTAGCAGTTTATTCCCCCCTGTTGAAAGAGAGTGGACTTTTGTCGGTATTGGACAGGCTCAGTGATCTTGGGTAGTGGGGTGAATCAGTATTTAGCAGGCAATTGAAACTTTTCAGGTCCTCACTTGGTGCACTTTACTAGCTGGTTCCACCTTGATGCATTTAATTAAGGGGAGAAAACTTAATAACTGAATGACTAATGAGCCTCCCTTGGTATGTGACTGTCAGGGAGGGACTCAAACATTAGAGGGACTGAAGCTGCTTCTCTATCTTTCCACCATTTCCCAGTGTAGGCTTTTTGTCAGAGTTAGTAAAAATTGTGTCTCCAAATGGTCGTGTCTCGTTCTTTTGTATGAGCCACTGGCCAATACAGTTCACTATATTCTGTCCAAGGGAAGGCATCCGGAACCATTCTCTCCACTCTCCCCAAAGATAGTTCTTGATTCAATTAACATTCTTTTCTCTGTTGACTTATTTGGTAATATTACAAAATCACAAGTCAATAGAAAGGGAGATGTAGGAAGTTTCCCCACTGTGGGGAGGTGGGTGTCCTCTGGATGTGGAGAAATGACAATAGCTTCATGCAGCCAGGGGGAGGGGATTTCTACAGAAGGGAGAATTCCACCACTTAGAGGTCAAAATATCAAAAATAACAGAAAACCACTATGGCATGGGCCTGACCAATGGGAACAATGATGTCTGTTGAAGACAAGCTTTCTTACCTATATCAACAATCTTTCACTGACCCTTCAAATCACTGCTGTTCTCATAGCATCCCACATTCATGGTAATTTGTTTTCAAGAGGGCCCCCTTAATTAAAAATCCCCTAGAAGTTCATATTTATTCTACATCTTTGGAGTGGAGAGGTGGTTAATGAGTAAGAAACACAAACAGAGTCAGAGAACGAAAGACAATTATCTGATGTCATTCTCAGCTTTTTTCTCTTTTAAAATTATAAATCCTGGACACTCTCTACTGAAACTCACCCACTGTAGAGGGCTACTGTATTCTTAAAAAAAAGCTGGTAAATAAGATCTCCTCCCCAGTACTAATCCAGTAGTCCTGAGCAACTTCCGGGTCTCCTCTGACTATTTTCCTGTCTGTGCAGTTAGAAGAGAGGGAGAGAGAAGTCAAGTACCCTGAGATCATATGTCAAGAATAAGTCATCAGACTTCTCAGTAGCACTGCGTTTAGAGGATGAGGGTCAGAGTTCCTTGAAGTGGTCTGTACCGACATTCTCTTGAGGAATGATTACGCATCAGGAACCACCATTATACAACCTCCATTGTATAACACGTCTGAAACACATCAGGCCCAGGTCCTAGACCCAACCAACACTTAAGACCAACTGCTGCTGTCCGGGAAACCCTTCATCAGCCCTGACCTTCCTAGACTTTACTGGGAGTTGGGAGCCTGGGGGGAGGGAGAAGAAATGTTTTATTTCCTAAGTCCTACAAAGCTCTGCCTTCCCATGCTCATGGATGGCCTCGACCCATCTCCTCTAGGGAGTGGCCTTGATGCTGTCTTTGGCTCCTCTGTAGGAGCAAGGCAAGAGGTGGAAGTGAATCCACCATTAATCAGCCTGTGTCCAGACACCTCCCCCATCCTCCAGGCCCTCTTCTTAGCACTACCCTCTACCACCATCCTGGAAGGAAGTTCCTTGGAGTATTTGTATATTATCTGCTTCCGTGGTCCTTGTCCCTGGCTGCACATCAAAATAATTACCTGCAAGTTCCTTTTTTTTATTTGTTTTTTATTTTAATATGATGCCAGACCAATTAAATCAGAATTTCTGGGGGGTGAGAGGTGAGATTCTGTATTAACCCAAGCTGTTTCAGATGCATAGGAAGGTTTGAGGTCTCTCTCCACCAAAAGAAACTGTTTTAGAAGAAAAATCAGAGGAGAGTACATTTAGAAGGAACTCAGCTGATGGTGGGTGAATGGTTGGTTTAATGAGATATGATCTCCCCACCAATTTTTTATTCAATTCCATAACTTTGGCTGTCATTTAAGATTGTGTTATTTATCTCATATAATATGGGTTGCACACTTATGAACCAATAAATACAGCATGCTTTCTATAGTCCCAAAATCGTGCTATGCAGTCACAAAAAAATTAAGCTCTGGTCTTTGCCCCCAAGAAGCTTGCAATCTCATGAGAAAGGCATAAAACATACAAGTAAAGTGACATAGACTGAGAAAAAAAATAAGTTTATAAAACAGTATTTACTACAATCTACTATGTATCAGGCACAGTGTTAACTAAATGCAGCAACTATGTTAATTAATTTAGCCCTCACCATAATCTTGTGAGGTTGATATTTAAATCCTAACTTACAGATGAGGAAACAAAGACCTAGAGAGGCTGCAGAGCTTATGAGGCCAACCAGCTAGTATGAAACACAGCCAAATTTGCCCCCACGTTGGCCTTTCTTTGAAGTAAGCTGCAGTATGCAAGTGATAGGCAGGACTGGCGGTGAGGATGGGGGAGTTGGGTGAGATGTGCAGGGGCCAGAGTCACTGGCTGGAGCCCGAAAGATGGGCAATATTTCAATGGGTAGTGGAGAAAGAAAAGAAAATTTCAGGCAAAGGAGAACAGCACAAGCAATGGCAGTTGTCGCTTTCAAAAGGGGTGAGTGAGACAGCCCAAAAGGCGAAGTTTGGCAGTCTGTTGAGTCACTTCTGGAAGTTGCCTTGAGCAGCTTGTCCAGCCACTGTGACACTGTGACACCATGATGTGGTTCAGGAGGCATTGTTTCCTGAGCTATCACCGTTCACCAAAAAAGCCAGAGCTATTTTTGTTCCATCTTGGAAAGAACATGAATTTGATGGCATTAACATTCAAGTGGTTCCCTCCTTCCTGGAGTGGAAAGAGCATGACTTTGTAGCAAAACAGTCTTGCCTTCTGATTTCAGCTCCACTACTTGGTAACTCTGGCGAGACACTGAACACTGTGGAGCTTCAGTTTCCTGATTGAATAAGGACCACACACCTTGCAGCATCATTGTAAATATTAGTGATCATGCCTCCGACAAAGCACAAAAGGGCCTGGTCATGGACGGAATTTATTCTGGGCTGAGTTGTGTGCCTCCAAAACTGCTGTGCTGAAGCTGTAACCCCCAGACTATCAGAATGTGACTTTATTTGAAGATAAGGTCTTTAAAGAGGTAATTAAATTAAAATGAAGGTATCAGGCTGGGCCCTAATTCAATATGACCAGAAACCTTACAAGAAAAGAAGATAAGGGCACAGACACACACAGAGACAAGACCACATGAAGATGCCAGAGGATGCTGGCCACCTACCAGCATCAAACCACTGACACTTTGATTTCAGAATTCTAGCCTCCAGAATTGTAAGGATATAATTTCTGTTGTGTTAGCCGCCCAGTCTATGGAACTATGCTAGGGAAGTCCTAGAAAAA